AAGTTAGCAGACCCCTTTTTACAACGTTTTGAGTTGTTACACTTTGAGAACTAACGTTTATATTGGCGGCACTAACGAGCACTAACGCTGCTAGTTTAACTAGTGTAAAGATTGAATCGATTTTCTCAAATGGGTCTGCTGGCATGAAGTTAGCAGGCCCACAAATATTTTTTAAAAATAGTAAGTTTCCTTTTGTGTACTAACGATTTCTTCAGCAGTACTAACATGCACTAACGGAACACTAATGATATTAGTAAGCAGAACCATGGTCTGCTGTAGTAGGCCTGCCTAGTTCATGGACATTATCTAACGCTATTAGAGAATTTTAAAAGCCCTTAAAAGGGCACCAGTTATTTTTCAGTCTCATAGGAACAACTAACTATTGACTCTTAGATACCCTTAAAATCTCGCATGTACGTTAGAATGGTATGAGAGCAAGTACAGGGTGTCCCATTTTCAACATTTTTACAGGGTTTTCTAATTAAATTATAATTTGTGATTTCAAAAACTCAATAAAAACAAGGATTTTTTCATTAGCAACTAAAAAAACGTTATATGTAAGCATAGAACTTTTTTTGATTTGCTTGAACGCTTTGGTTTTTCTTCTTTGTACTATTTGAAATGAATAATTTGTCATTTTTTAGGAGTAGCGTAGGTTTTCAATATGGCATCTATCTTTTACTACCCTGCTTTTTTCACTCGGATTATTTAACTTATATGGAAGTCTATCCAATATTCTACTAACTTCTATTTGCAATAATAATAATGAGAAAAAATTGCACTTGCATCACAAAACACGGGCACTCCTTAGTTACGTGACTGGGAAATCCCTTTTACCAAAGCTTCGAACTTGCACCACAAACAAGGTCACTCTTTAGTTACCTCGGCAGATAAATCCTTTTTCAAGACGCCTGTCATGAAAACCCTAAACCCAACACATGCCTTTAGAAGACGATTATCAACCTGAAAATTAAGGGGGGTAAAGGCCTGGGGAAAGCGGCGTAGGTTCTGGAAGAAGCAGACAGGTGCTCCCAGTAACCTAGGGACCAAAGCTCGGTTCCATTGGTCCTGATGCTCGGGCGACAATGTCCGACTTAAATACAAAAACCACTAAAGTCGTAATGGAGGAGTCGCTACCTCCAACCACCACCGATCAAGGCCTGTCCGACATCGAGAGGACCTTATTGGCCTTTGACGAAGACACTAGCCTAGACCCTCCCTCCGAAGAAACACCTGAGGACTGCAAATTTTCGGGTAACAAAGCCTCAGAAGAGACAAGCTATAGAGGACATGCAATTAAAGGTCACTTCATCAAGTAAAACTTTGTGGAGCAGCTCGCAAGCGGTTCAATAAACTAATAGGTGCTGGACATAACCCAAACGAGACTAGGATCATGGCTGCAAAGTCAAGCAACACCCAACAAAAGCCTCAGGAGGGCCAACAGGCTCAAGGCTCAGTGGTAAAGCGTTGGGCTGCATAGCCGGAGGTCGGGTGTTCGAACCTGGGCTGAGGAAAGAATTTTTTATCTGTGGCAGACCAGTTTCGAGCATTCTGATGGCTACTTCTGAAAGTTTTATTAATTCGTAAGCACCTCTAAAAAGCATTAATTTATGCGGGTCAGTCTGTAATTGAGCGGAAGCCTGTTGAAGGCCCAGAACAAGAGAGAGACTATAAATAAATAAAGAAAGAAAGATAGAAAGAAAGAAAAAAGAACTAAAGAAAGAAAGAAATAAACAGTTAGTAGTTCTGTCCCCAGATGGGAACGCAGATAATTCCCTTAAAAAAAACCCGTCCTCATCTCCACATCTTCTTGAGCCAAGGAGGAAGGCGGAGGCGCCTCCACACCTCCAAAGAAAACCTTTCAGGACGCTGTCCAGGGCATCAAGGTGGGATCTTCTCGACAAAACATGGTCAGGAGAAAGAACGGATCCCCTCATTCTGCATCATTTGGATAATAGCTTGACCTCCTCCTTTCCTAGCAGGCAGAATAGTGGGATGGAGGGTGTCTGACGAGTTGTGCATGTACGAGGAGTTAATGAAAAGCATTACCGCAGGCCTCTGCAGGAGGGTGATGGATCAAGTTGACCTAGAGCGACTTGCTACATTCCTCGCTGATGCCCTTTTCTTCTCGTTTGAAATTCCCGTATCCTCTCGCCTACGGAAGGTGCTCTCAAAGGAGAAGAACAACCCTTTGGGAATGATGGTGGAGGCAGATGGTGACCGTGCTCAGCTAGAGAGTATTTGCAGCTCTTGAGGGGAACCCATTTCGCGGGACAAGAGGCTAACTTGGAAGCCTCACATCACCATGGCGGTCAACAAGGCCACTACGGCCTTAATGAGCTGTCGACGCCTCAATAACCTCCAAGATGCTTATGGAAGAAATAACCAGGCGTAATTAGTGTGGGTACTAATTCACGAGGGGATAGCCGGTAATGAGGAGGCTAAGGTCGGCACTAAACATCCCCAAATTGGACCGGAACCCCACTGTGGAGCACCACCAAGTCTAGCTGGAGGAGTGAAAAGAAGTCATCTCAGAAAAGGAAGGAGAGAATCTTCCCCAGGACTAAGACAATCCAAGAAACTGATCGGTTTCCAGGAGACCAAAACCGGCTCGCTGCTAGCACTCAGCAGAGGTGAACTAACGGCATCTGCTTTGAGGAGGAAGAGACGGCAGAACACCTCATCTGATTGGTGAGACTGTCACCGGACCTGGGTGAGGCTGCAATAGCACCTCAGCAGATCAGGGAGTTGCAGCCGGAAAAGATCCTCAGATTTTTCAACAAAACTGCCTCCCTCGGAGTAAGATGCTAGGGGCAAGCACAATAGACCAAAGGGTCAAAGTGGATCCATACTTGGGACTTAAGGCGGCAGAGTCAGATTACAGCTTTTCAAGCTGCTTAGAAGGTGTTTGTTCCTTCACTTTTAAGTGAAATCGAGTACAGTCTAATAAAACTACGTCAGGCGTTTAATTAAGCATTCGCAACTGCGATAATAATTTCTTTGTAAATTTGGATGCCCTGCAGGAACACATCTACGTTCAGGAACTCGTCGTCCGCATGCGCTCTAATCGGCGTATCCTGTTTCGCACCAAAACCAAAAGTGGGAATACCAACGGACCTTAGAAATCTTCCATCCGTATTTCCCCGAGCTATGATGAGCTGTATCTCGTACCCCCTTCAACGAACCGAGTTAGAAAGTGCACGCTTCAAAACAAAGTTACATTTTTTTCGACGCCTCGTTGAAGGCAACCCAAAATACGTTCGACTCATCAGTCGCCGTATTAGGAGAATCGCCGTCCTTGAGGATATCTTCAATCCACACTCCTTCCCCAGCACTCTTGCACCACTCCTTCACCCTACCCTCAACGCTGTCATAATCCTCAACCGGAATGCGAAGGTCGAACACCAAAACGAACTCCTCGGGAATAACGTTCCCCTGAACTCCTCCCTAAAACACCTTCACAACACCCGATCAGATTGGCCTCAACGCACCCGCATTATGGTAAGGTTAACGGTCGTCACGTGATCTCCACTTTTCTCTCTGTCCTCCTTCGCCTTTTGCTCTGCTCGAAATGCGTAAAGCTTATTCAGAATGGCCCGCAGTTTTTCTCCCGGAGTGTTCTTCAGCAGAAGCGACCCATGTCCAGATTTTCCCGGACAGTGAACGGCAAACTCTGGAAGCAAGGGATTAGTGAACGATTGTGAATTGTGAACTTACTCCAGTTTCTCTTCTCGCCGTACTGGACAACAAGAGTTTTGCCGTTACCGCTCCTCCCTTCGTCTATGGCGAACCCGACCTTCAATCCTTTAAAGTTGTCAGTCTCGACGTACTTCATGACACCTTCACCTCCACCAAGTTCCTCGTCTGGAACACGCCGAAGGTAAGCCATTGGACTCAGTTTAACACTCACCTGGCACGAAGGTCACGTGAACCGTTCGCCGAGGCCGAACGCCCTGAATCTTCAACCTCCTGATCGCCTCCAGGTACTGAATCCCCGTCGATTTCGTATCCTGAGCGCCGCGCGCGTAGATATCCCCCTTCTCGTCGATGTCGGCGTCGAACGGCCTATGCGTCCAATTCTCCTGCAAGCCAACGTTAAAAAAAATCGCGCCGAAGGGACCAACCTCGAACACGGGCACCACGTCCATGTGACTATTCAGCATGACGCTAGGAAGCGACCGCTCCTTGCCCGGCCACGTCAGTACGACCATCGGATTCTTCGGCACGTCCCGAAAGACCCGGAACTGCAGCCCGATGTCCTTCGCCTGCGTCTCCAGAAATTCGACGCACGGCTCTGCGAAGAAGGTTGATAGCGGGGAAGCAAAACCGCGCGTACTTACCGTAGTCGATGTCGGGATGCACGGACGGTATGCGGAGGTACCGTCGAAAATTTTCGACGGCGATGGTGTCCAGTTCTTTCGACGACAGATCCATGGCGTTTATGATACCGAAATATCTTCGATGTGTTTATGAATAGAGCGAGCGCGAGAGGATGCGGTTAACCAAAACCGCCTGTTGACAATGTTTTCAAGACTTCGGCTGATTGAAAGGAATGTGACACAAACAGATCATCCTAAAGCAATCTTAAAGTTCTAATGCGTGTCTACTACGTTCACGTGATACCTGCTGTGCTCCTGGTACAACCCACTTTTGTCACGTTTAGTATTAGTACGATCACCATTTCGCCAAAGGAGTTTTAGGAAGAAGACAAAGCACCTCAATGTCTTCATTTTAATTCCATAAGTTAATATCAGGAGAACAGAGGTGAAAATCTCCTGTAGAGAATTTACTAGCATATGCGTTCCGATTGCCGATGAGAATCTCACGGTTGCGTTGTTTCATTAGAAGCAAATGGCCGACAAAGTTGAAATAAAATACACCTTCTCGCAATAGGACATATTTATGAACCCCTAATTCAATAGCAAAACAGGAATTTTCCATTAAACGCCATTAAAATAAGCGTTTTAGGTCTACACAACATAGGAATTTCTCTAACAAGTAAAAAAAATGCTGCTATCCTAATTCCAAAAATTTCAAAAAGTGTTAATGGTATCAGGAGCAAATAATTCGACTGGAACATAGCTCACGTTTCATATTCCCCAAAAAATTTTCATTTTCCTATGTCAAAGGCGTAGGATGAACAAACAGAACCAAATACTTCGTCACCGATATCAAAGCGCTAATAAAAATAATACTTTCCCACCATGCAGTTTATCAGGAGCGTATTTGCAATTCTCCTGATACATTTTTTTAAAAACAATAATAGAATAAAAATTGTAACAGGTATTATAAATGGACTGATAAGTCCCAACAAGCGGACCTGTAATCCTAATAACACATTTTTGTAGTCCGATGTCCCCCGGGAATCCTCACACACAATTGGGATAATGTAAGGATCGTGACATAGCTTTGTTACAGGAGAACATAACTTTAAATGGGTTTCTGTGGCCCTGATACAAAGATTGCAGCTTTGTCCGTCATTTAGTTAAAACCTTCGTCTATCCTGTTACATTAGGAGGTCATATAATGCGAGACGGTTTCGTTTCCGTTCCGTGTCTGCGATTCAAATACAAACTCTTCTGGGTGTGTCTGGAAATATTGCAAAATGGCATACGCACATGTATTAGAAGCGTGTAATGCGTGAGAGAGTGTTTTATCAATATATTCTTGACTTACTGCGATTCTGGATTCCTGGTATCCTTTAAAAGAATCCTGCCTCCGGAGACAATAATACGCGCATAAGTGTTGGACATGAGGTTTGAAAAGTTTTGGGTCTCTGTTATCCTGATACAAAGTTCCTTAAATAAGATGTATCAGGACAGCATAATACTTGTCAATGTTTCTTGTGGAGCATTCGAAATCTTCTTGCGGCTTATGTGATCCTGATACAAAGTTCCGATAAATAAATTTTGGATTAAGCGAAATAATTTTGGCTATAGTTCTAATGCATGTAACAGGAGACTGTAAAACGTGAAGAAGGTTTCGGTCAGCAGATTCGAAACATTTCTGCGACTCCGTGATTCTGTATAATAATTCAAGTTCTGAAAAGAGATTTAAAACGTTCTCACGTGTTTATGATCCTGATACAAAGTTTCATAAAAATAGAGTTCGGATCAATAGAAATTATAGCTCGCATTAAAGGAAATAGTTTTACACTTGTTTGCAGATCTGGGGCAAAATAATATAAATATTGTATTAAGGGACTATACAATTTAGGAAAGAGTATTGTCAATAGATTCTAAGAACTCATATTTACCTGTAGTCCTGATATAAATATTCTTAAAAAAGGATTGAAACGTTCTTTTGTCTCTATGATCCTGATACAGAAATCCGTAAAAATAGCTTTTAGATCATGGTTGTGGTTCTTATGAAAGTATGTACATATTGTATCAGGAGATTATAGTACCTTAGAAGGTGTTTTTTTGCCAATAAGTTTAAACATTCCCGCATTTTTGTGATTCTGATATAAAAATAAGAGGAATTTGTATCAGGATAACATAATACATGTCAAGAGATCGAAAACGTCCGTGAGTTTCTGTGATTTTGATACAAAGTCAGTTCTGTTGAGAATACTACTTAGCTGGGGGGTACTCCATACCCCCGGTGCTTACAGGGGATTAAAAACTTACTTGCGTCTCTGAGATCCTGATGCTTGTTGTATCAGGAGATGTAATACGCCAGAAGACGTTATGACTACAGATTTTAGAGATTCCTGCATTTCTCTGATCCTAATACAAACATTGTTTTATAGAAAAGCACATATGAGGGGAAGATTACGCGGGAGAATTAAAACGTTCTCGTGCCTCTATGATCCTGATGATTCCGTAGAAATAAATTTGGGTCTTGATGCGAAGATCTGTAAGATTTTGTATTAGGAGATCATAATACTTAAGAACGTATCTGATTTTAAACAGATTTCTCGTTGTATTAGCGTTTTTAATAGCGTGTGTAGAAGCTTTATCTTCCCATGAGTCGCGGAAAAACGTTGTTCAACAGATTTAAGTTTTATCAAGACTCCATGATGTGACTCTATCTAATATACATTTTTTGTGGTTCTGTGATCTTAATACAAACGCTTGGGAAAAGAAATGATTTTCCGACCTGTACTAACAATGCGTAAAGACTTTTTATACCAGGAGCACATAATATCGAGATGGACTTGGTCAGTAAACCCCTTCGTCCCTCTGTGATTTAATAAAATCCTCGATCTTTTCAATACATTTAACATTCTATCAAGGGTGCAGCAAAGTGTGAAAAACCAACTACCGATGGCCGGTCCGCTGTTTCTCCTCGGCGTCGAAGTAATGCTGCAGGTCTCTGACTTTTCGCATCGTCCTCTCGTGGTAGACCTTTATCGAGCCTAAATCTCCGCCGATCTCCTTCGGAAAGTACCTCTTCGGTATCCATTTTTCGTAAAAGTCGCGCATCCCGTTGTCGCCCGCATGGAAAACGACCTGGAAAGGTGGGCAATTTTACACTGCCGATTCGCGGGTACTCACCTTCGTTGCCAGATCTTTATGCAACCACGGTTTGATTATGTTGAATGCCGCGAATAGAGCTCGATTGGCGTAGAGGATGTGAAGGTTCTTAGTTATTAGCGGTATTGCCGTTTGAATGTAATTGAAATACACTGGGATTACATGAAGGTTCAGTTTGAAGATGTGCATGAAGCTAAACTAAAATTGGAAGTGAGCCCCTAAGATAGTCGGTACCGTTAGCTCCGTACCCCTCTGACATCAATGATATAAATTGAATCTTGAGGATTTTCATCCTGAAGTACACTCTCCAAGACCATACAGTTCATCTTCAGGAAACTAGGCGTGTCAAAGTTTCGGTAGTTGGTGTCTTGAAATGACGACAAGAACAGCGAGGAACCCTGGTAGCGTTCGGGCAGCACTGCGAAGTACCTGAAAGAAGTTTTGGGCTGACGTCGAAATTTGAACACCTACCCAACGCCAGCGATGCGTCGCAAGTCTTCGTTGAGCACGTTGCGGTCCCTGAAGAGGACGCACTCTGCCGTTTTGCACCTGAAGTAGTTCTCAACGGTTCCCTTGCAGACCTCTACGTCATTGTTGGTGGAGATCAGGAACAGGACGAGCTGCTCATCGTTCAATTTCGGCAAATCCGTACTACTCAGCCAGTCCCTCAAAGTCCGAAGATCGTCTTCGGCCACGTGACCTTCGCGAATGATATCGCGGGCGTTAAATCCAAACTTAACCTCCGACATGTCTGCTTGAGAACTGACTCCTCGATTGCGCAGACGGTGTCATAAACTCGCCTGAGAACCCGACGCACAATGAGTCATTTAAATTTTATTGGCATGATTTAATTTAATTACAAACCTCCTCTCAACAGTTCCTAATTTAGGAGCTCTAATTGTCCAATGATTTCAATTAAAGTTATTGCTAATTTAAGTAGATTAGAAGATTTTCGAGAAGGACAACAAAGGATAAGTGACAAGGCAGTAGTTATGTTCCCCTGATATCGCGAATTACCTGTGTCCAATCCTGTTATAAAGTTAAATACAACCTTCTATCTACGTTTTACGACGTTCACATGGTACGCTTAATGCTGAGAAAGCATACCAATCGAAATAAATCTTTGCTCCTGGTAATGAGATAATATCTTTAAATGAAGATCAAAGGTGAGGTCTAGTCACGGCATCAGCATGTGATACAGTTTTACACTACAAAAAATGTCACCTTTTATTTGCACTGAAACATTTCTGCACGCCTGATACATTTTACTACAATAATTGGGTAGGCTCCACTGACTACCGACGGGGTGTCGAGAGCTTCCGAATGATTCACGATGACTTTGGCTCTAACGGGGTGAATGAAGATCACATTCACCATCACTGTGGTGGTAACGGTCTCAATCATGGCCATGGTTCTCGATTCTGATTAATTCCGAACTTGATTCTGATCCCGATTTTGTTACGATCACTGCTGGGTCGAAACCTGATCCTGATTAGGTTTAGGACACAGAGGGCTAAAAACTCAACAAAACCTAGGATTCAGGACTCAGAACTCAACGCTTATTATTCACAATTCAGGATTCAACGCTGAAGGTTTATCAAGGTTTCGGATTAAGACTTCAAACCTCAAGAAGGTTTGCGATTAAAAATTTGGGATTCAGAATACTCGAAACACAGGCTCGAGGCTTTTCTGAGACTTACACAAGATAAAGGGCTCAAAATTGCGCATCAAGAATTTACGGTTCATTATAGGTATTGAGAATTCGGGGTTCTGGAAATAGGGATTAATAAATTAATCTCAGCTCAACAATCAAGATTCACGGTTCAGGATAGAGGTCTCAGGAATTAGGACTAATGGAGGATATATACAAGATCGGGATTGGTATTCAGAATGTGTTGACTCAAGATTCAATGATTCATGGGTGGGAACTCAAGATTTAACGCTGAAGATTCAAGAAGACTTGGAATTCATGACCCAAGGTTCAAGAATATTTGGTGTTGAAAATTAATGATTGAGTGTTCAGAACACAAAGAGTCAGGGTTCAGGATCCAGAGTATTGATGCAAGAATTCATTGCTCAGATCTTACGGATTAAGTCGATTCTCAGTGCATAGGGTTCGGGATACTAGATTAAACCAGTACTCAACAATCGTGATCCAAGTCTTAAATAATTTAGAAATTCGGACCAAGTGAAGAATTCGGGTCTTAGGAATCACGATTAGAATTCAGGATTCAGGAATCGAGCTTGAAATCCCAAAAATATTCGGGAACTAGAACAAAGGACCCAAGCCTTGGGAGAGAAAATTTAAGGTCCAGGATTGGGTACTAGAGATTCAGGGTTTAAGATCTAAGAACTTAGGGTTCATGACTAGGAATCCTTGACCCAAGGATCAAGAGAATTAGGATTGAAAATTAATGATTCATCGTACAAAATCCAGAATTCGTGTGCCGTCATTCACATTTCAGGAATTAGTATATGTAAATCAAGGTTCAAAAAAACTCGCAGGTTAAGCACGGATCATTGAGAAACATGGTAGGGAGTTCAGGATCCAGGGTTATTGGTTCGGAATTCATTGTTAAGAATTCAGGTCGCGGAAATGCAGGATTGAGAACCCGGAGTTAAAGACAATGTTCAATTCTCCAGAAGATTCAGGATTTAAGATTTAGGATTCAAGAGTCAATAGGATTAACAATACGTGATTCAAAATTCAGGACTCAGGAATTAGCTTCACATGTTTCACGCGGGACTATCGGTGCGGGATCTAAGAGACAGGATTTGGGGTTCAAGATACCGACAAATTGCGCACAGAAAATACTAAATCTAAAAGGGTTCAGATTTCTGGATACACGAACCAGGTTTGAGTGTAGGCTCAGGATAAGGAAATCACGATTCAGAGTTCAGATTTTAAAATTAAATGCTTGAGTTTAGGATAAGGGGCTTAAGACCCAACAAAAACTAGGATTCTGGTCCCCAAACTCAGAACTTAATTCTTATTATTGAGAATTTAGGATTCAACGCTGAAGGTTCCATAAGATCCAGGATCAAGACTTCAAACCTCAATGGTTTGCGATTTAGGATTCAGGATTCAATACTCAAAACACAGGGTCGAATACAAGGGTCAAAATTTTCCAATTCACTGTTCAGAATTCAGGGTGCGGAATTGCAAATTCAAGAACACAAGGGATTGAGCACTCGGAGTTAAACACAATGTTCAATTCTCCAGAAGATTCTGGATTTAAGATTTAGGATTCAAGAGTCAATAGGATTAACAATACGTGGTTCAAAATTCAGCACTCTGGAATTAGTTTCACATGGTTCACGAGGGGCTAAGGGTGTAGGATCTAGGAGACGGGATTTGGGGTTCAAGATACCGACAAATTGCGCACAGAAAATACTGGATCTAAAGGGGTTCAGACTTCTGGATACACGTACCAGGATTGAGTGTAGGCTCAGGATAAGGAATTCACGATTCAGAGTTCAGATCTTAAGATTCAATTCTTGAGTTTAGGATACGGGGCTTAAGACCCAAAAAAACTAGGATTCTGGTCCCCAAACTCAGAACTCAATTCTTATTACTGGGAATTCAGGATTCAACGCTGAAGGTCCCACAAGATTCAGGATTAAGACGATAGGATTCAATACTCAAAACACAGGCTCGAGTACAAGGTTCAAAATTTCCCATCGAGGATTTACGGTTCATGGTTTAGAATTCATGGTTCAAGATATAGAGATTTATAAACCATTGTGATATCTTACCCTTCAACACCCAAGATTCACAGTTTAGAGTACGGGGACTAGATTAAGGGTTCAATAAACAAATTTCTAAAAGTTCAAATCCCAAACCTCAGCGGTCGAATTAACACTCAACGCACAAATCCCAAGGGGAATCATAATTCAGGGACTAAAAGGCTCTGGATAGACACAGGATTCAGGACTTGGTATTCAGAGTTTAAGTCTCTGGACACAAGATTTAGAATCCGCAACCCAAGGTTCAAGATTCCTGGATTGAAACTCATGACCCAATTCGACGGTTCAAGAGGATTCATGGGTTCATGACTAGGAATCTATGACTCAAGTTCATGAATATTTAGGATTGAAAATTAACAAGTCTGGATTCAGAATCCAGAATTCATTGTGCAATATACAATAAATGTGATCCAAGGTTTACAAAATTCACAAATTTGGACTCGGGGCTCAAAAATATAGATGGGACGCATGGACACTCCACAGGAAAGAAAGATATGTCCATCAGTTTTCAAAAACTAGTATGAGAACCTCGAGGACTGGGTGGCCCTTGTTGAAAAATGTCTTACCGGGGGATATGGAATACCCCCCAGCGTATACGAAGCCTTGATTTCCTTGAGGGCTGGGCGCCCTTGTTTTAAATGACTTTACAGGCTCATTGGAACTGATACTCTTCAAACTACCTAAACGTTTCTAGGAATTAATAAAGAATCTTGAAGGATTTTACAGGTCATAGAATCTTTATATGAAAGGCTTCTAAAAGGCTCTATGTGCGGTTTGTGTATTTTCGAGGCACTGTATAGAAAGCACTTGAACATTTTTTAACTCTGTTAAGGTTCTATAGTATAAATAATAACGCCGATTTAACGACCTTTAATGCTACCAAAGGCTATTACGGACTGGTAATACTTTCAATGGATCTAACGACCATGACAAATGCCTCATTATTAATGACCTTTAAATGCTTCCTAATTCATCTAAGTGATACATAGGAAACTTGCCTCTGAAAATGGATTTGAAGCCTTTAGAGAGTGTTAAAAATTCATAATGGCCTTTATACACGTTTTATTAATGAATATTAACGGCTCTAAATGTTTCCGAAACGATTAAAGGCTCCTAAAGACTCCCATAAGGCCCGAAAGACGTCTGTACCTTTGAAACTATAGGGGCTGTCTGACATAAATAAAGGCTTTTGGGGCTAGTCTTTTAAACAAGTTTCCAGACTATTAATAACAGTTAAAAACTCTTAGTGCGTCATAAATAATGTTCAGGAGTTTAATGAGACCTAAAAGGCTCTATGTGCCTCTGAAAAGGCATTTGAGACCTTTGGGGCTGCTAGAAATTAATAAAGATTTTTCAATACTAAGCTTTTAATAACATTTAGAGCAAGAAAGACCTTCGCAGCTGGATTTTTGAACGTGTTTAGAGACTATTAATGACATTAAAAGCTCCCAATCATAAATGTTATTAAGGGCTCTTAAGTCTTATAAGGCTACTATGAACACATCTGGGTTTCTCTAAAGACCTATAAAATCTGTTGGAGAGCCATGAAGACCTTCAAAAATACTTGAAAACTTACTGGCTAATAAAGATATTTGAACGTTGAGCTACTAAAGACCTTCAAAATTTATGAAAGAGTGTTCTTCAAGGAATTCCGAAAGACTGTATAGACCTTAGAAACCCTTGAAAGACCTTTGAAAATCAGAAATACAACAAAAGGCTCTAAAGGCTGTTAAAGACCCTTCTAAAGAGACTACTTCAAAGCTCTTGAAAACCTTTTAACACAATTAACAAATTGCCAAAAAGACCCTAATGAATCTTAAGGCTTTTTGAACACGTTTAGAGACTATTAATGACATTAAAAGCTCCCAATATTTCATAAATGTTATTAAGGGCTCTTAAGTCTTATAAGGGTACTATGAACACATCTGGGTTTCTCTAAAGACCTATAAAATCTGTTGGAGAACCATGAAGACCTTTAAAAACACTTGAAAACTTACTGTCTAATAAAGATATTTGAACGTTGAGCTACTAAAGACCTTCAAAGTTTATAAAAGAGTGTTCTTCAAGGAATTCTGAAAGACTGTATAGACCTTAGAAATCCTTGAAAGACCTTTGAAAATCAGAAATACAACAAAAGGCTCTAAAGGCTGTTAAAGACCCTTCTAAAGAGACTACTTCAAAGCTCTTGAAAACCTTTTAACACAATTAACAAATTGCCAAAAAGACCCTAATGAATCTTAAGGCTTTTTGAACACGTTTAGAGACTATTAATGACATTAAAAGCTCCCAATATCTCATAAATGTTATTAAGGGCTCTTAAGTCTTATAAGGGTACTATGAACACATCTGGGTTTCTCTAAAGACCTATAAAATCTGTTGGAGAACCATGAAGACCTTTAAAAACACTTGAAAACTTACTGTCTAATAAAGATATTTGAACGTTGAGCTACTAAAGACCTTCAAAGTTTATAAAAGAGTGTTCTTCAAGGAATTCTGAAAGACTGTATAGACCTTAGAAACCCTTGAAAGACCTTTGAAAATCAGAAATACAACAAAAGGCTCTAAAGGCTGTTAAAGACCCTTCTAAAAAGACTACTTCAAAGCTCTTGAAAACCTTTTAACACAATTAACAAATTGCCAAAAAGACCCTAATGAATCTTAAGGCTTTTTGAACACGTTTAGAGACTATTAATGACATTAAAAGCTCCCAATATCTCATAAATGTTATTAAGGGCTCTTAAGTCTTATAAGGGTACTATGAACACATCTGGGTTTCTCTAAAGACCTATAAAATCTGTTGGAGAACCATGAAGACCTTTAAAAACACTTGAAAACTTACTGTCTAATAAAGATATTTGAACGTTGAGCTACTAAAGACCTTCAAAGTTTATAAAAGAGTGTTCTTCAAGGAATTCTGAAAGACTGTATAGACCTTAGAAACCCTTGAAAGACCTTTGAAAATCAGAAATACAACAAAAGGCTCTAAAGGCTGTTAAAGGCCCTTCTAGGTAATGAAAGGTTCTAAAGTCTCTGAAAATTGCTCAAAGGCTTGACTTTTGAAATAACATTTAGGTGTGGAGACTGTTGAAGACTATTAGAGATTTTGGAAGATGCCCTTAAATGTTCCATAGCCTTTGAAAAGAACCCTCTTAAATGCCATTAAAGACTAAATAACCAAATATACCAAGGTAATCGGATTTCAAAAGTTCTAAAGAGACTGCTTCAAAGCTCATGAAACAATTAACAAATTGCCCTAATGGATCTTAAGGCTCATAAAAGCTCTTCAAACCTGTTTAGAGCTCCTAATCCTTTGTATTTCCTGTCAAGCGACCCCACACTTAAAGATCGGTTAAAAGTCCTTTTCAGCCGTTGAGAACCTTGAAATCTTCCATTGAGGCCTCAGGAGTGTTAGAGTCTCTTAGAAAGTGTACAAAATGGGGACATTTTTTGGGTTTTCAAGAGACCCCACAAAAGTGTTACAGGCTCTCTAAAGCCCTCTATGGGAGATTTTCTTAGCATCTACCGATTTTCCAGCGCACTCTAAGACCTTCTATGTCCTTTACAGCAAACTTCGAGAAGGAAAAGAAAATTGACCACGGTTTGAAAAAGCTCATATAATTTTGGGCACCAGACGTGTACAAATCACGCCAAAAAGTAAATAAAAATATAAAATTAAAATTAAATCAGAATACGAGCTTTGTGAATCCTCGGGCACTAGTGGGTATAACCTTTATCTTGGTAATGAACAATCCAGATACCTACACAAATAATATTTAACTGCATAAAACAGCAACTAAATTTTGGAAAATACTTCTTGGTTAGAAATCGGCATTTCAGATCCAAAAATCCAAAAAATTGCACTTTTTTTAATGTAAACACAGCAGAATAATTTACAAATTACGGCTGCTATTATTTTTTAATGCATCGTGTTTCATTTGTTTAATTTTCCAAGGCTTACCTAAAAGTGTATGGTCCTTTTCCAAACAATCTTTCGCGCTATCGACAAATACCGGAAATACGTCAAATAAGATACAATGCATTTTTATTAATTAATTAATTAATCTCATTTTCCCAATATTTGAGGTTAGGAACGAGATTTTGAAAAACGGTTTTCACTGGCTTCTTTCGGTGTTATTTGGCTACTTTTTCATAAAGACAACTAGCCCCCTGGCGGAGAACGATTCAACTAAATTAACTATATTTTGGTTGATTCTTGTTGCCTAAGGAATGCTCTTTTCATCGATACCAAATTTGTTACAATCGATCAAACGATTAAGAAGTTAAAGCAGGTTATTGCAAAAACAATTGAACGCCCCACGCTTTGTTTTTGAAATAACTGAATTTTTGTTTTTACGAAAATGGTAGATAAACTGGTTCGCTTTAAAAATGTGAAAAAAGAATGTTTAGTTTATTATGCGAAATTTAAAGAAAATGCAATTTTAAAATTTAAGATGGCAGTTACGCCCTCTGGTGGTCATTTTTAGAACTTGAAAATATTTTCCAGTGATTCTTCATAACCGATTTACCCAATAATTTTTTTTACCCCTAAGTCATATGACTAACGGTTCCCGAGATATGGTTGAGGAACAGTCTTATTGGGTCACCCGGTACAAAGAAAAAACTACAATGCGACAAATTAGACCTAATTCCGATGAATTTAAACTGCTTACTCCATTGATGGGTTTCACATTACGAGAGAGATAAAACAAAGATAGATATGACAAAACCTACTTGATATAAAAATAACTTTACCTCTAGAGGAATACAGCGTTACTCCATTCGCGTAAAGACGCTTAGATAATTATATAGTTAAAACAATTTTAGCGTGATGACTCTGGAATTTTCCAATTCAAATCAACATTCTTCGGAAAAATACACGTATCATTACTACGACAAAAGCTTTAAAAGAGGTCATGTCAATGCAAATGGTACCAACTACTTCCAACACACTAAAAGCGCATTCAGTCAGTCAGTCAATTTAGCGTTTTCTTTCAAGTATTCAATAGTTTTGAAGAGCTTTAAGAACGTGCATCTGTTTCTTTATCTGTATCGTAGCTTTACGATATTTAAGAGGGTTTAAAGTTATTTGAAAATGTGCAGTTTTTACGGGATCGGCAGGCTTGGTTTCATACCCCCCTGACCCACCAATATCACTTTTTCCCGCAAAAATTTAGCCCGTCATGGCTCTCACAGCAGTTTTTGAGAAGAATATCAGATCTTATTCTCCAAGAAAGTATTGCAAAGAACGTAGATCCGGGGGGTCTGAAGGTATGAAATTTCCCCCCCACCCCTAGCAGTACTTTCAGTACAAGAAAACTAGACAAGTCCTCTTCATATAACCCTTTGTACTCTCGTAGAGATATTCAGGAAATGAGAATGGAATTATCGTATACGGATGAGGGGGGAGGGGGATTGGAATATCCCTCAGACCCCCCCGGTAAAAATTTAACTCCTCTCAGGGCTCTCTCGAAGTTTCTGGGGAGATTATCACATCTTCTTCTCCAAAGGAGTATTGCAGATAACGTAAGAGGGTATGGAATACCCCCCCCCCTCCAGTACTTTCAGCACAGAAAGACTCGACAAGTCCTCTTGATATAACCCTCTGTACTCTAATGCGAGTATTCAGGAAATGACAATGAAACTATCGTTTACTAGACCTAGAGGGTATTCCATACCCTCAGAACCCTCGGTAACGCTTTATCACACAAAAGTTTAACCTGTGTTAGGGCTCCCACAGTACTCTTATGGGCGTATTCAGGAATTGACAATGGACTATCGTTTACTGGGGGCTATTGTATACCTTCTTTGCTTAAAATACTGCTGTGGGGTATTCCATACTCCCAAGACCCCCCCGGTGCTACGTTATCTGTAATACCTCGAGGACTCGACAGCTTCTTTTCATATAACTCTCTATATTTTCATGGGGGTATTAACGAAATGACAATGGAACAATCGTATTCCTCCCCCCTCCCTCAACCGCCTTGGTGAGACTTTCTATCGCAAGAATTTAGCCTCTGTCAGTGCTTTCACACCGGACGTTTATTAAATGATGCTTTTTAGTCCCCAAGTTTTGGAATCCGAACTGCAGCAACCTTATGTGGCATTCAAAAAAGATGTGACGAATCTAAAGGAGGCCAGTAAAAGGATTTATTTTGAACCAATTCACATAGAAATTCGTTTACATTTGGGACCTTTGCGAAAGTTCCGCGTCAAAAAACCATTGGAGCGACTCCAGCTGCTCTACAAGTGCATGGTGGTAGATCTCGATCGACTCCAACTCGCCCCCATATTCTCTCGGAAGACATCGCTTCGGTATCCACTCCTCGTGGAACAACTCCATGTCCATGCCGCTGCGGTGGAAGTGGATCTGCAAGCGAACTAATGTTACACACCGATCGGTGCTATTGGAAGCCAACCAAGCCTGCCATTTCCGGTTTAATAAAGGGACTTAGCATTTTAAAAAGCGCCTTTACAGTAGAGGACGAATTGATTAAGTGAATGCCCGCCAGTCGCATCGGAAAGCCGCTCTGGATGTACTCTGAGATCGTCCTTAGCAAATCAAGCTTCATCTTCATCAGATGCTTGAATGTCATCTGAAATTTCCACTGTACGCGTGTCGAACAATTCTTCTTTCGTCACGGACTTACCCCATTCCCATCGAGGAGGAAGATTGCGCTTTTGACGGGACCGTTAAAGACGGACGCATCGACGTTCATCGTCAGTAGCGACGCCATGCATCTATGGTCGTAGTCGTCGACGTTTTTCTCGACCATCTTCCAAAAAAAGATGATTGAGTCGTTGTGGTATACGGGCAGATTGGCGGTCAAACTGGGAAGCAATCGATGGATGAAGAAGATAGCGAGACTCTCACTTACACTGCTTTGAGGTTGCGACGCATCTTCTCGTCCAAGGTGCGACCGTCGAAGATCTCAGGACGAGTCTGCTTCAGGTGGTAGTGCGACTTGATGATGTTCTTCGCTGTTTGTAGGTCGTGGCCGGCAGCGGTGAGGAAAATCAGGATCTGTTCGTCGAGCAGGTTCGGTATTGGCTCCTCGACCAGCCACTTTTTGATCTTGTCCAAGTTATCCCAAATTTTCGGGTCATTCTTTATAACGTCCCTCGCGCTGAATCCTAAACGAATTTGCGACATGGAGTGCACTAAAATGCGTGGAACGTGTACGAGGGGACAAGGTTGCAGCTATTCGCAGTGTCATCCTCGGTGCTTGCAAATTAGCATGCCATTAGCAATGGAGATTCACTTCATTGCAGTTTACCTGATTGTATGTATAATGTCTCTACATACTAACGAAAACGTGGTGAAAGTGCTCTGATTTGTTATCCTACTGCCATAGCCCATTGAGGTTGCTCAGAAAATATCTGGCAATCACACAAATTAAAGTATGCCTTGCGTGTGTAGGTAACAATAATTAGAGATATTAAAAAAGTGGTTATATAATCATCTAAAAAGTTGCAAATTAAGATTGTTAGATAGAACGCAACTCACATGGCAAGGATAATCTTAAAATTGAGGCTCTAAAAACTCATGCGGGTCTTTAAAGCTTTGTGAGAGACTTTGTAGGTTGTTTAAGTTCACGGGAGCTATTGGAGCCTAGACGACTAGAAACTCGCATGGACCTTTCTTACTCACTTAAAAACGTTTAATTTTTGAAGACTTAGTGCTTTTAAATACACTACATAAGCGTCTACACTAATTTAATGGCTTTTAAAGGTCTCCCAATCCTTTCATGCTCTTTCATACTCTTCAAATCAATAGAAACTCACAAAAGCTAATAATTAAACACTTCCTCAACATTATATTTCCCCAATACAGTAGTTTAAACCAAATTATAGTGTTGGCCCATTTTCCTTGGGCTTAGAGAGGCCCCTCTTCAGGGATTATGTTCCCCTGGTATCCACAAACAACTGACAATATCTTCGTAACACACACTTAATGAATTAACTTGAAGTAACACAGTTACATTAAACAAAAACAAAATGTTGAACTAAGAAAAGATCAGAGAGTAGAGCAGAAACACCCCCTGACTCAACCGGTTCTCCTGGTAAGGAAGTTTAATCGACTATTTATAAGCTTATACTCCTAGATTACGTTTTCCTAGTAGCTAGAGAAAGTGTACACCGTTTTCGTGCCAAATACTTAGCGAATTAGAAGCATGAAGATCTCCCCGCGCAACATGTTCTCCTGATACAAAAGTCTAAATCAAAGCAAGGTATTGGAACACTTCTTTTGTACTTGGAAACGATTTTCCTGGTAGCTAGAGAAAATGTTCAACGCTTTCGTGGCAGATAGTTAGCAAATTAGAAGCATGAAGGTCTCCTCGCGCAACATGTTCTCCTGATACAAAAGTCTAAACCAAAGCAAGGTATTGGAACACTTCTTTTGTACTTGGAAAACGATTTTCCTGGTAGCTAGAGAAAATGTACAACGTTTTCGTGCCAAATACTTAGCGAATTAGAAGCATGAAGATCTCCCCGCGCAACATGTTCTCCTGATACAAAAGTCTAAATCAAAGCAAGGTATTGGAACACTTCTTTTGTACTTGGAAACGATTTTCCTGGTAGCTAGAGAAAATGTTCAACGCTTTCGTGGCAGATAGTTAGCAAATTAGAAGCATGAAGGTCTCCTCGCGCAACATGTTCTCCTGATACAAAAGTCTAAACCAAAGCAAGGTATTGGAACACTTCTTTTGTACTTGGAAAACGATTTTCCTGGTAGCTAGAGAAAATGTACAACGTTTTCGTGCCAAATACTTAGCGAATTAGAAGCATGAAGATCTCCCCGCGCAACATGTTCTCCTGATACAAGACTCTAAACCAAAGCAAGGTATTGGAACACTTCTTTTATACTTAGAAGACGATCTCCTTGTGAATTACGATCTCATGGAAGCCCAAGTGGATTCTTACTGAATGAATTAGGAGCACAAACACCTCCTCGCCTAAAACAAACTTCCCATACAGAAAGAAGACGATCTCCTTATGAAATATGATCTCATGGTAGCCCAAGTTAATTTCCTTTACTTTGTTACTGAATGAATTAGGAGCACAACACAACAACTCCTGATCATATAATCCTCCGTACTTTCATGGGGGTGTTCAGGAAATGACAGAGGAACTATTGTCAAGGAATCTATTTGCTATCACTTAACTGTTTGCATGAGGAGGATTCCCTGAATATCTGTAAAATGTAAATGTTCACTGTTTGCTAGAAGAACAGAATCTTTGAGGAGGTATTTTGGTAAGCTCAAAGGAGAATGTGCCAGCACCTGATTTTCGTATACATTTCTGTATGGGAAGTTTGTTTTAGGCGAAGAGGTGTTTGTGCTCCTAATTCATTCAGTAAGAATCCACTTGGGCTTCCATGAGATCGTAATTCACAAGGAGATCGTCTTCTAGGTACAAAAGAAGTGTTCCAATACCTTGCTTTGGTTTAGACTTTTGTATCAGGCGAACATGTTGCGCGGGGAGATCTTCATGCTTCTAATTCGCTAAGTATCTGGCACGAAAACGTTGTGCATTTTCTCTAGCTACCAGGACAATCGTTTTCTAAGTGCAAAAGAGGTGTTCCAATACCTTGCTTTGGTTTAGACTTTTGTATCAGGAGAACATGTTGCGCGGGGAGATTTTCATGCTTCTAATTCGCTGAGCATCTGGCACGAAAACGTTGTACATTTTCTCTAGCTACCAGGAAAATCGTCTTATAAATACAAAAGAAGTGTTCCAATATCTTGCTTTGGTTTAGACTTTTGTATCAGGAGAACATGTCGCGCGGGGAGATCTTCATGCTTCTAATTCGCTAAGTATTTGGCACGAAAACGGTGTATATTTTTTCTAGCTATCAGGAAAATCTTCTTCTAAGTACAAAAGAAGTGTTCTAATACCTTGCTTTGGTTTAGACTTTTGTATTAGGAGAACATGTTGCGCGGGGAGATCTTCATGCTTCTAATTCGCGAAGTATCTGGCACGAAAACGTTGTACATTTTCTCTAGCTACCAGGAAAACGTAATCTAGGAGTATAAACTTATGAATATTCGATTGGACTTCCTTATCAGGAGAACCGTTTGGGTCAGGAGGTGTTTCTGCTTTAATCTCTGATCTTTTCTATGTTCAATATTTTATTTTCGTTTAAGTTAACTGTGTTACTTCAAGTTAATTCATTAAGTGTGTGTTAGGAAGATAACAGAATCACTGAAGAGGTGCCTCTCTATGCCCAAGAAAAATGGACGAACACTATAATTTGGTTTAAACGACTGTATTGGGGAAATATAATGTTGAGGAAGAGTCTAATTATTGGCTTTTGTGAGTTTCTATTGATTTTAAGAGCATGACAGGATTGGGAGACCTTTGAAACCCATTGAATTAGTCTAGTCTTTTTAAAAGCACAAAGTGTTCAAAAATTAAAGGCTTTTAAGTGGGTAAGAAAGGTCCATGTGAGTTTTCAAGTCGTCTAGGCTGCAATAGCTTCTGAGAGCTTAAAGGACCTTCAAGTCTCTCACAATTTTAAGGCTTTTTAAAGGCTGGCATGAGGTTTTTAGATTATCCTGCGATGTGAGTTGCGTGCTATTAGGCGGTCAACAATCTTAACCTTCAACTGTTTAAATTATTATTGTATAACCATTTCTGGTATTTCCAATTATAGTTACCTACTTACGCAACGCATCCTTTAACTTGGGTATTGCCACTTATTTTGGAAGCGAGATCAAAAGACTATGACATCGGGACAACAAATCAGAGCACCTTCACCACGTTTTCGCCGATAAGTAGAGATATTACCTATACATACCATCCAGGTCAACTTAATTTCCATTTCTAATGGTATGCTAATTTGCAAGCACCAAGGACGACACTGCGAATAGGTGCAACCTTGTACCCTCGAACGTGTTCCGCGCATTTCAGTGCACTCCATGTCGCAATTTCGTCTAGGTTTCAGCGCGAGTGACGTTATAAAGAATGACACGAAGATTTGGGGTAACTTGGACACGATCAAAAAGTGGCTGGTCCAAGAGCCAATACCGAAGTTGCTCGACGAACAGATCCTGATCTTCCTCACCGCCGCCGGCCATGACGTACAAACAGCGAAGAACATCATCATGTCGCACTACCACCTGAAGCGGACTCACCCTGATGTCTTCGACGGTCGCACCTTGGACGAGAAGATGCGTCGCAACCTCAAAGCAGTGTAAGTGAGAGTCCCGCTATCATCTTTATCCGTCGATTGCTCCCCAGCGTGACCGCCAACCTTCCCGTGTACCACAACGACTCGGTCATCTTCTTCTGGAAGTTTGTCGAGGGATCCGTCGACCACTACGACACTAAATGCACGTTATCGCTACTGACGATGAACGCCGATGTGTCCGTCTTTAACGGTCCCGTGAAAAGCGCAATCTTCCTCGTCGACGGGAATGGGGTAAGTCCGTGACGAAAGAAGAATTGTTCGAGACGCGCTCGTGAAAATTTCAGATGACATTTAAGCATCTGATGAAGATGAAGCTTGGTTTGCTAAGGACGATCTCGGAGTACATTCAGAACGGCTTTCCGATGGGACTGGCGGGCATTCACTTCATCAATTCGTCCTTTACTGTAAAGGCGCTTTTTAAAATGCTAAGCCCCTTTATTAATCCGGAAATGGCAGGCTTGGTTGGCTTCCAATAGCACCGAACAGTGTGTAACATTAGTTCGCTTGCAGATCCACTTCCACTGCAGCGGCACGGACATGGAGTTGTTCCACAAGAAGTGGATACCGACGCGATGTCTTCCGAGAGAATATGGGGGCGAGTTGGAGTCAGTTGAAGTCTACAGTCAGGCCCTTGTACAGAGGTTGGAGTCGCTGCAATGGTTTTTTGACGCGGAACTTTTGCAAAGGTCCCAAACATAGATTACTCTTATGTGTAGTTCTCATTCAGTTTAGGTAATTCAAGTGTGAAGTAGAAAATACGTTTTTTCACTCCCCTCCATTGAAATGTCCTTTAGACTCATGGCATCGTTTTTGATTACCAAATGAGGTTGGTGTTTTTGTTTTACTTTTGCAAGAAGGGCACATTTCTGAAATATAATCCCGAAAATTGATGTCGTATGGAAAATTGTTATGGTTCCAATAAAGCGAAATCACCCCAAAAATCAATTTTTCAGCAAATTTTTAAGGTTAATGGTGTACCTACCGGGTGACCCAATAAGGCTGTTCCTCGGCGATATCACGGGAACCGTTCGTCGTATGAATAAAAAAATTATTGGGTAAATTGGTCATGAAAAATCACTGGAAAATATTTTCAAGTTCTAAAAATGACCACCAGAGGGCGTAACAGCAATCTTAAATCTTAAAAGTGCATTTTCTTTAAATTTGGTCATTTTTAGAACTTGAAAATATTTTCCAGCGATTCTTCATGACCGATTTACCCAAATTTTTTTATCCCTAAGTCATACGACGAACGGTCCCCGAGATATGGCCGAGGAACAGTCTTATTGGGTCACCCGGTACAGTAAACTATTAAAATTGAAATTAAGATTACTCACTTAACTGACTACTTAACTGATTGTCTCGTACTGGAAATTCTAGCGATCTGTGTCACGACCTTCTGATCTTTCACTCCAATGGAATTAAAATTTGGAAGTGAGTGTTGTCACTGTGCCATTTGGGTTACCGAATGCACCTGATACGCGAAAGGTAAATGCGGAAGAACTGGGCGTGGGTGCCAGTTAAGTTGCGCTACACGGTACAAATTTCAGCATAATTTACCTATCAAGGTGTTTTTTAATTTTTATTTGTCCATTAACCACATTATCCTTTGATTTAATGAGGAATAAATTACTAATTACGACCTATATACGTGGATAGATAGTATCAGGAGCGGATAATGTATCCCTCTTTCTTTGTTAGCGTTCAGGTACCAGGATTACAAAAACTGAAGCGTCTAACAAAAAAGTGCCAAAAAACCAGTGATACTACAACGGGTTATTTACCGTAAAAGGGGTGCAGCAGCTAACGTCGGCACTTGATAGCCGGGACTTGAATTTTCCCCGAACTGCGGAAAAGAACACTACGGTCAGAAAGACCACACTAGAAGCCATAAATTCACTTCAAATGTGAAATATCGTGTCAGGGGCACAGCAGCAAACATCGTAAAATGATTCAGATGGCAGCTTTTCTTCAGGAACTGAATTCTGCGCTCGCTGTAAATATCAGTAGGTCCCAATGTAAGTGATTAACCGATTTCGTTGCATATGCTGAATATTTCAGAAGAGTTTAGGAGGTATAAATCCACTTCAAATCAGAAGGGCTGCGGCACATTGCGTAAAAGGATTCTTAGACCATATTCTTTCTGTATGCTATTCCGACATATGAATTTCTGCTTTGAGTTTGCATTTTCTGCTCTCCTGGTAGCGAAACCATTCAAAAGGTACTGTATTTGACCAAGGTTCATAAGCCTTTGAGACGTTTCAAATTATTCTGCTGTCCCAACAAAGTTTTTCGAGAAGGTACTGGAGGACTCCGTTTTAAAAGTGATTTATTCTACCAGGAGCGCAGCTGTGAATGTCGTAGTCTCCAGATTGCGGAAACTAACCTTTAAAATGCAAGCAATTTATCAATACGCTCTTTCGGCTCACCTTAAAAATGGATTTGTCGTATAAAGAGCACAAACGCGATAATATTGTGCAATTTATTCAAATGAAGTAATTATCCTACTGTAAATTCATACATTTCGGAATAATAACCACTTAACGTCAGATGGGAAATTGGGTAATTGAAGAACGGTGTTCTCTTATTCCTCAGTTTGCGTACGGAAATGTCGGAAGTTAAATTTGGATTCAGTGCCGGTGCAATAATCCAAGCCGGCCACGTGAGCGACGATGATCTTCAACTGCTGAAGATATGGCAGCGCGAAACTGATCTTCCCCAATTGACGGACGAACAGCTAGTCCTGTTCCTGATTGCCACCGGTAGCTCCGTCGAGCTGTGCAAGGCTACCATAGAGACTCACTTCAGAATCAAGACGAAGACTCCGGTCTTATTCAAAGATAGAAATGTGCAAAATGAAGATCTTAGGAAAATTGCGAGAGTCATGTAAGCTTCCCCTTTAAAAAACACGTTAGCAGAACACATTTTAGGCACTTTGCTGTAATGCCTGAACGCTATGGAGGATCCACGCTCTTCTTCTCCGGGTTGAACGATAGTAATTACAGAAATCTGGATTTTGCGTGTTTTTTGAGGATGAACTGCCTAATTGTAGAGGCGATTCTTCAAGATAACAACCCGCAGGACGTTATATACGCCGTTGATTGCAGAGGGGTAGGTTCGCCAATTATCTCCTCCCGTGACAAGTTATCATTTCAGTCGACGTTTATGCACGCTTGGAAAATTAACGTGCACCTTCTGAAGGTTTACTTCGACTACATTCAGCATGGACTTCCATGCAGGATCAAAAACGTCCATTTTCTCCACTCCAATCGGGTTATGCACACGATTTACAACATGTTCAAGCCTTGGATCGGTCAGGAAATATCATCCAAAGTAAGATCTCACAAAGTATTTGATGTGATGTAACTTCTCGTACGTAGATTAAACTTCACTCGAGCCAGGAGAGCACGAACAGCTTTTACGAGTGGATACCAAAGAGGTACCTTCCGAAGCAGTTCGGTGGAGATTTAGAATCCATCCGCGTCTACCACGAGAGAACCATGAAGAAGCTGGTGGAATTGCAGTTTTACTTTGACGCGGAACAAAAACTGTGGTTGAGGGACTAAGCATTACCTCCCCCCTCCTTCGTCAACCCCACATATATTTGTGTTACGGTTTTTACACATTTTTACACTGTTCTCAATTAAATGCGTAAGAGAAATGCAATTTCACTTTTAATGTATTCTTTTTGAGTCAATAGCTACCGGATGCGTCGTGACCGGTTAGTTGCTGGGAAAGGCTGTAGGCGCCAGTCTGACGTGCGATAACACAATTGTAATGTCTGTAACGTGACCAAATCAGCTGACTCAAAATTATTCGTAGTGATGTCATGCAGCAGCGTGAGAAATGCGAACTCGGCGACCTTGAAATCTAGTAGATTTCAATTGATTGTTTTTATATGCGCGTGGGTTAAGTAGGCGCGGTCTATTAGTTACGTACAGATGACGCTTTATTTTGACGCGGAACAAAAGCAGTGATTGCTCCTCGTCTTCGGAAGTAAAGGGCTTCTTCGACGTTGCTTCCTGTTGTCGAGGCTGCAGCAATTCAGGGTGTCGGGGCGGCGAAGTTGGAATATATTTGTGAACGCTAGTGGTGGTCTCATTACCGCCCGTACATAATTTGTTGTCTATGAGAATCGGTGTCCTTCACAGACGAGTCGGCGAAGTCCGTAGCTCTTTTTCGTTTTTTCTTCTACTGGCCTCTCTGTGGGGTGTGTGTCAAAGTTTGTAAAAATGTAAGGCGAAATCTAGCGTTAAAAAATGTGTGGGTGATGGGAAAAGACTTCTTCAGTCATCATGTTCTCCTGTTAGCCAGAATAATTTTACAAAAAGTTTCTAACTGATAGTTCGTGTATTAGGAGTCGAAATACCTCCTCGCACATTATACTCTCCTGATACAAAGTTGGTAAAAATTTAAGGCAAAATCTGGCGTCGAAAGTTTTGTGGATGATGGAAAAAGACCTCCTCAACAATCATGTTTTCCTGGTGGCTAGACAAATTTTACAAGAATTTTCTAACTGATAGTTCGTGTATGAGGAGCTGAAACAAATCCTCGCGCATTATATTCTCCTGATACTACACTTGTAGAGATTTAAAAAGAAATTTGGCTTCGAAATATGTTTGTGGGTGATGGGAAAAGATCTCCTCAACTATCATGTTCTCGTGGTAGCTAGGCCAATTTTACAAGAATTTTCTAGCAGATACTTGGTATTTTTAGAGCTGAAACACCTCCTCGCGCATTGTATTCTCCTAATACAACACTTGTAAAGATTTAAAACTAAATTTGGCTTTGAAATATTTGTGTGGGTGATGGGAAAAGACCTCCTCCACCATCATGTTCTCCTGGTACTCAGACAAATTTTACTAGAATTTTTTAACTGATAGTTCGTGTATTGGGAGCTGAACACATCTTCACGCATTATATTCTCTTGGTACAACACTTGTAAAAATTTAAAACTACATTTGGCTTTGAAATGTTTGTGAGGGATGGGAAAACACCCCCTATTCAACAATCATATTCTTCTGGTAGCCAGACAAACTTTCCAAGTATTTTTTAACCGCTAGTTCGTGTATTCAGAGCTGAACCACCCCCTCGCACATTATACTCTCCTGATACAACATTTGTAAAGATTTCAAACTAAATTTGGCTTTGAAATATGATTGTGGGTGATGGGAAAAGACCTCCTCCACCTTCATGTTCTCCTGGTACAAATTTTACACGAATTCTGTAACTGATAATTCGTGTCTTAAGAGGTGAAACACCTCCTCGCGCATTATATTCTCCCGATACCACACTCGCAAAGATTTAAAACTAAATTGGGCTTTGAAATATGTTTTTGAAGGATGGGAAAAGACCTCCGCAATGTTCCCTTGGTACTCAGAACAATTTTTAGAAGAATTTTCTAACTGATAGTTCGTGTATTAGGAGCTGAAACACCTCGCGCATTATATTCTCCTGATACAACACTTGTAAAAATTTAAAAAGAAATTTGGCTTTGAAATGTGTTTGTGGGTGATGGGATAAAAGACCTCCTCAACTATCGTGTTCTCCTGGTAGCCAGACAAATTTTACAAGAATTTTCTGACTGATAGTTCGTGTATTAGGAGGTGGAACACCTCCTCGTGCATTATATTCTCCTGATACAACGCTTGTAAAGATTTCAAACTAAATTTGGCTTTGAAATATGTTTGTGAGGGATAGGAAAAGACCTCCGCCATGTTCTCCTGGTTCTCAGACAAATTATAGAAGAATTTTCTAACTCATAGGTCGTGTATTAGGGGCCGAAACACCTCCTGCATTATATTCTCCTGATACAAAATTTGTAAAGATTTAAAACGTAATTTGGCTTTGAAATATATTTGTGGGTGATGGGAAAAGACTTCCTCAACCATCTTTTTCTCATAGTACTCAGACAAATTTTACATGAATTTTCTAACTGATAGTTTGTGTATTGGAGCTGAAACACCTCGCGCAGTATATTCTCCTGATACAACACTTGTAAAGATTTAAAAAGAAATTTGGCTTTCAAATGTGTTTGTGGGTGATGGGATAAAAGACCTCCGCAACTATCTTGTTCTCCTGGTAGCCAGACAAATTTTACAAGAATTTTTAACCGATAGTTCGTTTATTTAGAGCTGAACCACCTCCTCACACATTATACTCAACTGATACAACATTTTTAAAGATTTAAAACAAAATTTGACTTTGAAAAATGTTTGTGGGTGATGGGAAAAAAACTCCTCGGCCATCATGTTCTCTTGGTACTCAGACAAATTTTACAAGAATGTTTTAATAACTGATGGTTCGTGTATTAAGAGCTGAAACATCTCTTCGCGCATTATATTCTCCCGATAAAATTGTAAAACTAAATTTGGCTTTGAAATATGTTTGTGGGGGATGGGAAAAGACCTCGGTAACAATCATGTTCTCCTGGTAGCCAGACAAATTTTACAAGCTGAAAGACCTACTCGCACATTATACTCTCTTGATACAAAGTTTGTAAAAATTTAAGACGAAATCTGGGGTTGAAAGGCGTTTGACGGTAATGGGAAAAGACCTCCTCAATCATTAAAAGGCATCCAAGAAAAAGGGGGTGACTAGAAAATCAGAGAGGACCGTCCCAAGTGATCACCTTTTTAAGGTGCGCACGATGTAAACCCAGCTCTCACAGAAATATTTCAATTTCGACGCCTTACTTCGCCTTAAACATTCACAAATCTTGTATCAGGAGAATATAATGCGCAAGGAGCTGATTGATGCTTAGGTTAGAGAGAGTGAAGTTAGGTTAAGGTGCTGAGTTAGGTTAGGTCAGAAATCTTGTATGTAAGAATATGATGTGCGAGGAAGTAATTCAAGGTTAGGTTAGAGTGCTAGTCGTAAAATTCAATTTATAAAAACGTTACACAACAAAAAATGTGTGGTTGAGGAAGGAGGGGGAGGTAATGCCAATAAAATGGTCGAGTTAGTTCTGCAACCACAGTTCTTGTTCCGCATCAAAATAGAACTGCAGGTCCTCCAGCTTCTTTATGGTCCTGTCGTGGTAGACGCGGATGGATTTCAAATCTCCGCCGAACTCCTTCGGAAGGTACCTCCTTGGTATCCACTCGTAAAATCCGTTCGTGCTCTCCTCGCTGGAGTGAAGTACAATCTACGCAACAGTTACACGGTATCAAATACGTTATGATGTCTTACTTTGGATAATATTCCCTGACCGAACCAAGGCTTGATTATGTTGTAAGTGACGTGCATAACTCGATTGGAGTGGAGGAAATGGACGTTTTTGACCTGGCATGGAAGTCCTTGCTGTATGTAGTCTAAGTAGACCTTGAGAAGGTGCATGTTAATTTTCCAAGCGTGCATAAACGTCGTCTGAAATGATAATTTGTCACCGAAGAAGATGACTGGCGAACCTACCCCTCTGCAATCGAAGGTGTATATAACATCCTGCGGGTTGTTATCTTGAAGAATCGCCTCTGCAATTAGGCAGTTCATCCTCAAAAAACACGCAAAATCCAGATTTCTGTAATTGCGATCGTTCAACCCGGAGAAGAAGAGCGTGGATCCTCCATAGCGTTCAGGCATTACAGCAAAGTGCCTAAAATGTCTTTTGCTGACCCATTTTTCAAAAGGGAAGCTTACATGACACTCGCAATTTTTCTCAGATCTCCATTTTGCACATTTCTATCTTTGAATAAGACCGGGTTCTTCGTCTTGATTCTGAAGTGAGCGTCTATGGTGGCCTTGCACAGCTCGACGGAGCTACCGGCGGCAATCAGGAACAGGACTAGCTGTTCGTCCGTCAATTGGGGAAGATCAGTTTCGCGCTGCCATCTTTTCAGCAGATGAAGATCATCGTCGCTTACGTGGCCGGCTTCGATTATTTCAGGGGCACTGAATCCAAATTTAATTTCCGACATTTTCGCACGCAAACTGAGAAATGGGAGAGCGTCGTTTTTCAGTTAGTTAAATTCCCATCCCACGTTAGGTGGGTATTATGCCGAAATTCGTGGATATTTAAAGCATGATAATTACCTTCTTTGAATAAATTGCGATTATCATCGCGTTTGTGCCCTTGGTACGTTAAATGGATTTTGTCAAACTGAATTCTATTTTATTTTGTGCCACGGCCTTCCTATCTTCCATTTCAATTGCGTTTGATTTGAAAGTTAGTTTTGTCATCATGCCATTTGGGTTACCGAATGCACCTGAAACGCGAGAGATATATGTGGAAGAGCTGGGCTGGGGTGTCGGTTAGATTACCAATTACTACCTGTATACGTGGATAGATAGTATCAGGAGCGGATAATGCATCCCTCTTCCTAATTAGCTTTCAGGTACCAAGGTAAAAGCGATATGGTGAGTACAAAAAAGGGCCCATAAATGGCACAATCACTTATTATTTCCGGTTCAGTATCTTAGATATTCAAAAATCCTCGGCTTGTCCTATCCTTCTAGAAGTTAAGAGTCATAAATTTACTTCAACGGGTTACTTATCGTAACAGGAGTACAGCAGCAAACGTGGGCAAATTTTTGCTGTTTATTGGTCCGGCACTTGAATTTTGTTCGCACTGCGGAAAGATACCGGGTGATTAGAAAAGTAGTAGATCAAACTAGAAACTATAAATTCCTTTAAATGTAATACATCGTGTCAGGAGCACAGCAGCAACCATCGTAATATGATTCAGATGGCAGCTTTCTTTCGGCAACTTGCCCCCACTGTAAATATTAGTAGTAAAAAGTTTCAAGCATCGAAACATCGAAGTGCGATTTCGTTGCGTATGCTGTTCTCCTCATAAATGAATATTTTAGAAAGAATTAGGAGCTATAAATCCATTTCACAGCAGGAGTGCTGCAGCATATCTCGTAAAATGGTTCTTGGGCCATATTTTTCCTGTGTACTGTTCCGATACCTAAATTTCAGCTTTCGCTTTGCATTTCATGCTCTCGTGGTGGGGAAACCCTTCCAGCCCTTCTGCCAGGAAGCCTTGAGATCCAAAAAATTGCGTTATAAAGAGTGATGCGAAGATTTGGGCTAACTTGGACAAGATCAAAAACCGGCTGCTCCCAGAGCCAATACCGGCCTTGCTCGACGAAAAGATCCTGATCTTCTTCACTGACCGCTGACGTACAAACAGCTAACAAATCATCAAATCGCACTATCACTTGAAGCAGACTCGCCCTGATATCTTCGCAAGCAAGCGAATCAATGATTAAAAATGGCGGTTTTCATTAATAAAAAACCATTTTGTTGGCATTAACTAGTTAAAAAGAAATGATGTGGGGATTATCCCGGGGAGATTTTGATTCATTCGGGTTTGGGCTACCAGCGCAATCAGTGTGTGGTCCAAAGTAAATTTTCTGCGAGATTCGGCTTTGGACTCAAAAGTTTGCTGCTTCAAAGGCGCGGTTGCAGCCAAGAAAGGCACATGCCATCCTAAAAATTGATGTCGTATGGAGGAATGACCTTATCAAGGGAACAAACGAGATATTAATCGCAATTTATTCAAGTAATACAATTGTATCTAAAATTTGCAAATTTCGGCATAATACCCATTTAACGTGAGATGGGAAATTAACTAATTGAAAATGATCTGTCATTCTTCAGTTTGCGTACGGAAATGTCGGAAGTTACATTTGGATTCAGCGCCCCTGAAATAATCCAAGCCGGCCACGTAAGTGACGACGATCTTCAACTGCTGAAGAAATGGCAGCGCGAAACTAATCTTCCCCAATTAACGGACGAACAGCCAGTCCTGTTCCTGATTGCCACCGGCAGCTCCGTCGAGTTGTGGAAGGCCACCATAGCAGCTCACTTCAGAATCAAGACGAAGAACCCGGTCTTATTCAAAGATAGAAATGTGCAAAATGTGGATCTTAGGAAAATTACGAGAGTCATGTAAGCTTCCCCTTTGAAAAGCACCTCAGCAGAAGACATTTTAGGCACTTTGCTGTAATGCCTGAACGCTATGGAGGTTCTACGCTTTGCTTCTCCGGGTTAAACGATACGAATTACCAAAATTTAGATTTTGAATGTTGTTTGAGGATGAACTGCATAATTTTGGAGGCAGTTCTTCAAGACAACAATCCGCAGGATATTATATACGCCTTTGATTGTAGAGGGGTAGGTTAACCAGTCATCGCCTTCCATGACACGTTATCATTTTAGACGACGTTTATGCACGCTTGGAAATTTAACATGCACCTTCTGAAGGTCTACTTAGACTACGTACAGCATGGACTTCCATGCAAGATCAAAAACATCCATTTACTCCACTCCAATCGAGTTATGCACACCACTTACAATATAACCAAGCCTTGGATTGGTCAGGAAATATCATCCAAAGTAAGATCTCGTAAAGTATTATTGATGTGGGGTAACTTCTCTTTCATAGATTGTACTTCACTCGAGCCTGGAGAGCACGAACAGATTTTACGAGTGGATACCAAAGAGGTACCTTCCAAAGGAGTTCGGCGGAGACTTAAAGTCAATCCGCGTCTACCACGAGAGAACCATGAGGAAGCTGGAGGAGTTGCAGTTTTAGTTTGACGCAGAACAGAAACAGTGGTTGAGAGACTAACCTAACCATTTTGTTTGCACTACTTCCCCCCTCCTTCCCTTCGGTATCGCCACATTTGTTGTTGCGTAACGATTTTTATAAATTTGTACAATGTTCCGTATGTTGCGTAAGAGAAATGGATTATTATCACTTGTGATACATACTTTTTGAGTAAATGGCTACCGGATTCGTCATGACCGGTTAATTGCCAGGGGGCCAGTCTGACGAGCGATAACACAATTTTAATGTCTTTTACGTGACCAAAGCCCCGGCTGAATTAGTATTTTTCGTAGTGATGAGATGCAACAGCGTGAGAAATGCGAACTCAGCGACCTTGAACTCTAGTAAATTTTCATTGGTCGTTTTTATACACGCGTGATTGGGTTAAGTACGCGCACTCTATTACCCATGGCCGCTTTAACCTATTAGTTCGATTTTGTAGGCGGTTTTCTCCGCAATAAAACAATTTCTGAAACAAAAATCTGGAGAGAGAGGGAAGGAAGAGAAAGAAAAGGAAAGAGAGAATTGCGTAGATTGTAGATAGGGACGGAAAGAGGCATACAGGTGGGCAAAGAGTAGTGAAAAGAGGAAGTAGCTGACAGACAGATGCTGAAAAGAAAAAGTAGAGAGAAAGAAAAAAATAAAGAACCAAGCAGAGACAGAACAAGCAATTCGGGACAGAAAGAGGGAGACAGGGGGAGCAAATCAGAGAGTGACAGAGAGAGTCAGGTAATGGGGAGGCAGAAGAAAGACCGATAAAAATAAATAGAGACAGATAGATACATAGAAAGGCAAAGGGCGACGGAGAAAGACATAGAAAGACGGAGAGAATCAGATATAGGGACAGAGAGAAATACAAGACAGAGGGAATGAGAGAGTAGTAATAAAGTGCTTTAATAAACATTCAATATTAGAACACGTCACGTCTAAAAAAAGGCAGATTTTTTCAATCAGTTTCGGCTAATTGACACATTTGTCTGACATTTAGGCCAATTGACAGATGAACTCATAGGCAAACATGGCAATTATGACAAATTGACAATCTACCAATCAGCGCTTACCGAAAAAACTTGTGACAGTACAGCTCAGAAAAGAAAACAACCGCCGATATCCCCATACCAATTGGCAAGATTAGAAAGGCGCCGCCCAGGTGCTTCAAATTCAAGGCGCCGTTCCACTGGGTTTCCTGGATGTCGAGCGTCAAACTGCTGTTCCGTTGGAGTTCGGCGTAAGCGTGGATGTACAGGCCGTGCTCGTTGAGGGCGCCCATCGCCATATTGAAGCTTTCGAGAAAGTAGTGGCCCTTGATCATGATAACCGATAGCTTCGCCGTTTTGGTCACCAGTGTACTTACGAACATGTTCGGTTTTGAGTTTATGTAGCGGCCCAAGGGGGCGTCGAACACGTTTCGCGCCTCCATCATGAAAAATCGCGAAGCGTTCATGGGGCTGGTTCGAGGAAGGATCCTCTTTCTGATTTCGGTGTAGACGGTCGATTCGGGACAGTCGCGTTCGAAGTGGAGGTAGATGTAGCTTCGAGGTGCGTAGATCGGTAAGTTGGTGGTCGCCAACTCTTCGTCGCTTGCGATGGGTTGGTCGTGGTAGGGACGCACTAGGATGTTGATCAAGTTGGAGTTGTAGCCCGTGTGCAGGTTGATAATCAGAAGTGAGTACGCGACGAGGAGAAGTCTGATGGATATTCGATTGGAAATGGACGGGGTGGGAACACCAAACGTCAGTGATGCTACCATTGTGGCAATTGAAGAAATCTTAGTTGAAGAGAGAGTAAGTTTTCCGATTACATACCATGCCATGGTGACCGTCACAAAACAGACTATTACCGAAAACCAAATGCAGCAATCGAAGGGGTAAAAGAACACACCCAGATCTGCTGTGTACTCCAGTTCTGGTCCGATCCAGTAGAATTCGTAAATCAGCTGGGTGTCGGCATAGTCGAAGATTGAAAATTTCGAAGCAACAGCAAAAATGGATAAGTCAACCAAGCAGCTGAAATTGTTGTTTGGCTCCTCCTCTTCCTCCAAGTAGGTTACGTTAAGCTGCTCTTCCAAATCGCGCATTATCATCTGAACAATATAACCTTCCACTTTACTTTTTTCGGAAGTAGAAGACGACCACTTGTAGCAGACTGGACATTCGTTATAGTTCCGGTACTTCTTCAAAAAATCGATCATTTTCAAATCCCCGCACCCGTACCAAGCTGGGTCGCGACAAGATCGACCGCACTGATTTGGCTGTGTGTTAGGATCGCACGTTAAAGCCGAAACCTGCCCATTGTGTAACATTACAACCACCACATTCACGATAAAGGCATCCCACATCTGTCGAAACAGTTGCGAAACATTTTGGACTGTTCCAATGAGCAACACGAATTGGCCCCTAGGACTGTAGCCTTGGCTCCAAACCGCGCTGTCTATCAAACCTGATAGAATACCTTCCAAATCTTCCAAGTCATTTGCCTCAATGAGGTAATTGTTCCAATGCAGATGACCACCTGTTATCGGTTGCGAAACGTCCACGGTAACAATGGCATTAGTTGCGTTACCTGACAGAAATTTGGACGTCCCATTATATACGTGGGTAAAGGACGGACGATTTGCAAAGACTTTCTCGATCACTTCCATCGCGCACGCTTCCAATACACGTTCCTCTTCAATCCGAAAAAGAGCACATCTTACAGCAAAAATCAGCACGCAAACGAAAAGCGACCTCATTACACCGATTCCTTAATTACAGTACTCATTTTTCTTTGTTATAATACGATGATCATTAATCACTCACATTTTGATTTATATGTTGGTTTTACGCGCACTAGTAACCCAACTATTTGTCTTAGAATAATGGATCAATACAGTAAAAATAGTAATTACGTTTATTTCAAATAAATACGCCCACGAGTCGATAATGTTTACGTTAAAAGACGCTGGATTCTATTCAGTTTTAGAAACTTAGAAGGTCCAAATTTTCCAAGGGGCACTGTTAAGATGAGTTGCTTCTTGCCACTGAGCTTAGAATTAACCCAGTCATTAATCCCAACCAAGTTTTCCTGATCAAACAAACGTACGTGAAAATTCGTATTGAGAACTATCGCTAAAAATTATAACAGTATGAACGTACTTTTTCGGTGCATTCGATTAATAAACAAAATCGGATTCGAAGAAGCCGTAGTCAGAAATCTCTTCCTCCCCGACCTCTCACATTACACGCCTCGAACTCCTTAGAGCATTTAAAAGCTTTTACTTTCTTTCAAGGCCCTTACAAGGTTCACTGAAAGCCTTTAGAGCCTCCAACGTTTTGTAGATCTTTCAACATTTTCAGATTCACTAAATATTTCACATATTTCTCTTTTTAAACCCAAGGAGTATCAAATAAATCTTTAGATGCTTTTAAAGGAAGAAAAGGGCAGTAAGAAAGGCACATTGTATAGTAAAGGTGCATTATTGGAGCCAAATGGCATCATGTGAATTTTACTTATTTGTCTTCCTCTTCTAACAGAATGGTGCATGCCCTATGGAATTATGTGTCTAATCCTCCTTGCACGAGTTGCTCCTCATCATCCGTAAACTTGTTGCTCGATTGCCTCAAAAAACGGCTGTAGATTGCGCAACCTCACTAAAGTTTGTTCGTTATAAAAGCGCAACGATTCCAATTCACCCCCGTATTCCATTGGAAGGTATTCCAACGGGACAAATTCGTGGAGATCACCAAAACCTCCGTCGGAAGTTTTGAACAGGTGGATCTGGAATGAGCAGTGAGCCCTAAAAATGTGACGTAAGCGATATCACCTTCTCCATTACGTCCGACTTTATGAACGGCCTGAAGAGGTTGATTCCCGCGTACGCGATTGACCCCGCGTTGAGAAGATACGTGTTGCCAGATTGCAGCGGCTGTCCCTTCTGGCCGTAGTCGCTGAAGACCCTGATCGCTCTCAACCCCATTTTAGTCAGGTGCATGAAGCTATACTGAAACAGACGGTGAAGTCGTAACGAAATCTCTCGAGCGACTCACGCCTTGAAAATCGAAAACCGTAGTGACGCTGCTAGGAGGGTTGTAAAACAAAAGGGAGTCTAAAACCATTGTTGCCAGTTGTGCGTATCGCTGAAAATCGTATTTTCTGTAGTTCGGATCGATTACACTGCTGACTATTATCGCCGAACCGTTATATCTCTTTGGCATTACGGCAAGGCTTCTAAGCAAATCTGCAATGAGCAAACGGCCGAAGCCCACCTCTACTCACATCACCTCACCCATCCGTATCAAGCTCTCGTTTTTCAAGTGGCGACCATAGAAGATCTCGGGCGCGTTCATTCTGATCTCGAAGTAAGTTTCGATCGTCCTCTTCGCGTAATCTCGGTCGTTCCCGCACGACACGAGAAACAAGCCGATCTGTTCGGCGGACAGCTTCGGGTAACGCGCGCTGCGTTGCCATTCTTGGATCTCCCGAACGGCCTCTTCGGTGGTACGCGCGGTCGCAATCAGATCTTTCACTTTGAACCCGTACCGTACGCCCGTCATCTCTATGTATGTGCGCCGTCTCCATGGACCAGTGCTCTACTTGAATTCGGTTCACACGACCTTCCAGTAAGGCTAATCAAAAACGCAATTAATACAGTTCACGTTCCCACCATCAGTCACCGGTTTTTTTCCCATTACATCCATGAAGTCGAAAAGATCAAAATTCCTGGCTGATCACCGTTAAAAGACCGAAATTTAGGCAAATTTCTGATAGTTTCCTCGCTTATGTGCTCCTAATACGAATTATTCTTTCGAAAAACAGTACTTCGGTGGATCAATTTTTCTTCTAGTTTTCACAGACCATAATATTATGGTCCATTTGAGGGTAGGCGACTAGATCGTCTGATTTATTCTTTATGGTTCAAGTTTATGTGCTCCTAATACAAATGGATCTCTAAAATGGGCCAAGTTTCGTAGACCTTGGGGTGTGCAATTTGAGGTTAGGTTATACGTTATTTATATGCAAAGGTGCTTCTGCTGAGAATTCCTGTTGAGAATTTTGGACTAGTGGGTGATCGATTGATTAACACTGATCGCTGTCGATTTGTGCTTTAAATTACAGCTTCACTTTAAACAAGTTTCTGATATTTTTCTACGCCTACGTACTCCTAATACAAACGAATTTTTCTTAAAAAACGTACTTCAACTTCTCACATAAAACTGTTCACATAAACCGTGAAAGTGAGACTCGGTTACTACATCATCGATACACAATCTTTCTTCGATTTACGTAAAGTTCTAGTATTTTCTTGATTGTTTACATTTGCATGTGCTCCTAATACAAATTATTCTTTCGAAAAAAATAAGTTTCGGAAATCAATTTTTCAAACCTTAGAGTTTAGACTATTACTAGATCACCCAGGGATCCATGGAGTTCGATCTCAGATGACTACCAAGAAATTATCGCCCTTCTGAGCTCCTGATACTAATTTTCATTAGAGTACGAGATCAAACTGATCAAAATGGCTCGTGTTCACCTGTCGCTGGAGTGTTCCAAAGTAGAAATTCAATTTAGTCCAAGCCTTTATATACTTTTCGTAGTTTACACTTATGTGCTCCTGATACAAACGAATCTTAGGAAAAGGCACGTCAATTAATGACGAGATCGTGAATTTCAGATTAGGTATTACTATGTCATATATTTGCAAATGTTCTTAAAAATTGGTATCAGATGAATCGAAAATAACGAATAACGTGTAGAGTTTATTGAAGTAGATCCATCAAACTGCATTGTGGCACACCTGTTGGTGAAGTGCATTTGTAGCGAGAGTTCGCTACGGGTTTAAATTTTTTAGTTAGATTCCGGTACGACCGCGTAAAGCGAATTTGAAAGCAGACGATATAAATAAAAAGTTCATTGCCCGAATAATTACACAACGTACGAAGAAGATCAAATGAAACTGTAACATCAACGTCAATTCGAGAAGGCCAGTACTAATTTGTGCCTTTGATTGTATAAAACGCTATAATTAAGGTAACGTAATCTTTGATTTGTTTAAAAAATAATGATCGGTTCGATTTCAGAAATTGCATTAAATTTTATTGAAAATAATCATAAAATAGATTCTTAAAGGAATCAGTCTGTGTAAACTGGCTGTAATACCCTCCAGACTCCCTGGAACTGCCAAAAACGGTCATTACTCTTTAAATAAAGACAATCGGATTTTCCTATTCCGATAAATCCAGAGGGGTGAGGGGGGGGGGGGTCTGGGAGAATGGAATTTTTTTACCGGGTCGTACCGCAATCTAACTAAACATTCTAAAAAATTGAAACCAGTTTTGGGCCCTCGTTGCAAATGCACTACAACGATGCATTTTGATTACTCCAACAAACTCAGTAATAGGAGCGTAGAAGGCCAAGAGTTTAAACATTATTTTCTAGTCATCTCATCGTTTATGACAAAAATTGAGTCTAAGCTCAATGTTTGTATGAAAAATGTATTTCCTAAGCTCCTTTTTGTTTAAGAATCACTTGTATTAGGAGCACATAGGTGTAAACAACCAAGAAAATACTAGAACTTTACGTAAATTGAAACTTTACTTGTGACAACTCTACTTGACAGGCGTACAGGGAGGTATTTTGATTAGTGTGAATCATCTAATCCAAGAAAATTCGTAATAAAAGCGTAAAAGGCCCGAATTTATTTGTTCCCTTCTAGTCACCTGATACCAAACCATAAGAACGCTTGTAAATCGAAGAATCTAGTCTGATTTTGGTGATCTCACGGTTTATGCGAAAAACTGAAGTGTCAAAGTACGTTTTTACAAAAGATTTATTGTATTAGGAGCACATAAAATATAAGAAATTCGTTTACGCTAGCTTTCCTTTGAGCCAATTAATCGACAAGTGAGTACAGCGATGAGTTTTGATCAATTAGTCACCCACCAGTCCAAAATTCCCAACAGGACCGTAAAAAGGCGAGAATAAATTCTTTTTTAGTCTCGTGATGCCAAACTATAAGAAAAATCATTGTATGTAATTAATCTAGTGACCTAGGATGAACTTGCACAGCCTATGCGAAAGTTTAACGTGCCGAGGTGCCCATTTTAGAAAGATTCATTTGTATTAGGAGCACATAAACGTAAACCATAAGGAATATATCAGATATTTGCCTACATTGATATCATACTTTGAAACACTTTTGCGACAGGAGTCTAAAGTGATGCATTTTGATCAATTTAAACTCCTACGATCTGTTCACCTCTCCTGAAGTTAACCATCACAGGGGCGCAGTTGAATGGATCTGCTGATGCACTTTTTTTTGGAAAGAATCATTCGCATTAGGAGTACATAATTGTAAACAAGGAGAAACCTGAACTTTACGTAAACTGAGGCATTACTAGCAACATACTGCACTGACAGGAGTACATAGAAGTTACAGAAGATGTATATGGGTTTCGAGTCACCTGACATCAAGCTCTGAGAACCTTTGTAAATGGATGATCTAGTAATCTAGTCTGAATTCGATCATCTCATGGTTTACGCAGAAAATTGACGTGTCAAAGTGCCTTCTTATGCAAGATTCAGTTGTATTAGGAGCACATAAGCGTAAACCAGGAAAGAAATAGGAATTTGTGTAAGTCGAAGGCTTATCTTGAAACATTTTGGCTACTAGCATACGTCTATCTATTCAATAGAATCGGTAACATTGACCGATGGTGGGAACGTGAACTGTATTAATTTCGTTTTTGTTAAATACTGCGAAGGTCGTGTGAACCGAATCAAGGGTAGCACTGATCCATGAGACGGCACTTTTACAGAGTGATGACAGCCGTACGGTACGGGTTTAAAGTCGAAGATCTGTTTGCGGCCGGTCGTACCACCGAAAAGGCCGTTCGGGAGATCAAAAAATGGCAACGCAGTACGCGTTACCCGAAGCTGTCTGTCGAACAGATCGGCTTGTTCCTCGTGTCGTGCGGGAACGATCGTGATTACGCGAAGAGGACGATCGAACATTACTTCCAGATCAGATCGAACGCGCCCGAGATCTTCTATGGTCGCCACTTGAAAAACGAGAGCTTGGTGAGGATTGCTGAGGTGATGTGAGTAGAAGTAGGCTTCGACCGGTTTGCTCATTGCAACTCTGCTTAGAGGTCTTGCCGTAATGCCAAAGAGCTATAACGGTTCGGCGATAATGGTCAGCAGGTTAATCGACCAAAACTACAGGAATTACGATTTTCATCGCTACGCACAGCTGCAACAATGATTTTAGACTCGCTTTTGTTTTACGACCCTCCTAGCAGCGTCACTACGGTTTTTGATGTTCAAGGCGTGAGTCGCCCGAGAGATTTCGTTACGACTTCACCGTCTGTTTCAGTATAGCTTCATGCACCTAACTAAAATTGGATTGAAAGCGATCAGAGTCTTCAGCGACTACGGCCAGAAGGGACAGCCGCTGCAATCCGGCAACACGTATCTTCTCAACCCGGGGTCAATCGCGTATGCAGCAATGAACCTTTTTAGGCCGTTCATAAAGTCAGATATAATGGAAAAGGTGACATCGCCTACGTCACATTTTCAGTGCTCACTCAACGTTCTAGATTCACCTGCTCAAAACTTCTGACGGCGGTTTTGGTAGTCGAATTTCTACCGAAAGAATACCTTCCAGTGGAATATGGGGGCGAATTGAAATCAGTGCGTTTGTATAACGAACAAACCTTAGTAATGTTACGCGATCTACAGCCGTTTTTTGAGGCAGTCGAGCAACAAGTTTACAGTCAAAGCAGTTGAGCAAAGAGGATTCAGCAAATGATTCCATAGATCATTCTGTCAAGTGATGCCATTTGGCTTCAATAATGCACCATTACTAACTAAACCCTTTCTTACTGCCCCTTCCCTCCTTTAAAAGCACCTGAATGTTTATTGTATACTCGTAGTGTTTAATTAAAACTCATAGAAGAAGAAATATCTGAATTATTTAATGAAAGATGCTGAATCGGAAAATCTTGAAAGATCTGTATAACGTTCGGCCACGTTGAAAAAGGTTTACAGTAAAGAGCCTTGAAACGGCAGTAAAGGTTTTTAAATGCATCTAAGGAGTTCTAAAAAAACTCGTGACGTGTAGTGTGCGAGGTCGGAGAGGAGCTTTAATGTAAACATGATCTATTCACCGCAAAAAGTCCGCCCGTACTGTTATACTTTTTAGCGATAGTTCTCAATACGAATTTGGAGGTACGCTTGTTTATGAAATTGAATTTTTTATTATTTAACGCCCGATTAGTAGACTTATCGACGAAACTTTTGTGTTCGCGATTATACTGCCTTAATATTCCTGTTGTTGCGGCGAATTTCCGGATTTGTTTCCTTGGCATCAGCTTTCCCCAGGTTCATACGCATATTATTAAATTTCCGCTCTCTTAATTATTTGTACTGAGCTCTACGACGGCTCAAGACGCATTACATTTGTCGCGCTCTGCGAATTTACCCCCCCCCCCCTCTCTAAAACATTGAACGACTTAATGACTTCTTCTGCTATTATACGCAAATTTTTAAAAAAACCCATAGCGTATCCTGCAACCTTCAACCTGCAGAAGTATCAAACGCGTAACTGGTTTGGAAATTACTGCCTTAAAATAAATAAATACCACACCACCTAACACTGAGCTACCCTCTTGAAGTTCGGTTCTAACCCCTACAAAAATTTGGAAAAAAATCAACCCCAAAAAAGGGCTTCCGTTACATCGTGAAATATGAAAAAGAAACCTTCTCGTTTCTTGTGTCCTCCTGATAGCCACAGAAAATGTGCAAAATTGTTCCGGCAAATACGGTTGTTACTTTATATGCTCTCCGGGTGGTCAGCCTACATTTTCTTTACTGCCGAGTACTATGTCTGCCTGGGGGAAATTCCATACCCCCCAGATCCTCCGGATCTGCCGCCGACCTTAAATCTTTTAACCCAAGAACTCTCATTGCAGGGCAATACCAATTTTGGTTCAAAATAGAGAAACCTCGGGGTCTGGAGGGTATGGAATACCACCCTGTATACGAAGATGACATTCGTATGGGTGGCACATGATTTCATGATGATTATGGTGGTAGAGAAAGAGAATTTTTAAATTTTTCTCCAGTGCGGAGTACTATGTCTGCATGGGGGGATTCCATACCCCTCCGGACCCCCCGGATCTGCCGCGACCTTAAAACTTTTAAACCCAAGAACCTCCTCATTTGCAGGGCAATACCCATTTTTGGTTCAAATAGAGGAAACCTCGGGGTCTGGAGGGTAGGAATACCGCCCTGTATACGAAGATGACATTCGTATGGGTATGCACATGATTTCATGATGATTATGGTTGTAGAGAAAGAGAATTTTTAAATTTTTCTCCGCTGCGGAGTACTATGTCTGCCTGGGGGGTATTTCAGACCCCCCGGATCTGCCACCGACCTTAAAACTTTTAACCCAAGAACTCTCATTGCAGGGCAATACCCATTTTGGTTCAAAATAGAGAAACCTCGGGGTCTGGAGGGTATAGAATACCACCCTGTATACGAAGATGACATTCGTATGGGTGTGCACATGATTTCATGATGATTATGGTTTTAGAGAAAGATAATTTTTAAATTTTTCTCCGCTGCGGAGTACTATGTCTGCCTGGGGGGTATTTCAGACCCCCCGGATCTGCCACCGACCTTAAAACTTTTAACTCAAGAACTCTCATTGCAGGGCAATACCAATTTTGCTTCAAAATAGAGAAACCTCGGGGTCTGGAGGGTATAGAATACCACCCTGTATACGAAGATGACATTCGTATGGGTGTGCACATGATTTCATGATGATTATGGTTGTAGAGAAAGAGAATTTTTAAATTTTTCTCCTCTGCGGAGTACTATCTCTGCCTGGGGGTATTCCATACCCCCCAGACCCCCCGGATCTGCCTCCGACCTTAAAACTTTTAACCCAAGAAATATCATTGCAGGGCAATCCCCATTTTGGTTCAAAATAGAGAAACCTCGGGGTCTGGAGGGCATGGAATACCACCCTGTATACGAAGATGACATTCGTATGGGTGTGCACATGATTTCATGATGATTATGGTTGTAGAGAAAGAGAATTTTTGAATTTTTCTCCTCTGCGGAGTACTATGTGTGCCTGGGGGGTACCCCCCGGATCTGCCACCGACCTTAAAACTTTTAACCCAAGAACTCTCATTGCAGGGCAATACCCATTTTGGGTCAAAATAAACAAACCTGGAATACCATCCTGTATACAAAGATTAAATTCGTATGAGTGTGCACATGACTTCATGATGATTATGTTTGTAGAGAAAGAGAATTTTCAAATTGATCTTTTCTGGTGGAGTATTGTGTCTGGCTGAGGGGTATTCCATACGGATGAGCTGCCACCTACCTTAAAACTTTCAAACCAACGACTCTCATTGCACTTTAAAAAATGACAATCAAATTTTCCCCCCCTGGAGCTGCTCCCGTCTTTCAGAAAAGTGTATTTCGGTACGACATTCTTTCGGAAAAGGTTTTGGGGACCGTCAAATTCAGACTGGGTTACTAGATCGTCTATTCGAAAATAAGTTCTCGTCTTTCTGCGCTCCTGTCACGAATTTTGTTGGATTAGCTGATCAGATTGGTCGAGGTGCCGTGCTGTACATCTGTCGCTGAAGTGCTTCAAAGTAAGGCTTCAATTTACGCAAATTTCTAATATTCTTCTCGTGATAGAAGCGCACTGACTCCAAATCACCACCGAACTCCTTCGGAAGGTACTCCTTTGGAATTCACTTGTGGAACTCATCGAAACTGGCACCGGCTCTGTACATCTCTACCTGAAAGTTTGCCATTGTCATAAGATGTACACGTGACGCAGTCAGAACCTTGTCCAAGACTTCCGAGTTCAGGAAAGGTTTGAACAGGTTCAGTCCAGCTTCGGCGATGAAGTTCGCATTGAGGACGCAGGTTCTGCCCAACTGCAAGGGCATGGCGTGCTGGTAAAAGGTTGTAAGAGCCTTGATGACACCCAGTCGGAGCTTCACCAAGTGCATGAAGCTGTACTAAAACGGAGGGGCAGACTACGGCAACGGATTATGGGAGTACTCACGCGTTTACTATCGAAAACAGTCGTAACGGTCTCGGGAGGATCGTGGAACAAGCTGGCCTCCAGGGTCATCGTCACCAGTTGGGCGTAGAGCCTCATGTCGTAATTCCTGTAGTTCGTGTCTCGCAAGCAGACGAACAGAATCGCCGAACCTTCATACCTTTTCGGCAGCACACCTACACTCCTAGCACGTGGTCAAAATTATCGCCGGAGTCACGAGGTAACTTACAAAACTTCGCACATCCTCTTCAGATCGCTGTTATCTATGTTACGATCGCCGAAGATCTCTTGGTGGCCCAATTTAACCTCGAAATAGGTTTCGATCGTCTTCTTGGTGTACTCGCGGTCGTTCCTGCAGGAGACCAGGAAGAGGCCGATCTGCTCGTCCGTCAGCTTAGGACGGCGTATGGACTTTTGCCAGCCGCGAATCGCCGCAATGTCTTCTTCGGTGGTACGATTGGCCTTAATCAGGTCTTCCGCTTTGAAACCGAGTTGTATGGTGCTCATACTGTACGTACTTTAAAAACTTCTGACATACGAGTACGCGATTTCCCATTGATAACCGGAACCCATGGAGGTTCGCATATTCGTAGAAATAAATGTAAATTTTTCGACCTTTATACTAATCATATAAATCACATCTGAATGACACAAATTCCGAATGCATTAAATTTAGTAGCTCTGAACAATCTACGAGCCTTAAAATCGTGCTGTACACACCACCCACGCCTTCGCCGATATGAGACGATTTGCCCAAATGGCGCATATATGCGCCTGAATAGCGCATAACATATTTATCGACCTTTGACGTCATGACAAAGGCAAGTTTTGTGCTTGTTATCGTCTGGTACAAGTGTGAGCAACCTCCAGATATCTTAAAACGGCCGACGTTTTGTGCGCCATCCCGAAATTATGCTCCGCTTAAATTCCAGATTTAGGTCGTTCTTCGTAAATTCTGAGCATGAAGGGTAACGGGTAGCAATCATGTCACAAGGGGCGAGGGTGAGGTATTCTCTTTGATGTATTTCGACATTGCTCGCTTGTAAACACTCTCACGCCAGCCTTCACAAAGCGCACAATTGAATTGGATGTGAGCGTAATTTAAAACAAAGATACAAACAGAGGCAATCTTCTAAAGGCCTAACGAGGGCGTCCAAAGGCCTCGCACATTATAAAATCCTAATCAAAGGTTAAAAGTTAGATCATTTCGTCTTGGGAATAGAGGAAACCTCGGATAGTAGGAGCAGAAATACCTCCTCGCTCATTAGTTTCCCCTGATACAAAGCTTAAGCACAAGGCGTTCAATGATTTTCGTGAAGGTTTTTGCGACTTATAAAAATGAGGGGATATACGTATTGGCTGATCTCCCTGCTGTGCGCCTGGTATAGTTATGTCAGGAGACCTTAGGAAAATGTTGTTATTAGGAGGTTGTGCGCACAGTACGTTGAAGGCAATCTAGCTCCTAAGTTTCGTAGACCTGCTGCTGCAGGGCTTCAAAGTATGGTCGCAAGCTCGCCAAGCGTCGCAAATTTTCTTCGCTGTAAAAGCCAATCGGCTCTAGTTCTCCTCCCAACTCCTTCGGTAGGTAGGCTCTTGGTATGCAATCGTAGAACCGATCAAGGTTTGCGTTAGCCTTGTGCATCTCCATCTGGAAGTCGGAATTTGACTTTGGTTGTTGACAAAATATCTACTTTACATTCTCCAGGACGTCCAATTGAAGGAACGGTTTGATAAAGTTGACGACAGCGTACGTAACGTAATTGACGTTCAAGACGTATATTTTTCCCAATTTGGGGGGGTTTCCGCTCTGGTTGAAGTTGGCGAAGTGCTTCACTAGCTTCAACCTCATCTTGGTCATGTGCAGCAACGTGACCTGCGAATTGCAAGTGGGATTGCGATCGGCCTTCTCCGGCTTCTTACCCCTTTGGAATCCATGACGGTGATGACGTTCGTCGGAGGGTCGCCGTAAAGGAGCGATTCTAACGTCATAGTGTACAACTGGACGTAGGTGCGAAAATCGAAATTTCTGTAGTTCGTGTCCTTTAGGCTAGCGACCATTACTGCGGCACCACCAAGCCTCTTCGGCATCACAGCGACGTTCCTGTCAGGGCGATCAATTGCTTAATTACAGCAAAGCGACTTACACAACGTTAGCGATCCTCCGCAGGTCCTCACTGGCGACGTTCCTGTCGCGAAAGATTTCGGGCGCGCCCAGTTTCGTCTCGAAGTACATCACGATCGTCCTCTTCGCGAATTCACGATCATTTCTGCACGCGATTAGGAAAAGACCGATCTGTTCGTCGGTCAGCTTCGGGTAGGGAGTCGAGCGTTGCCATCCTTTAATCGACGACACACGTTCAACTGTAGTGCGATTGTCACTGATTAAGTCATCGAACTTGAAGCCCAAATTGACAACCGCCATAGTCTCACGATGTCACGCAAGTAATGAAACTACTTAGAATCTCGTCGTCAAGTATTCTACGCAAGATTATTTTAATGATCGGCCAAGGACTCTAAATTATGCGATATGTCACGCACTCCTGATAAATGCGTCAAGTATTGAAATTCGTACCCACCTATTTTATACAGATGCATAAATTAATAATTCCAGCGAGAAAGTGCAAATGTTTTGAATTGCTAAGCTACTTACCGATAAATTATTCGCTATCTTTCTGAGTTCCTGATACAGCAATCGCTAAAATAGTCACCTATATCGAGAGATCATAACATGCAAAAATGTCTCCGCTCCATACGTCTCTGCGTTTTCCAAAACAATTGTACACCTCCTTGCGTTTCTGTGACCCTAATAAAGTAATGTATACTAATAATGTAATCAGGAGCGTAAAATACGTATTATTTCAACACATTAGTGCTCTTCCTTACCATTTGTCAGCAGGATACAACAAAATATAAATCAAGGATCTGTTTCAGAACGACATAGCATACGTCTCTGTCATCCTGGTAACTAATTTGTAGGTCAAATGTTACCAGGAACGTATAGTACGTATTGTTGAAACAAATTTGTGCTCCATCTATGCCTCCTGTCGTCCTGATACAAGAATATTTAAAGATAGCATGTTAAGAGCCCTCTGTCAATAAATTTTTGACCTCCTTGCATCTCTTTATCCTGATAATCTTTAGAAAGGCCCAAAAAAATTAGGAGCTAGCAGAAAATAAAAATGATGAGTTTTAACGTTCAAAATATACATTACGAATTTGTTCGACTGCCCTTCGGACTAGAAAACGCACCTACAACTAGATGACATTCTGATACAACAATATTTAAAAATAGAAATGTATCAGGAGCATGTTAACAGCCCTTCGTCAATAAATTTTTGACCTCCTTGCATCCCTGTCATCTTGATAAACTAATTTAGATAGTCCCAAAAAAATTAGGAGCTAGCAGAAAACAAAAATGATGAGTTTTAACGTTCAAAATAGTCATTACGAATTTGTTCGAATGCCCTTCGGACTAGAAAACGCACCGACAACTGGACGACATTCTGATAAAACTGTATCAGGAGCATGTTAAGAGCCCTTCGTCACCTCCTTGCATCATCCTGATTATTTAGATATCCCAAAAAATTAGGAGCTAGCAGAAAACAAAAATGATGAGTTTTAACGTTCAAAATAGACATTACGAATTTGTTCGAATGCCCTTCGGACTAGAAAACGCACCTACAACTAGATGACATTCTGATAAACAATATTTAAATATATAAATGTATCAGGAGCATGTTAAGAGCCCTTCGTCAATAAATTTTTGACCTCCTTGCATCTCTGTCATCCTGATAAAATATTTAGATAGTCCCAAAAAAATTAGGAGCTAGCAGAAAACAAAAATGATGAGTTTTAACGTTCAAAATAGTCATTACGAATTTGTTCGAATGCCCTTCGGACTAGAAAACGCACCGACAACTGGACGACATTCTGATAAAACAATATTTAAATATATAAATGTATCAGGAGCATGTTAAGAGCTCTTCGTCAATATATTTTTGACCTCCTTGCATCTCTGTCATCCTGATAAAATATTTAGATAGTACCAAAAAAATTAGGAGCTAGCAGAAAACAAAAATGATGAGTTTTAACGTTCAAAATAGATATTACGAATTTGTTCGAATGCCCTTCGGACTAGAAAATGCACCTACAACTGGATGACATTCTGATAAAACAATATTTAAATATAGAAATGTATCAGGAGCATGTTAAGAGCCCTTCGTCAATAAATTTTTGACCTCCTTGCATCTCTGTCATCCTGATAAAATATTTAGATAGTCCCAAAAAATTAGAAGCTAGCAGAAAACAAACATAATATATATAATTACACTTCAGGTGGGTATCAAATGGCTCAAAGGACCATGTTCAATTTCGGCATGAGACCGCGAGTAGATTTGGAGTAGAAAATAAGGCCTTACACTCCGAGTGAGTAAAAGCATTCGCTTAATACTAATTTATTACTAATCGGTCTTTTGTTTATATACAATTGTACCCTAGTTTAACTATATCTTTTATAAACATTTCATAATAATAATGTGCATTATTAATCTACTGACCTATAGTAGTATCTATCCATTCATATTTTAATGTGCAATGGATGCGTTCTTGCACAATATTGTTATTGTAACCTAATCTATGCAATAATTGTTATCTGTTCAATCCACTTAGAATTGGTGACCCAAAAAGTAAAGGATAAAGTCTTTATAGGGTAAAAAAACGGCTACTCCAAAAGTGATTTTTGGGCCAAATTCTTCACCATAGAACAGGCTCGAAAGTACCAAAAATTTCTTATTTTTCCTCATTCACTTATTGAAAATCGACTGGTTCCCTGCTGCATTCGGTTGGCCCAAAAAGAAGATAATCCCGTTCTTCCAATCTTATATTCCAATGCCCTTTCTGCATCTCGCTCGCAAGCCCTTGTAAAGCTATTCCTAGTCTGAATCATCATTGCCATGGAAGACGTAAAAGACACACAACGATATAGACGCAGATCTCTAAATTGGTTTATAAAGGTCTAAGTACATAGATTAAAAGTGACGTTCAATGATAATATTTCGTATGTCATAGAGTGATCAGTATCAATTCGATAAATGAAGTCAAAGGGCGTTGTTCTTGGATTTGAAGAGGCGCAGATAGTAAAAGATGGCGTAGTGGAAGCGGAAAAGATCCGCACTATCGACGCATGGCTGGACGGAACGGATATCCCTAGGCTCAGTGGGGAGCAGATAATTCTTTTCCTCGCATCTTGCGATAACAACGTTGAACTCGCGCAGGACGCCATCGGGGAATATTATCGGATCAAGAGCAGTACACCTCAGCTGTTTGCTGAGAGGAGTGTGGATTCGGATGCTGTGCGAAGGGCCTTGAGTGCGGGGTGAGTAGCACCGTTGGCTTTCGTTCTGTAACTGCTTTCAGGCGTATGTGCACGTGGCGAGACGAAAGTGGCTGCGCCTTCGGTTACTACGACATCAAAGTCGACTCAAAGTCTTGGGGTCTTGCAGATGGCTTAAAGTTGATGTTCATGGCATTTGATTGTGCCCTCTATGACGGTCCTCCCAATGGACTACAACTACTAATAGATACTAAAGAGGCGAGTAGGCTTCACCTCTACTAAGTTACCAAGCGTTTTGTTACAGATAACTTTGGCAATTGTAGCGAAATGCTTTTATCCGGATTTGCTGCGAACCGCCTTTAAGTATTTCCTGCGGGCCTCGCCAGTGAAGCTGAAGAAAATTCACATGTTCAACACATTCTCCATTACTCGTCAAATGATACAAGTGGTCAGGCCGTTTATGGACAAAAAGCTCTACGAGCAGGTAAGCTGGCACGGATCTGCAGAGGGCTTCACAACCAAAATTCGCAGTTCGTCTTCCATCCGAGGGATCTTCAGTGGGAAGAGTTTTACGAAAAATATGTGCCTAGGCGATCGCTCCCGAGCGATTTGGGAGGGGATTTGCCTACAGTTGACGATATGCAACAGCAGATGATCGACAGAATGGTGGAACTTGGCACGTACTATGAAACCGATGAGAAGTGGATTAAAGGACTTCACTTCTAAAAAATGCATTGTAGATAATTAAACAAAGTAGCTTTAATATCTTAGTAGGCATAGAAAACCCCAACCGCTGTCTTCAACATGATGGACGAGGAGGTATTTCTCCACCACTACAAGGCATATTTCAACACCTTTGCTAGAGGAATACAACGTGCGAAGATGTGTTTCAGCTCCTAATGCATCGTCAGCAAACCCTTGTAAACATTTTGTGGCCACCAGGAAACCATGAAGAAAGACACACTTAACTTTGGAATGAGGAGAGAATAATGTGTGAGAAATCACAATATATGGCCTATCAGAACTCTTGTAAAGTTATTCTGGCGACCAGGAAGCCATGATGGCCATAGAGGTTTTTGTCCATCATAAAAAGGAACAATTTACATATTATACCACACCACCTTACCTTGGCTTAGATTTTTGGAAATCTTGTATCAGGAGAATATAACGTGGCAAACTTTTAGCTACCAGGCGAACATGATAATAAATACTTTTCCATTATCAACACCTTCTTTTACTTTTACACCTTTTTTTTACAATCTGGGAACTGTTTGAAATTATGGATTCTGCGGGCCAATCTCTATAAGAAAATGTTTTTTCCCGGTCGGTCTCAGACAATTTTTTTCCGACCTCAAAAAAAGGCAGGTTATAAACCTTCCTTTTTTACCAAAAATCGACTGCTCCAAAATTTCTCGGGAAAACACTTTTTCTCACTAATTTTGGTGCGTAGAATCCAAATCGATTCGTACTTTTTCGATCAGACCTCCCAATCAAAAGTTATGGACTAAATAAAAATTTCGACAATATTCAAAGGGCTGTAGCTTTTGATCTAGTAGACCAATCTTGGAACTGTTTGAAATTATGGATTCTACGGGCCAAACTCTATAAGAAAATGTTTTTTCCCCGTCGATCTCAGACAATTTTTTTTTCCGGCCTCAAAAAAAGGCAGTGTATTACCTTCCTTTTCTACCAAAAATCGACTGCTCCAAAAATTTTCGGGAAAACACTTTTTCTCACTAATTTTGGTGCGTAGAATCCAAATCGATTCGTACTTTTTCGATCAGACCTCTCAATCAAAATTTATGGACTAAATAAAAATTTCGACAAAATATAGTATTGACTGGGTCCGTTACTGTTCCAACCGTAACAATTGGCACCCAACGTTGAGCCATAATTTTCGAGTGCAAAGCCCACCGGAACCCACCAACGAGTGACTCAGCAATAGTAGTAGTAAACACGAGGAGTAACGCCAGCATGAGGCACTTCCACCAGCGCCTCTCCGACTCCCACAGAAAGTGCGCCAGCCGCCACCAACACCAACATGCCCCCATGATCGCTAGCGGCGCGTTTCCAACAACCATCATGAGCACCGCATCCGCCTCCACCGCCTCAGTAGTTGTACAGGTGGGTTCCTGGACCACTTCAAGGTCGATCGCCACCTGGTGGAGACCTTAGGAAGTAGGCCTTGCTGGTTGTTGATGCTGCTTATAAACAGTTCGTTGTCGAGGTGTTTGGTGTTGCGGCCAATGGTGCGCTTGTTAGTAGTGGAGCCGGTGTTGCCGCTCCTCTGACGTTCGTAACAACAGCGATAATTCTATAACCGGTCCGTGCAAAGATGCGAAATTAATATGTGGGGGCATTAGACCAACCATACCTCTCCTACATGTCGAGATCTTAGTAAATTTTTACAGTTTCACTTGGCCACCTTAAGATTGTCATCTCCAACGGTCCTTTATTTTCCTCACCCACCCTGTTTCGCGTACCTTGTCAACTAGCTCGCCAATGTGTCAGCAGTTTTCACCCGCCATCTTGTTTTTACCACCGACTGCAGGTATTGGGCTTGTTTTTGTTTAACATCATAGCAAGGTAATTGTAAATAGACTAAAAAGTCGAGAAAGAAATAGGAGATTGGTAAGGTTTTTTCAATGGTTCGAAAAGACAAAAAAAAAATGACATGTCAAAATGGCGGCCCAAAGCCGTAACCACCAATCCAGTTTAGTTGAACTAGATGGACCCACACAGGCTATTCTGCATCAGAAAAGAACGAGGCGAAATTGAAGCGATGGTTTAGATTAGATAATGACGACGAATAAATATTTTGTGGTTGAGTAATACGCAAAAGGTCAAAGGACATCCGATTAATATCGTTAGTCTACGAAATTCTAAATAGTCAATGACAGAATGACCTTAAAAGAGTTAGTGCTTGGTTTTCAATCTGAACAGTTGATAACGGACGGCGTTGTCGCCGAAGAGGCGGTTTGTGCTGTTAAATCCTGGCTGAACGACGCCAAACTTCCGGCTCTGAGCGACGAGCAGATAATACTTTTCCTGGTATCTTGCAATCAAAATGTTGAGTTTACTCAGAAGACTATCCTGGTGCATTTTAAAATTAAGAGGGGCTCGCCTGAGCATTTCGACAGTAGACGGTTGCATGGGAATGACGTCCAGAATGCCCTTCAGACTGGGTAAGGTGGATCTAGGCGTCTTCGTTTGCACTTGTAATTTTTCTTAGGCGCACCTGCGTTTGGAAAGACGAAGAGGGCTGTGTCATCATATACTACCGATGTAATCGAGACGTTCGGCATTGGAACCTCAGTCACTCGGCCAAATTTTCGTTCATGGTTCTTGACAGTGCTCTGTAACCCTCCAAAAGGATTGTATATCATCGTCGACACCAAGGAGGTTATCGAATTCGGTGGACTGTTTCAAATGTGGTTACCTCTGATGCTTTCAGTTAAGCTTCGAGCTTGCTATGAAGACTCTACGCCCGAGCGTGCTGAGTGTCATCTTCAATTACTTCCAACGGGCGGCGCCAGTCAAACTGAGAGCCATACATATCTTCAATTCTGCGTATTGGGCACCGAAACTCTTGCAAATGGTCAGTCCATTTATAGACAGTAAGATTGTCGAACAGGTGGGTCACGAGTGAATTGCTCCTCTTTAACCGTACCAGTCCGCAGATCGTCTTCTACCCCAGAAATCTGAGCTTGGAGGAGCTCCGCGAGAGGTTGCCAAGCGACTTGGGAGGAGAGTTGCCATCTGTTGACGTTTTGCAAGAACGTCTCATTGAGAAAATGGAAAGCATCTCTGCGTACTATGAAGCCGAGGAGTTGCAACGTTGACCTTTTGTACGCCCGTAGAGTTACTTATCATAAAAAGGTTAAATCAATTACTATAAATAGCGATAATGTACTGCGTAAAATATACTGTCGATAAACCCCGCGACTCTGCCTTGTTACGGGTCTATACACACGACTACGTTATGGCACTAGAATGCCGGAAAAAATAAGTGGAGGTATTGGTGCGGTAGATAAACCCAGGGGTTAGAACCTCATCTACACGTATTATTATTATTGCGATACACAGTTTTTATACATGGCGTTTGTTTTTTTATACGACCCTAAACTACAATTTTCATACGGACCACCCTATATATTTTTGAAAAGAGGCCATGGCGAACAAAAGATGGTTATTTTACTGGAATAGTTAGTAATGTTCTTCAGTATGGAAATGTCCAACGAATTAATTGTCTTTAACTTTTTTACCGGTTGTCGTTTAATGTAGATCTAATAACAAATGTAGCGCAATGAAGCATTTTCCACCTTGAACCTCAACGCTTTCGTGGTAAAAGTTTATTCAAATGAGAGCACGCTAATCTGATTACGCTTTGAAAGGCAACACTTCGCACAGTTGAAAATTGTATCAGCCGACTCCACTACGCAATCAAGTTTCGTCTTGAAAGCTTTCCGAAGAGTTTCGTGTTACGCTATCTAGAAATTACCGCACTTTCGCCTCGAAAGTTTGGCTGTTAGCGTTTTTCTCCCACCAAATTTTTACTTATGGCCGAGCTCTAGTGATGAAATCAGACCCACCGAAAACCAAGTGTTCTCTCTGTCTTTTACAGGTGAAGGTATAGCAGAAACACTGTTCTGCATTCTCAGGCACAACGGTTTAAAAACACTCTAGCGTTTCGACGCTTATCTGCTTGAACACTCGTTTTTTATCTTAACGCGCATTACTTTCTCGGATATTAGTTCTGTTATTTTTCATTACGAAGTGGAATATTTATAAAATTTCCTATACCGGGAGTTTGTAAATTTAACACAAGCCTAAAGGGTGCTCTAAAAGTATCGATAGTTATATCGCAAAACAATGCGCCGGATTTAAACAAGAGAGTGTGTCGCGTGAGTCCGAAAGTAAAATGCACGAATAAATTAAGAACTATTCGATATAAAAAAAAGCAGCGAATTGTTTTAAAAATTGCCGCGTGTTGTTGTTCCTTTGCTTGCGCTTTGTGTTAGTGCTGGCGTTTGTTTAAAAATAAAATTTTATCTTTATTATTTCCGTTTTTTGCGAATTGTCAGTGGAAGGAACGGAATCGCGTATATTTTCGTGCGTCTTAAAGAACGTTTCTGAATCTGATGATTTTGGTTTGTTTGTCTAGAATTATTCGTTTCATTGTTTGCTAGAATAAATTTAATTATCTGGCCAGTAGGGATTTTTTTTAGTTTATTAAGGGGATTAGTATTTGTTTGACTCTTATTCAACCCACATCATCCCTTAAATATCCATCAAGACCGGACCACCAGAAGCAGAGATAAAGCAACCAATTCAAAGAGCATGTTATGCGGAGTCCCTTATAATTTATCAAGGAAGAAAATGTTGCAGATCAACCAGAAAGAAGTGATTTCTAATAAACTATTGCCTATGAAAAATGTATTATGCAAAATTCACGCGTATGATAAAAAATTATTGCGCTTCCGCAGTTCAAATTTTTATAACCGCAAAGCTTAGCAAACGACCTACACTCTGTTGCGACTGCAACCTGCCTTTATCTTTGCTATACTTCTTTGACTTCGCTATTTATGCTTAGAAAAAACCGAAATGGAACCAACGCAAACCACGGAACAGCGTCCCCTCTCAGCCAACAGCAGACCTGAATTTTTGTTATCTAGGCTTCGTCTAGACGGGAACCGACGAAGCTGGCAAGATTCTTGCGTTCTAAATATGCACCCTTAATAATTTTTTACATTTTAAAGCTTCTGGCGCCACCGATACCAAAAATAAGCACGTCAAAACAACCCTTTAACCATTTTCCGTTATTTTTAACTCCTCTGCGACCGCAACAATTTTTTTTTCTCCTTGGCGGTTGAAGGATTTTCCAATGTCTCACACACTTCTGGAGGAGTGCTGAACCTTTAGAGCTTTAAACAGAATCTGCACGAGTCCTTAAGGCATGAAGAGCGTTTATCGCTTCAGTGAGTCCTCGAAATTAAATTAAACCTGTCGGTCTCCAAGGGTTTTCGAGAACTTTTGCAACCGCAAAAAGCTTTTAGGAAGCCATAGGAACATTTGTGACCGTCTCTGTTGCCTGCGTTCACGTGGAAGTATATTATGAATGTGCTATTGCCGTGTACGATTCGACTAACCATTTATTCCGAGGAGGGAGTACCTCATGGAGGTCCGGTTCTTTGCTATATCGTGTCGGTTGAGGGACCCCTTTAGTGTACCAGCGTCTCCAACGCTCTTCAACGATGTTTTCAGCACCCCTTGAGTCTTGGAGGAGATCTCTAAGGGCCCATAAGGCTTTATTAAGATTAGAAAAGGCTTTTAAGGTTTCCCCTTTCAGCCTTTAAGGCCCTTTAGGTCGTTAATAATCTTTCAACTGCTCACCGTAAATAGTTGAGGATGGTTTCAACCCGGACATGGAATAACGTCTGTTAGGGGTGGATAAAAGAATCAGTGAAACAAAAACCAAATTTATTGCTCCTCTCTGTCATCCATGCTGTGCCTAAAAATCTCTTCACTTTCGAAATACCCTTCCATAGAGGTGAGCGTGTGCACCGTGACGTCATTAAGCACACTCAGAGGTGGATGGCAGCCGCCGAAATCTTCGGGAAGGTACTCCGTCGGCACGTACTTGTAGAACGAACTCAAATTCTTGCCTCTCGAGTGGAAGTGCGTCTAAACCAAGAGGTGCAATAGTCTGGAGATGAGTGCCTCGCTTACCATGTTCCAGACCTCCTTCTTTATAAACGGCTTGAGCACCTTCAGCAGCTTGTTCAGGATGGACATCATGTTGACGATGTGTATTGCTTTAAGTTTACCGGACAAGCCCTCCTGTAGGTATTGGATGAAGATCTTCATCACCTTCGGCTTGATCCGAGTGATGTGCTTCATGGTGACCTTCAACAGAGGTTCGAATTGTGCTCGTGCCGGCCACGATTGCTTACGTGCTGTACGTCGAAGACGATGATGAACTCGCACTTGGGATTCGCGAACATGGCTGCCTCCAGGAGCATGCATGTGAGCTTGAGCAGTCCGCGTATGTGCCACTTAACCTCGTCGCCCTCTTTAAGTTTCGCCTGCAAAATCAAAATGGTGGAGCCGTCGCTGGTTTTCTGGGGCACCATGCAAACGTTGCTAGAACTCACAAGTCATTAAACATTCGACCGGTAACACTCACCAGATACTTAGAACCCCCTGGATGTCTTCGCCGCTCATCCTCCTGTTGTCGAAGATGAGAGGCGAGCTGTTCTTGATCTCGAACGCGGTTTCTATTGTACGTTTCGTGAATTCCGTATCATTATCACAAGAGAAGAGGAACAAAACTGCCTGCTCCTCCGACAGCACCGGAAGCGAGAACTCATCGCACCAGCTGCGAATGTCGGCCACGTCTTCTTCTCGCACCATGCCATTTTCGACATACTGGCGGTACGAGAATCCGAACGGGACGACGACGGCCTCGCTACGGCGCATTCTTCACTCTGGGGAATGCGGATAATTAAGGTGTTTTTAAAATGGAATTTCATGTTATCTGAACCGGAACGGAAATGCTACTGATAGTCGCTCGTTATTTCGATAAATGCTAAACTTGGATAAGTTAACCTGCATCTTTGGCCATAAATTCAATAATCGAACCAAAAAACTGCTGTTACTATGAAGAATGCACCATTAGAACCTGTGATCCTGATACTCCTCTCACTTATACACTTTTATCCTTTGGAAATAACTCTTCAGCATCTGTTCTCCTAATACAGGTAGTTTATTTGCTTGATTACCCGTGTAAGTTTGGTATAGGGAAAAAGCGTGGCAATAATTTACAGCTTTTTACAACCTGGAGGAAATGGTTATCAAGACGTTACTGCGCTCCTAATACTGCTTGCTAGCGACTATCAAAAAAACACGAAGGTAAACCTCTTCCCACTTTTTTCCCGTTTCATTTACATACCTGATACGGTTATTTTCCCGGGGTTACATTTACATCTTCTCCTACACGCCTGATACGGCTAATCTACGAATCAGACCTTTTTAATCAAATTGTGACTTTTTACACTTCCACAACCCTGAAACTTAACTTTAGCGTCCTTATAACGCGTTGTATTTTACGTTCTCCTACACAATCTTTCGAGAGAACTTTTGTATCAGGAGCGTATAAAGAGGAGGTTCTGTAATCAGGTATCATCTTGTTCTCTCCTTAATTTCGTGCACCTCTTCATCATCAAAATGCAGTTTTTTATGCTCCTGATGCATAACCTTTAGGAAAGATCTGGATCGGGAACCCAAGAATCGCTCTTTTTTAAGTTTGTGTACTAGAAGAACGTAACTTGGTCTACGCTCCTGATACAATGCTTTTTCGTGAACTTTTTGGCATCATCATTACACATCAAAACCTGAAAATTCAGATTATAGATTCCTGAGATACAATTTTTCAAAGGAGCTTGTGTTTTCGTGTATACATATGTATTTTATATTTTGTTCTGCGCTCCTAATACAACACAATTTTGTCAAAAGTGTATTTCGTCGTCATTACGGTAGATGGAGTTGCACTTTCTTGAGCTTCAACATCCCTGATGCGTAATTTTCAGGATAGTTTCTGTATAAGGAGCATATAAGACGCAAATTTGACCTTTTTCATCATGTTTCAACTGGAATAGCGTAGGAAACGAGCAGATTTCTGTGTGTATACCTTTTGTTCTACAGAATATAGGAATGTAAAGAACTTCATGAATCTTCCTTTCATGTACCATTACGGTAGATCAGATTTTTCGCATATTTCTTTGTCCCTGATGAAGACTTGGAGCAATTTTCGGAACAGAAATTTGCATCACGTTAAGATAATAGGCAGAGAGTTCTTTAAAATTAATTTCTCCTCAATGAAACAACTTTTGGAGCCCAAATCTGAAGCTATTTTCCTATTTTACATGTTTCTGGACCTTCTGCGAGCCTGATCGAACAATTTTTAGAGAAGAATTTGAATCACATTAACATAATAGGCAGAGAGTTCTGTAAAATTAATTTCTGATAAATGAAATAATTTTTGGAGCCCAAATCTGAAGCTATTTTCCTGTTTTACATATTCTGGACCTTCTGTTAGCCTGATAAACTAATTTTTGGGAAATAAATTTCTATCACGCTATCATAATAGCTAGAGAGATTTTTGAAATTTATTTCTCCTCAATGAGACAATTTTTGGAGCCCAAATCTAAAGCTGTTTTCCTATTTTACATATTCTGAACGTCCTGTGAGCCTGATCGAACAATTTTTGGAGAAGAAATTTGAATCACGTTAACATAATAGGCAGAGAGTTCTTTAAAATTAATTTTTGTTAAATGAAATAATTTTGGAGTACAAATCTGAAGCTGTTTTCCTATTTTACATATTCAGGACCTTCTGTAAGCCTGATAAACCAATTTTTAGGGAAGAAATTTCTATCACACTATCATATATAGGTATAGTGATCTTTAAAATTAATTTTTCCTCAATGAAACAATTTTTGGAGCTCAAATCTATAGCTGCTTTCCTATTTTACATATTCTGAACCTTCTGTGAGCCTGATCGAACAATTTTTGGAGAAGAAATTTGAATCACGTTAACATAATAGGCAGAGAGTTCTTTAAAATTAATTTTTGTTAAATGAAATAATTTTGGAGTACAAATCTGAAGCTGTTTTCCTATTTTACATATTCAGGACCTTCTGTAAGCCTGATAAACCAATTTTTAGGGAAGAAATTTCTATCACACTATCATATATAGGTATAGTGATCTTTAAAATTAATTTTTCCTCAATGAAACAATTTTTGGAGCTCAAATCTATAGCTGCTTTCCTATTTTACATATTCTGAACCTTCTGTGAGCCTGATCGAACAATTTTTGGAGAAGAAATTTGAATCACGTTAACATGATAGGCAAAGAGTTCTTTAAAATTAATTTTTGTTAAATGAAATAATTTTTGGTGTACAAATCTGAAGCTGTTTTCCTGTTTTACATATTCTGGATCTTCTGTGAGCCTGATAAACCAATTTTTGGGGAAGAAATTTCTATCGCGCTATCATAATATAGGTAGAGAGATCTTTAAAATTAATTTTTCCTCAATGAAACAATTTTTGGAGCCCAAATCTAAAGCTGCTTTCCTATTTTACATATTCTGAACCTCCTGTGAGCCTGATCGAACAATTTTTGGAGAAAAAATTTGAATCACGTTAACATAATAGGCAGAGAGTTCTTTAAAATTAATTCTCTTAAATGAAAGAATTTTGGAGCTCGAATCTGAAGCTTTTTCACTATTTTACATATTCTGGATCCTCTGTGAGCCTGATAAACCCATTTTTTTGAGAAAAAATTGCTATCACGCTATCATAATAGGTAGAGAGATCTTTAAATAATTTTTCTTACATGAAAGAATTTTTGGAGCCCAAATCTGAAGCTGTTTCCCCATTTAACATATTCTGGATCTTCTGTGAGCCTGATAAACCATTTTTTTGGGGAAAAAATTTCTATCACGCTACCATAATAGGTAGAGAGATCTTTAAAATTAATTTCTCCTCAATGAAACAATTTTTGGAGCCCAAATCTAAAGCCGTTTTCCTATTTTACATATTCTGAGCTCCCTGTAAGCCTGAGTTTTTGGAGGAGAAATTTGTATCACGTTATCATAATAGGCAGAGAGTTCTTTAAAATTAATTTCTCTTACATGAAAGTATCTTTCGAGTACGAATCTGAAGCCGTTTTGATATTTTAAATATTGTGGACCATCTGTGAGCCTGATACAGCAATTTTTTGGAGGAGAAATTTGTATCACTTTAACATAATAGACAGCGAGTTTTTAAAAATAATGTCTCCTCAATTTAACAATTTTTGGAGCCCAAATCTGAAACTGTTGCCCTATTTTATATATTTTGCACCTTGTGCGACCCTGATAGAGCAATTTTTGACGGAGAAACTTTTATCCCGTTAGCACAACGGGCAACGAGTTTTTTAAAATTAATTTCTAATAATGAAACAATAGTAGCGCAGATCTGAAGCTGTTTTCTTACCATACGTATTTTCTCGACCTCCTGTGAGCCTGATAGAGCAATTTTTGGAGAAGAAATTTGCATCACGTTAACATAATAGGCAGAGGGTTCTTATAAAGTTAATGCTGTCTCAATAAAACAATTTTTCAAGCAAAAATCAGAAGATGTTTTTCCATTTTGCAGCTTTTGAACTTGCTGCGAGCCTGATAGACCGATTCTTTTGGCTCAAGACGTCGCCATCGCACGATATCAATTCCCGGCTATGACCAAACCACGCGATGCGAAGAAAAAAAACATACGCTTTGCAGTGCGCGGCTTCCTGTGTGATTGACGTGACCGTGACGTTTTTATACTGACGTCTAGTAATTACGTTGTCCGGTAACAGCGTTATATTCTCAAGTATATCGTTCTCTTCTCTAACGTGCTGCCCAAAATCTTCACGGAGGTGGCAAAAACTGTAATCTAATGAGTTACGACACCTAATTCCGTGATTATGTTCGACTTTCAACTGTAGGCTTAGAAACCCCGAACGAGGGGCGAGTTATCTATCTTGGGGGCAAGATTATGCTAATCGAAACTTTTCGGTATGTGCGATAAATGAGTTGCGATTCGCTAATTTCCATATATCTTAACAGTAGTTGAATTTGCCTGCAAGGCCATGTAATTTTCCAGTTTGCTATTAACAAAAGGACTTTATTGCACCAAAGATGAGTCACATCCTGTACCCTTCATCCTTTCTCAGAATTTAGGTACCTGCTTACCTGACCCATTGTTTCCAAAATGTAACCAATTTAGTGTATCAGCATTTACTATCTTTGTTAACCACTGCTTAAACTTCTACAAACACTTTCGGACTGTATTAATCAAACGGCAAGGTTTTTCTCCGTCGTACTCTTTTTGCCCTTGGCAGTTACTTTTTACAAGCTGTACGGCGTAGGATGGATGTCGTTAACATCTGGTCGGCGCGACGCTCTTTTCAAGAATGACTCGTTTTCATTTTATTTCATTGACATTACTTCATTCCGAATATACATACGTAAAGCAGTACTTAAAATCCTGTTCTATTTACATATGGAGGTCGCCGCGAATTAGGACCGAAAATATAAGAAGGTACGGAAAGTAGGCCATGAATCCCAATAAGAATAATTCAACTCTGGTGTATTAAGGCAGCTTAACGCTGTAAGTTTATTATCGTTTATTTTTTGGTACAATATTAATAATGTGTATGATACATGAAGGTTAGATAACACTCAAGCTGTAGCTTCACCAATTAATCCAGGTCCTCTTATTGATATGTGACCATGGGACGAACCTTATAATAGACTATTTTTGTCCCAAAACTTAACTGCGTCTGATTTTAGCTATCACCTCGTGCTCGACTCAACATACAGACACGCCTAGTGCTCTTGTGATTACAAAATCAAGGGTGCGCGAAACGGTGCCTGGATACGAAGTCGCTTTTTTTTTTAAAAGCACTGACGTAAAATCAGCTATCAGCCTGTACAATATTCACATAAGCAGTTTTGCAAAGATATATACATATAGGAAGGTACGTAGATCACTGACCGGATCTAGGAAAGGATGAACCAACATTTATATAATTCATTATATCTTACATTAGAATTTGTAAAAAACGAAACAAGAACCAGTGCCCGGGCTAGGAGTCCTTTTAACATTCGCCCAATTTTTTTTTGTTTTCAAACGTAACGAGTTCCAACAAGTTTGTGCTTAATTATAGGTTTCGCAACATGTTACAAGGAGTACTAGCTGTGCGTTAAAAATGGAGAAGGCACAACAAATTTGTAGCGCACCGTATTTAAAAATACAAAATTTACACATCGTCAACTAAACTTTGGATTTAAATACCTTACGCCTGTAACAGCTAGAATTTGGAAATAACTTTTTAGTTGAGTTGTGCCGGCAGAGCTGTTTTTGAATCCGTCCCCGTCGTCCGTTTTACGCGAGATCAGTCGGATTTCGTCGGGATGATAGTTGTCGTCTCGCGAAAACGTCGACGTTCCACGCGAAAATTGTGAGCTAACTAAGCGACTAGCTAACGTTATTGGTCAAATTTGAATTTGTACTCAAATATATAGTTGAATATGTCACTTTGTATTGATAATACTGAAATGTTTCACTTTAACCGAACTCGCCTCGTTCGGCTCTAAACAAAAAGGCGAGTTCCTCTCTAATTATAATACATTGAACACTTCTCTTTTCATTAAATGTAGGTAATTAAGTAATTGTAAAAAAATTACGAAGTCTTAAAATTTAAGATTCTCGAGCGATACAAAAAGCTTCGATAAGCGGTTCCAAAAACAGCTGATATCACTATAAAAACAAGAGAGAGAGAGTATTTGGTTATTTTCCTCCGAGTCCAAATTTCATAAAGATTAGTTCCTTCCCCTTCGACAGTATGTCGCCGCCAGGGGCCGTTATTTCGTTTAGCTTTTGCATCAGATTGGGACCCTGTTGCTGCTGCTGCTGTTGCTGCGGCTGCTGTTGCTGAAGCGGCGCGCCGATCGTCGGTATTACCTGCGGTACTCCCTTGTGTTGCTGAAGACGCGTCACGCCGCCGAACTGCTGCTGGCTAACGGCCTGTCCGCTGAATGGCGTCGGTTGACCGAAGACGCTCGTCGGGTTTGTGCTAATCGTTTGTTGGGCGTAATTGGTTGGTTGCTGCGAGGTGCCCTGGGCGATATTACCACCTCTCGCCGCCCCTATCATTTCCCCTCTCCCCCTCCCCTGAAAAATACAGCTCACTTTCAGTATATCAGCTATGATCGTCCTAATGGGGTCATGCAATGAGAGAAATGAAGTCATGCCAGTTTCTTTATGTACTGTGGGAGTATAGAGAGAGAGAGAGCGAGAAGAGAGAAGATCTGGCTATGTTCATGAGGTCTATGTTTTTTTCATCCTTTTGATATTGACTTAAGTGAAGCATACACTGCGGCCATACATGCAAACACGTCAATACAGATAGAGCGGCGCGAGTGAGACAGTTACCTGGTGCTCGGTGAAGACTTGTGTGTTCGGTGTCGCAGTGTTGGTAGCATTGTCTAACTGAGAGGGTAACACAGGGCAGGCATCTAGCAACAGACAACACACAGTACAGTCAGGCGCCAGTTTGGACATATTCGGAGCTGTTCGTGTCCCTCCCCGTCCCCCATTACTGTCAATTGTCGTCGTGAGTGTAATGTGAGTGTAAAAAACGGTTCCGCGTATGTCCGTCCCCAGCTTAAGATAGAAAGAGATAGAGCTAGCAAATTAGCATCCAATCCGATAGTGCAATCTCAACATTTAGACAATTAAAGCAGCTTATTTATTACAACCCTTTCTGATCAAAAAAATTCGAAAAAACCCATCACACGCCCCGGAGGTGAAACAATCACAACAAAAATAACAAAAGCGTGTGACGACGTAAATTGAGAAACAAAACAAAACCGAAAGAAAGTCCAAGACGGAGCAGTCCTCGACTTTCTCATATACCTCTTTTGAGCGAGCGGGCGGGATTCTCCCTGGGCGGCGGTGGGGGCCCGCGCGCGCCCGGTCCGTGTCCGCGACCTCTCTGCCCGCGACCGGCGCCGGGCATCTGCTGCGACGTCTGCCCGCTGCCGCCGTACTGGTCGGGCGCCTCGGTAAGGAAGTTCGACGGCACCAGCCCGCGCACGCCCTCGATCTCCGCCATGTAGAAGCCGTCGTCGTCCATCTCGCCGTAGACGTTGATAATTTGGCCGGTCGTGAAGGATAACTCCACCTGCAGTTGGGGGGGAAGACGGGTAAAAACAACAGGAATTCAGCGAACTTGTCGCCCAGCAAACACAAATTGGCGCCTCACCAGCAAACCATTCGCGTGCCACTCATTGGCACATAAAGTTAATTACTGACTTTCAGGCACAACATCAAAATTTCTAGCAAGTTTTCAAAATTAATACAATGAGGAGGTGTATGTCAATTTACTCTTCACCTTCTTCACTTCTGCGGTCTTGATACTTCTAAAATGAAGGTTTAACCAAAAGAACATAGACGGAGTGTTTGTGAACTTTTTTTTCTTTTTCTGTGATCCTAATACGATAATTTCGGAAAGAAAGAATGGCGGAATCATGACATGTCTCCCAATTTATTTTTTACCTTCTTGGTGGTACGCAGATTTCTATTTTCCTGACGCACATTAGGAAACCATAGGTGACATATTTCTGTGGTCTTGATACATTTAAAATGAGTTATCAACCAATAGAGCATAGGGTCGGTTAACGTAAGCAAGTGTTTGCAAATACTCTATTCTACTCGGATCTTTATCTTCCAGATGTAACCATTTTTAAAGAAGACATTTTCTCAGGAACACATGTTACATCTATCAAAATGACATAAATATCTTTCACCCCTTTTTGCGCTTTTGTGATCCCGATACGATCATTTGGGACAACATTTTATTAGGAGAACGTGACACATGAGGAGGTATCTGCCAATAATTTTCCTTTTACCTTCTTGAGAATACGCAAAAAGATGTTGCCAATAAATTCTATACCAGTTTAGATTTCTATTCTCCTGATCTAACCATTTAAAAAAACATAACGGATGAGGGAGTATTTGTTAACATTTGCTACACCTTTTCGCGTTTTTGTGATCCTAATACGACATTTTTTGGCAGTAAAGTAACATGACATATGCGGTAAAAAAACATTTGCATCACAAAACCAGAATACACGATACATTCCTGCGGCCTTGATACTTGCCCTGACGTAAAAAAAACATTTTATCAGGAAAACATAATCAATTCGGCGGTTTTGATACCTTAAAAATAAATGCCCATCAAAAAAGATAATTAGCATGGTGCTTCTCAATACCTTCTGCACTTTTCTTGAGTTCATAGTCCTAATACGATAATTTTGGAAAGAGAAAGTTGTATCAGAAGAACATGACCCGTGAAGAGGTGTTTGTCAATTTATTCTTTACCTTGCGAATACGTATACGTGTTTGCCAATTAATCTAGTACACTCTTGGATTTGTATTGTTCTTTAAAAATCAGATTTATATAAGGAAGGCGTGATACATTTCTGCGGTCTTGATACTTCTAAAATTAGTGCTGAATCAAAGGAAGATAATATGTGAGGAGTGTTTTTCAATATTTTTACACCGATTTGGCACGAAACTTGTATCAGAAGTATATAACATGTGAGTGTCTGTCAAATTATTTTTCATCTTGCGGATAAGTGAAATCTTTTTTTAAAGAAACATTTGTATCAGGAGAAGATGACATATGAGAAGGTAACGTTTGTATCAGAACGGTGTGATACATTTCTGTACTCTTGATACATCAAAGGAACATAATGGGTGTTTATCCCTATTTTCTACACCTTTTTGCGTTTCTGTTGTCCTACTAGAAAATTCTTGGAAAGAAAAAGAACATGGCGTATGAGGAGGTGCCTGTGAATTTATTTTTCACGATTAGTTCTATACCTTCTTGGATTTCTGTGTTCTTAATCAGGAAAACATGACACATTTCTGCGGTTATGATACTTTTGAAATAAATGTTGGATCAAAAGGACATAATGGACGAGGGGTCGTTTGTTAATATCTTTCACACCTTTTTTTCGCTTTTGTGATCTTGGTACAATCATTTTTGGAAAAAAAACATTTGTACCAGGAGAAGATGACATATGAGGAGGTAACGTTTGCATCAGTACGGCGCGATACATTTCTGTACCCTTGATACTTTCAAATAAATGTTGATCAATGGAACAAAATGTATGAAAGAGTGTTTATCCATATTTTCTATACCTTTTTGCGCTTCTGTGGTCCTAATACGACATTTTTGGAAAGTAAACTAACATGAAGTAAGAGGTAAAAAGACATTTGTATCAGAAAACCAGGATACACGATATATTCCTGCGGCCTTGATACTTGTCCTGACGTAGATTTCAATATTTTTCACGCCGATTTGCGTTTTTGTGACCTTAACACGATAATCTTGAAAAGAACTCGTATCAGGAGTGTATGACACGTGGCGAGGTGTCTGTAGAAATATTTTTCATCTTGCAGATACGTGAGAAAGTGCCAATAAACTCTATTCCACTCGGGTTTTTATTTTCCTGATATAACAATTTTAAAAAAAGGCATTTTATCAGGAAAACATGAAACTTTTGAAATAAATGTTGTATCAAAAGGACATAATGGGTGGGGGGAGGGCGTCTTTTTAGTATCTTCTACACCTTCTGCCCTTTTGTGATCCTGGCACAATCATTTTTTAAAGAAACATTTGTATCAGGAGATGATGACATGTGAGGAGGTAACGTGTGTATCAGGAGGGCGTGATACAGTTCTGTACTCTTCATACTTTAAAATAAATGTTGAATCAGATATAGTATGTATGAAAGGGTGATTATACATATTTATACAAATAAACAAATTCTTGGAGAGAAAAAGAACATGATATATGAGGAGGTGTCTGTCAATTTATTGTTCACGAAAGTGTTTGACGATTAGTTCTATTCCTTCTTGGGTTTCTGTGTTCTTGACGTAAAAAAGACATTAGTATCAGGAAAACATGATACATGAGAAATTTCTGCGCCCTTAATAGTTTTCAAATAAATATTGAATCAAAAATTGTAATTGATGAGGAGGTGTTTGTCAATATTTTCTACAGTTTTTTTGAGATTCTGTGATGCTGAGAGTATCAGGAGAAAATGACTTGTGTCAATTTATTTTTCGCCATCCTGAATGCATCGTATACCTTCTCAAATCTTATTTCTCGAAATGAATGATGGATCAAAGGAGCATGATGTGTGAAGGAGGTGCGTGTTTGCTGGGTAGCGACACAATATACTAGCTTCTCACCTCCGCGTCAACGTTCGGACTCAACTCCTGCGGATCGTAGTCGTAAAGCGCGACCATCCGCTTAACGGGAACGTTCGCGTAAATATCCCCCCAACGGTCGCGATTTTGCCCGCCCCCCTCGACCTCCATCACCATGTTGTGCGGCACGTATCCCCTTCGACCGCGACACTCGCCCCAATAGAACCCGTCGGCGTCCTTATCGCCCCATACTTTAATCGAATCGCCCTCGGAGAACGGCAGCTCCTCCTCGCACGCGTCCGGATTAGGCGACATCGTCGCCGGATCGTAATCGAAAAGCGCGACGAACCATCGCGCCCGTTTCTGCGCGGTCGGCGTCGTCGTCGTCGGCTGCGCGACGCCCGGCGCGCCTCTCGGCTGCTGCGCCTGCTGCTGGCTAGGCGGCACCTGTCGCTGCTGCACGGTCCTCATGTTGGTCACGTTCCTCGGGTTCGGCTGAGCTAAAACCGATCGTTAGCATCGACTGAGCTCCTCCCGACAACGTACCTTGCTGGTAGTAAGGTTGCTGCGTTTGCTCGTTGCGCTGCTGGGGCGGCGTCCTATGCTGACGCTGCTGCTGCATGTACTGCTGCCTGGGATTTCGACGATCCTGCAGCTCGTCCTCTGATAAATTAGTTTCGAAAGACTCCTTCGTGATTTCTGGAATGGATCGTTGCGCTAGGATTAAAAGAAATGCGTAAAGGTGCGGGTTGGGCCCTGTGTGCGTGGGAGGGTCACTCACCTATTGACGGTATCCCGCTTTGCTGCTGGTGGACTCCGGTTGTCGGGAAAATTTCTTTGTCGCTGAGGTTTTCGTCGTGCTCGATTATCTGTAAGGTGAAGCTGAGTGGGGTTCGGCGGGGTAGGGGGCACTCACCTGCTGCCCCTGAGGTTGACGCTGCTGCTGTTGCTGTCGCATGTGCATCGGCACAGCCGAGTGCGGTTGCTGCCGGGCTCTGACCGCCCCTCCGCGTAAGACACTGACCGGAATCGGGGTCGGCACCGAGTCGACCGACTGACTGTCTCTCGCTTTCGTCTTGACGGTGACGTGCCTGGGGTTTAAGCCTAGTAATTTACTTATATCTATCAAGGCGTGATCGCCGGTAGGCGAATCGACATCAGTCACTTTTTTTCCGTCGGCGTACACCGAGTAGCCGGTCACGATCGAGCCGGGGTGGTGGGGAGGCTGGACAGGGTGCCAGGTTACTAAAAGCGTACCGTCCTGGGGACCTGAAACGGGCCGTGAGTTGTGACGGTACGGGGGACGCGGTGGCCTACCTGGTTCAACCATAATTTCGCTAGGGGGATCCGGTAGGCCCTTCGGTAGGGTGCGGAAGTCGGTGTGTGCGGCGGCAGGCATGGGGAGGTCTTCGGTTAGGTTGGCTACGTTTTGCGAGGCCCTGTGGTGTTTCGCCCTTACGGTCACGCGGTACTGCGTGTTTGGTGTTAGTCCGGTTATTGTGTGCCTGTAGATGCCTGGCTTGACGGTGCGCACTTCGACGTTATTAACGCATACGACGTGCTGATGATTTGAGTTCGCAGGCAACCAGTTGATCACGGAGGAGGTGGCCGTGACGTTAGTGGCGCGTACGGCACTCGGACCGAGCTGGTGCGTGTCGCGTCCGATGATCATCGTGCAGGCTGCGTCTCGCGATGTTCGCCGATTCGCCGTCACGGACCGTACGCTGATTCTGTGCGGCTGTTGAGCGACAGATTTTAATCGAGTTAGAAAAAGACAGCGGTAACTTACTCTGTTACTGTCTACACCCTCCACGAGTGCCCGAGTACGTTCAGTCGCCTTTATCGTAGTTTTAAGCACACCGTCGACGTACACGTGGTAGCTTTCGATCTGATTGCCCGGCCCCACGTCGGGCGCCGTCCAACCGATCAACACGCTTTTGTTCAGTTGACGTTCCAGTGTTAGATTTCGTGGTGCGGGAACTAACACGGAGAAGAACAGGTCAGCTGTTGATTTTTATACCTAAATGTCAGTTCTAACTTCTACTCTTTAATTATGCCCTAACGATACTAGTCAGCTCTGGTGAAGATGGCGAGGTGAGCATGCGGTATGTGTGAAATGTGATATATGTAAAATGCTTACTTATTGTCGTCTTTAACGTGGATAGCAGTACAACCTTGTTTCCGAATAAGCTAGCTGGAATAGAAAGCGTTTCGATAAGATGCATGCAAGAAGCACATCTAAGAAAGAATTGCGTTTGGCTCGCCCTCAGCACAAGTTGAAAGCTTGCCAAGTATTTTCTACCGAGTAAACGGCAACATGTAAGACAGCCTGCACATCAAAGCTTTGCCACTACTTCACTTCTATCAAATGTTTCTGACATATTGCACACGAGGGCGCTCTAACACAGTGCCGCACAAAGTCCAGCAGCGCATAATGAGCGCAAGGAAGGGTTTGAGTACATCGTGCTCTTTTAGGCACTATCTAGAACTACTTCTACAGTCTCTAAGCGACCCTCTTAACATCATACTGAACCCTTCTCCTTCTCTCCCCCCCCCCTCCCGAGGAACTTAGGAACCTAGAACCTAGAACTGAAGCAACACAGCTTCGTAATTCCTTCCATCGTCTGACACTTTCCGCGTCACTCTGCTCTTTTAAACGTAACCTACAACCTCTTCGCGCCTATGGGCATTTTAAGGCTTCCTGACTCCACTTTTTGAAACTACCACTTTCGCTCTTAAGGCACTACAAACTCTGAAAGCTTTGGAGCAATCTATAACACTTAAACAGTCCCTTAAGATCCTATCTATGGTGCAATGTAGAACCAGGTCTTCATAAAGCTGTCGGCATCTGCAAATCTCCCAACGCCCTCCTGGAGTGGCCCCTTTCAGGACATTTAGACAATTGCAGAGGCTTTAGTACTATCTCCAGGTGCATGTCACCTAAAAGAGGAGATGGGTCTCCACTGGCGCCTGTTACAGCCAGTAGGAGACCTGAGAATCCAGATGGCGCCATGGTGCTGATACGGTTTATAAAACATTGGAAGGACCTAAAAGGCATTTTCTAATACTAGAAAAGTCTAAATAATTTTGATTAATGTGGAAAAGAAAGTGTTGAACGCCTAGACAACTGTGGACTAGAAAAGCTACACTAGAAAGCATAAAGGTTTTTGTCTTTCTTTAATTATACTTCTGCGCAAAAAATGTGTGTACCAAATAACAAACCAAAAATTTACAGAACAAAATGCTTTAACGAAAAGTTGCACCAAATAGTCCTGATGGTACATACATGTAAGCGACCGGCAATCGCAAATGCTCCGGTGCACAAGGGGAACCATCTGATTTAGGTTGCACCCAAAAGACCTTAATGGTACACTAAATCGGCTACATTTGTTCCAAAAACCACAATCTACAACAGCGCCCAAATGATCCTGGTGGCAAACTAGAGGAACTAGATCTACGGTTGCACCAATAATGAATGCCCTCATGGTATACATAATTCGCTAAGCCACCTCTGATCAAATAAATGAACTAAACTACTTACAATCGCGCCAAAAGGGCCCTAGAGGAAAATTACAGGAACTAAAGGTCCAACAATGGCTAGCAAAAGATGGACGGTTGAACCACAGAGACCTTAATGGCAGACCAAGTGAACTAAGTGACCCTCAATCGCGCCACATGGCTCCTACTGCAAAATGGCAAACTAAAGAAACTACACGATCTATGGTTGCACTAAGGCTTACTTACTGACCTACAGTTGCGTCAAAAATGTTCTAGTGGCAAGCTAATGGACTTAACTGATGCATCTTGGCCCAAAAGGACCCTATTGGCACACTAAATGAACTAAACGGCCTAAAATCGCTCCAAAAATGCACTTCTAGGGTCTGCAAAAGGTCCTAGTGCAATTGAATAAATCTGAGCGATGTACGGTTGCATCAATGGGACCACCATGGCACCCACACCGCACTAATCCACCCAAAATCGCATCTCCAACCCCTACAATAGCACCTAAAGTGTCTTGCTGGGAAACTAGAGGAACTAAACGAGTCACGATTGCACCAAAAGGACCATTCAGGGACACTGATGGCCTAAAATCGCTCCAAAAATGCAGTTCCAGGATCTGCAAAAGGTCCTAGTGCAAATGAATGAAACTGGGCGATCTACATTTCTGGTCCGTTAACTTGGCCCCCCCCACTGAGAGATTTCATAGTCGTATTATTTTGAAATGAATGCGCTCGTTATGCGCTCATATGCGCCACCGATAATAACTCTTGCGCCATTATCGTTTTTTAGAAATCCGAAAAACATTTGGGGGGGGGGCCAAGTGAACGTAGCCTCCCCAGTACGTATTTTGTCCCTTGTAACTAGGTCACCTGATACATTTGGTTATGCGCTCAATTGCGCCACTTGAATTAAAGCTAGCGCCATTACGGTTAAGCCGTGACAAATTTTCAAAAAGTGGGGGGCCAACTTAACGTTTTTAAAAGTTACTTTTTTTAACATCTTTTCACTTATAATTGCACAAGAGGTTTGTATTTTACCGAGTAAATTTGGGTTGTTTAGGTAATGAAAATCTGTTGCCTAGCAATTAGACGAGAAAAACTGTCAACTAATAAAAATGCGACACCGCAGGCGGAGCATTTTTAGGTTGACAGTTTTTCGAGTCCAATTGCTAAAAGGAAACAGATTTGAATTGCCACAACCCAAATTTATTCGGTTTAAATACAAACCTCGAGTGTAATTCGGAAGGACAATTTAACGAACAAGAAATTCACCAAACTAATCAATTATTGACAGACGTCAAACTAGTCATATGGGTAAGGATAATGCGATTATTGGTTCGAAAATGAATAAGTGAAAAATCCACTAGTGCATTTGTCGCTGGAAAAGTTGCAGGTAACTTTTGCCGCTGTCAAAGTGACAATTACACTGCGGCTTATGTGATTTTTTATACATGAGTTGAATTGTCATACGAAATTGTACTCTCAGGTATGCGCTGAAATGCGCCGTAAAAAGATATCTTTGCGCCATTATTGTTTTTTGGTTATCTTTAAATATATTTGGGGGGGGGGGGCAAGTGAACGGAATCCCCCATAACGCATTTTGCTACCGGTATTTGTGCCACTTGATACATCTGGTTATGAGCTCAATTGCGCCACTTGAATTAAAGCTAGCGCCATTACGGTTAAGCCATAAAAAAATTTTAAAAAGGGGGGGGGGGCTAACTTAACGTTTTCAAAAGTTACGTTTTTTAACATGTTTTTTCTACTACATCGTACCTTTCATCATGCGCTAAAATGCGCCGTAAACAAAAATCTTGGCGCCATTATAGTGTTTCAGAAACACTATACAGGGTGTTTTTTTGGGAGCTTTAGTTAAACGATTCTGAGAAAGTAAAATAGGTAGGTTTTTAAAAATTTGTATTTAGGAGTTACTCCGAAGGCCGAATCGATGTAAAATATTTTCAAAATGGACGCACTTCCGGAAATAACTTTTGAAAACGCTAAGTTAGACCCTCCACTTTTGAAAAAATTTTTATGGCTTAACCGTAATGGCGCTAGCTTTAATTCAAGTGGCGCAATTGAGCTCATAACCAGATGTATCAAGTGACACAAATACCGGTAGCAAAATGCGTTATGAGGGATTCCGTTCACTTGCCCCCCCCCCCCAAATATATTTAAGGATAACCAAAAAACAATAATGGCGCAAAGATATCTTTTTACGGCGCATTTCAGCGCATACCTGAGAGTACAATTTCGTATGAAAAGATGTTAAAAAAAGTAACTTTTAAAAACGTTAAGTTGGCCCCCCCACTTTTTGAAAATTTGTCACGGCTTAACCGTAATGGCGCTAGTTTTAATTCAAGTGGCGCAATTGAGCGCATAACCAAATGTATCAGGTGACCTAGTTACCAGGGACCAAATACGTACTGGGGGAGGGCTACGTTCACTTGGCCCCTCCCCCCCAAATGTTTTTTCGGATTTCTAAAAAACGATAATGGCGCAAGAGTTATTATCGGTGGCGCATATGAGCGCATAACGAGCGCATTCATTTCAAAACAATACGACTATGAAATCTCTCAGTGGGGGGGCCAAGTTAACGGGTCCCTACATTTCCATCAGGGAGACCATCATGTCACCCATACTGTACTAAGCCATCCAAAATCGCATCTCCAACCCCTACAATAGCACCTAAAGTGTCTTGCTGGGAAACTAGAGGAACTAAACGAGTCACGATTGCACCAAAAGGACCATTCTGGGACACTGACGGCACAAAATCGCTCCAAAAATGCACTTCCAGGATCTGCAAAAGGTCCTAGTGCAAATGAATGAAACTGGGCGATCTACATTTCCACCAGGGAGACCATCATGGCACTCGTACTGCACTAAGCCACCCAAAATCGCATCTCCAACCCCTACAATAGCACCTAAAGTGTCTTGCTGGCAAACTAGAGGATCTAAACAAGTTACGGTTGCACCAAAAGCATTCTGGGACACGGATGTCCTAAAATCGCTCCAAAAATCCACTCCTCGGATCTACATCAGCGCCAAAACGTCCAAGTCCAAGTGCAAATTAACGATCGGCTGAAATCTTTTGGTGGAAAAGGAAGGATCTACAATAGCGCCGACAACGTCTTGACGGAAAACTAGGGGAAATAAACTACCTGCAGTTGTATGAATATGTTGACCAACCTGGATTGCATTAAGTAAGCCACCCCCATAACACACCTAAGCAACTCAGTGACCAAAAAGGCCTTTGTGGAAAGTAAAGAAAAAAATTCACTGCAGCAAGTACAGATACCACCCGCAGACCTGCGCATGCGCGCTCCCACCAAAAGCTTTTTAACTCTTCCTTTTATGTCTAAGACAACGTGTAGGTACCAAATTTGGTTCCAATCGGTTCAGCCGTTTAGTCGGAAATGAGAGTACAGTCAGACAGACAGACAGACAGACATAATTGAGATTTTGTTTGATTCGGTGCTTCAAAACGTGTATTTCCGTCAAAAAAAAGTGGGGGGGGGGGTCATTTTTTACCCCTTCCTTACTAACGTGCGAGTGGTAAAAACTAAACTACCCACAGTTGTCCCAAGGGAACCCTTATGCCACATTAAATAAACCGAATGTTTTACAGTCGCATCCAAATAAACCTTGGTGGAAAAGTAAAGGAAAAAATCGTTTAGCCCCATAAGAGCCCTGCTAGCAAACTAAACTCTTGTTCAAAATTTGAGGAACTAAAAGATTTAAAGTTGTCCACAAAAAAAGCCCATTGCCTAAACAAAAGTCAAATAATTGTCAAAAAAAGGGGCAAAATTTCATATTTTTTTGGGGGGGAGAGAAAAATTTCGAAAAAATCCCAAATTTCGATCTGACGTAAGAAGGAAGCGTGTTCAGAGTGCGAAACTAATCAGGACTACAATTTTTCGCTTTGTGCCAACCCACTCCGTCGTTAGGTTCGAATTCTCTACACTAAAAAGTAGTAGCAACGCTGAGCTGACTAATATGTTAGACTAACGTACAACAGCTGCCGTCTAGACGTAAAAAGCGCATGCGTACACGGAAGCCTTACCGGCGTCCCCGTCGTTATTGTCGTCCTCCTGCCCCTCCGACATCTCGGCGATCTCGTTGAGCCGCTGTATGTCGGCCGCGAACGTTTCGGCGCTGATCTCCTCCTCCCTGAGCGTCGTCAGCACCGCCTGGTGGAACTCGAGCAGGTCGTCACCTGGGGAAAGTCGAGGGGTTAGCGTTTGGGTTTTGAGTTGTGAGGTGGTTGGGTGGCGTGCAGGTGTCTTACCGCGTTCAGTGAGTGGTGCAGTGTGCGTTTGGTGGTTTTTACCTATAAGTCTTTGGGCAAAGTGCGACGGTACCAGTCCCCTGCGTCCGTCCAGGGTTTCGGCGTCGAGGTAGCCGGCGGTACCGACCGGTTCGCCCCAGACCAGGAGGTAGTCGCCGGCTTGTACCGCCAGCTCTTCTTCCGCTTCGGGTTCGGGATCGTACGAGAATCTGCGCGAGATGGTTAGTGGGGCGAGGGTGGGATGTTTGGGGGGGTTACCTGGCGATGTAGACCGAGCAGCGTCCCTTGCCTGGTATGTCCAGCATGTCGACCTGTCCTTCGGTCGAGTGCCCGTTGAGGTAGCTGCGGTCGGTGCTGTGCATCCCGCCCCAATCGGAGTCGAGCCCGTCGGGCATCATACGCGACAGTGGTCTGGTGTCGGTCATGCCCAACGAGGAGCCTAGGCTCCACGCCGGTGGATGCGGCGTTACTGGAGTTGCTGCCCTACGTCCAGCTCCCAATTCGACTTCCTCAAAGGGTTTTAGTTTGATTGACATTGCGGACGGCCCGGAGAGGGCCATGTTGTTAAATTGCGAACTTAAGGGGTTTGAAAACGTAACGTTATTCGTAAAGCTTGTCGTTGTGATCGGGTTGTACGGAAGCGTGTACTGAGGCAAAGCGCTAGCGACCTGGTTGCTATAGGATGGGTTGCTGAACGCAGTTTGAGGAAGCGAAGTCGGGTTGTTTGATACTAAGTGGGTGAAGGTTGGGTTTGATATCGTGCTCGTGGTGTAAGTTGATGGCGGCGGTAGTATTGTTGGGTTGCCTAAAATTGCGGATGTCGGTCCGAGTCCGGTTTGTCCCATTGTTGACGTTTGACCCAGAACGGATGGTACCAAAGGCGTTTGTCCTAATCCGATTTGGCCGAGACCGCCGAGGTGCTGGTGGTGGGCGATCGGCTGAAAGGCTGTACCCATCGGGTTTGGCTTACTGGTGTAGGGGTTGGTTAGGCTATTGAACTGTTGAGATATGGGTATTGGGTTGTAGGTGCTACTGGATGGAAGGTAACCTAGTGACGCCGGACTTTGGTGCGGGCAGTTGCTGGTGGGTCCGCACAGCGTAGACGTCGGGTATATCGAGGGAGTTGTGTGAGACATTGTGATGGGGGAGATCGGAGGACTACTTTCGCCAAGCGCGTGGCTACTCGCACTCGTCTGGATACCGGCACCTGCAATGGACAGGTTTCGAGTGACACGGAGAAGGCATACTGGTACGCACCTAGCGTGGTCGAGCGGCTGTGATCTAATTCGGCTAAAATTCTATTGTCCTGCTCAATTTTCGCCATGATCCGTTCAATTTCGCTACCCTTACTAGTTGTGTTCCAAGACTGACTGGCCTGATTCGATATTTGCACCCTTCCTCTCTGCGACGCGGCCAGCTCAAGTTGAAGCTCTTCACATCTAAAAATAGGTCGATATTCATAGTACGATCTTGAACGTGCATCTTCAAGTGTTTTGCAGGCAGAGCTTTCACCCATCAAAAGTCCCCAACAATCGGAACTTTCTCTGGGTAGGATTGAAACACAAAAAAAAACACATTGAGCAACACGCAAAGCGAGGCAGTGGACACAAATTACCTCACGGTCTCGAGCGCCACTTTCTTCTCCAGCTCCCTAACCCTCGACTGTCTCGCCTCCAACAGGTCCGACCCGCAGTTTCTTAACGCGGCCATTGCCTCGGCGTGCGCCCGCTCCAATTCCGTTTTCCTCGCCTCGGCCGCCCTCAGTTGCATCTCCAGGTCCATGATCTACAACATTTCCCGAGATTATAACTGCACGACCCATAATTACGATAATCCCGCAAATCGAAGTTGGCGAACGCGAACCAGCGTCGTTTTTCAACGAGCGCGATGGGCGCACCGGAGAAACGGGCGAAAAACTCCTACTCACCGTGTGTTTGATGTTAAATTTTAAGAAATTAAACCGGACGGACACTATTCTATCTATAATGGCGGCATACTCAGTAGGTCACAACAAAATCGATTTGCGCGCGCCGCGCGATTGATTTTCCCAACCCTCGAAATTTTCAACGCATGACGTAAGACGTCGCGACGCCCACGAACGTTGCGCGGTTAAACGTACAACTTTCGCATCGATTACGGCGCCGTCGGCCCAGTTTCCTATCGAAAACTCGCAGATTACTTGCTTATCGGGAACGGTTCGCGTCCAAAGGGAAGAGCGAACTCAACGGACTCAAACATTCATCTGTCGCATTCATAGGCACTCGAATTATAAGAGAAGTCATCGCTGCAACAATGGGAGCATCAGGTAGCAAGAGAACAGCTAGATATTGGAGTAAAATGAGGCCTCCTTAGGCTTCTACCCCTCTGATATTGGCAACCATTATTGAAACTAATGTCATGTTCAAGATTGTGCCGGTAACGCACCTTTTGAGATGTTTCTTCTGCACTCCTGGTACAGGGACCCGCTCTTGTAGAATATTTCCATGTACATTCCAACCAATTTCCGCTTACGCTTTGGAACGGTCAACATTACATTGAAATAAGGTGTTTGTATTAGGAAAACATACGATAACTACTCAGTTTCTGCTGTCTCAAAACGAATTTTGGCAGCGCACATCGCGAAAAGACCAATTTGTGACTTCTCGACCTTCTTCACTGTTCGATCCAATTAGTGGAATCTTACACTCCTGTGCTCCTGATTATGTTGTCTGACAAATTTCGACTTGCATCACCTTAAAAGTTGACATTTTCTGTTTCTGTGCTTTAAAATACTTTTGGACAGTTTTATGATCCAAAGGGAGTAGGTATTTGGGGTTCTTGTGCGCCTGATAGCCAATTCTGCGCCTCTTATGGAACAAGCTTTTTATACATCTGCAAAGCTCTTATTGATGTTTGTTTCAATATTATCCATGACGCTTGTGCCACCAGATGTCGGCTCAAATCTTGTGTAGTCGATAAATCAGTTTAATACGGTTCGTCTTATCAGGATAACATACACTTTCAGCTTCTGGTTTCTAAAAGTACCTTTTGCTAGCTTTATCATACCAAGAGACCATAGCGAATAGAAGTATAGTTCAATTTAGAGCTTCTTGTGCGCCTGGCATTCCTGGAACGATACTATGCATTGAGTTGATTTGATATAATCAGGAAAGCATACGCTCATTTTAATTTCTCTGCCCTTTTGACTACTTTCTGTTACAAAAGTACATACGTAGATAGTTACTTATGCAAATTTATGACTTCTTGTAATCTGATTTTCGCTCTTTACGCAGCAAGTAAGCGTTACATTCAATTAATGGCTGTCTACCCTTCTGCGCTCCTGATTTTTGCAATATTTCTTAGAGATGATGTTCGTTTCAAGATTATACACCCCACTGAAACGATGCCTATCTGAAATTTGATTTTTCTCTGGCTACCGGGAGAACATGATAGATGAGGAAGTCTTTTTCCAACACAAAAAAACCATTACAACCCTTTATTTTGACTTGAAGGATAATATGATAGACTGAGACTTTCTTCCCTCATCAAGAGAAGTGCTGAGACACTTTGTTTTGAATGAAACCTTCACAAACTTTGTATCAGCAGAATATAATATACGATGCACGAAGAGGTATAATACAATGCGCGGGGAGCACCAACAAAATTTCACTGGGTTCTAGGAGAACATGATAGTATTTTCTGTAACCTGGAGGAACATTTCAATACCCTACTTTGGCAATAAGCCTTGTATTAATGGAATATAAGTCGCGAGGAGGTGTTTCCGCTCCTAATACACGGAATATCAGCTAGCAAACTCGTATTCTCGCTACCAGGAAAATACGATCAACCAAAAACTGCATTAATCTCAAGAAAAACGCGTCAAAACTGTTTTTTTTTTTGCTCACACATTTACCAATTTTGTATCAGGAGAATATAATGTGCTGTTTGCTCCTAATACACGGAGTATCATTTAGTAGCAAAACTTTGTACAATTTCTCTGGGTTCCAGAAGAGCATGATGGGCTGATCACCAAAATAAGCAACTCCCACTTTGCAATTTTTTGAAATATTGTATCAGGAGAGTACATTTTGCAAAAAGGTATTTCTTTTCCCAACGCACGGAGTATTAGTTCGCAGACTTTTTTTAAAATTCCTCTTGCTTTAAAAAGAACATGATAAAAATGGAGATGGGTGTCGTGTCGTGCATCATGACTGATATGCGCTCCTGATAATTATAGTAAAAGCTAAATAACCCCTCTCAGGATTACAGACAGAAGGAAATTATTCACGAATTGAACACGAATGTTATCAGGAGTATAAAATTGCTAATAAACCTAAATGAGCCATTCTTTTCATTGGTGTTTGACTGAATTTACGTGTATTGACAATCCTATTGTCCCGATGACATTCGTGTTCAATTTTCTGATCTGATCTCTTTTATTTAATGCATAGTGATGGATTTATAGTGCCCTTCAGCTTTTAACTTGCGAAGGAAGCAGTGCGAATGTGTTTTTGAAACAATATACACTTTCTGTGCTTCTGATGTACGTGTTTGATATTTGTATCAGGACCATTCAGGGTATTTTCCTGAACAGAATTTACACCTGAATCCCTTTGGATCCATTAACTGTTTGAAGATGACCTGCTAGTATACAGAAAACACTCATTCATTTATTTTTAACGTCTGTGCGACTTTACAATTCTGTGGTCCTGGTATGAACAAGCAGCCCTCTAGTATTGATGTTTGTTTCAAGAAAATGTTGTGTGCGCTTTAAAAAATTGTTGTATTAGGACCACAGGATGTTAAATATGGTACAAATGTATTGCTCAGAAACTTCCAATGAACTAAGTTGTCCTGATATAAAGTTATCTTTCAAAAATTTATAGTATCAGGATCAAAGTTAAATGTGGCAAAAATGTATTGCTCGCCACCTTCTGATAAATTATGTTCTCCTGCTACAACGTTCCCTTTTCAAAAATTGTTGTATCAGGATCATAGGTACCCAAGAAAATAAGGAACAAATTTACGCATTAGCACTTTTTATTGTAAAATGATTTCCTAAAGCAGCTTTCCCCCTTAAAAAAATGGTTGTATTAGGATCATAGGAAAGCAAAAATGTTTCCTAGTAAACATCTGCGTTCCTGATAATATCAGCAATTCCTCACAGTCATGTTCAAGACGATCTAAGGTTTTTTGAGTATTAATTTTGGCTTACATGTCTTAGAAGCTGTAGGTAAATCATTTGCAACTGACTTTTGGTATCAGGAAAACATACACTTGGCAGTTCACGAAGAATCAGCTCTTCTTTAAATTGTTTAGGCTACCTGGAGAACATGACGGAAGAGGAGCAACTTTCCATCTCTCAGAACAATACTTGAACACCTTACGTTGGCTTACACCTTTACAAGTCCTATCAGAGGCGTATAATGTGCGAGGAGGTGTTTTAATGAACAAAACCCAAGACAAAACCCTTGTGACATTTCTGCTGCTTATGGGAGAATTATGAATGAGGTCATTTTCTACCGCCAAGGGAACCATTACAACTCCTTATTTAGGCCTCTCAGGGTATCAGGAGAATATAATGTTTTTTTTTTTTTTTTTTTTTATTTAGGCTTTTGCCTGCTCAACAATTTACTTACACTGTTATACAAGGCATTGTTAACAAGGATGTGTTTAGTATATAACTAACATGAGCGGTATGTATGACCGCAAGAATGTTTAAATGTTACGTTACTTTCACTTGTGAGCACTGGATTTGTTGGAACTGGTCACTGGTCATGTGCGAGCGGGTGTTTCTGCTCGTAATACACAAAGCATCACTTGGGGAACCTTCATAACATTTTTGTGGCTACCAGGAGAATACGATGGCTCATTAAGAGAATCGTTTCAGCACTTTATTTTGACATAATCATCTGCAAAGCGTGTAGGTATATTTTGTAAGATTTCATTGGTTAGCAGGAGAATATCATAGAGCGGGAGATCTGTGTCCTAGTACATTGAATATCAGTTAATAAATTTAACTCGCTACAAAGATAACATGATGGATGAGGAGGTCTATTCCATTATCAAGACATACTTCAACGCCCTATTTTGACTTACACCTTTAAAAATCTTATATCAGGAGAACATAATGTGCGTGGAGATGTTTCTGCTCCTAATACACGGAGTATCAGTTAGTTAGGGACGATATATTATATTGAGATGAGCTGGTGGTATCAGGTGTCTCTAAATTGCTTTTTGAGATCTTCATGAGACTGGTCTCCAATAGATGTTTGGATCAATTTACGTGGTCTTCTTCTCCTGATAATTGATTTACCACCAGTAGGTTTTTGGTGCACTTCTGCGCCCCTGATATTGGAAATTGTCTTGAGAACGTTGCAAGTTAGTGTTCGGACTAATCTACTTTTGTATTCATAGCATTAAATATCCCGTCTCCATTAGGATCACATAATCACCATCTGATTATACTGAGTCAGTGCATTAGACTTTTACACTCTTAGTATAATTATCAGGAGCGCATACCGAACGTGCTTTCAATTAGTTTTCTAGCAACCCTGTGATCCTGATAACTTTGTGTTCGATTTTATGATCTGATCTCTTTTACTTCAAAACTCTCTTAACAGGTTATGGTACCACAGAAACGAGTTTATAGTTGGAAGAAATTACATGCTTTTATGTTCTCCTGATCTTAACCTTCTAACCTAATAGGAGGTCTTCTGGCATAGAAATTTTTTAGTTGGGAAAGTTCATTAGTCTCTATGTCTAACTTATGTTGTTTTATTTGTCAATTCTACCAAATAAATTGGTAAACCGCACTATTTTGAACTTATACCGCAAATGGGACGGATATGTTTGTCTGTTACGCGATAATCGTGCTCTACGTTTCCGCCTTAGTGTACTAGCGACCGAGGAGCAAAATGGACTTGAAGAAGGTCGCCGTTGAAAATCTTCAAAAGTACTTGCGAATTCCCACCGTTCATCCCAATGTCAATTACGGTCCTGCCGTCAAGTTTCTGGAGTCGCTGGCCGGTGAGCTGGGTTTACCCGTGAAGGTCCTGGAATATCACCCGAGCAATCCCATCGTGCTTATATCGTGGGTCGGTGAGCAACCCAATCTACCGTCGATCTTACTTAATAGTCATATGGACACGGTTCCGGTGAACGAGGTGAGTGTTTCGCTTGGTGATCGTGGTGAAGATTTGCAACGTTTCAGAAAAAATGGGCGCACAATCCTTTCGGCGCCGAGATTGACGAGTATGGGAATATCCACGGGCGCGGAGCCCAAGACTGCAAGGGCATCGGGATGATTTACATCGAGACGATACGTCGACTGAAACAAGCAGGCGTGCAGCTAAAGAGAACGGTCCACGTGCTCTTCGTGCCAGACGAAGAGCTCGGGGGAACAAAGGGAATGGGAGCGTTTACCGGAACCAAGGAGTTTAAGGAGCTCAATGTTGGTTTCGCCATCGACGAGGGTTTTGGCGATGTTGGCAACAAATTTTTGGCGTCTTACGCCGACAGACTTGGGCGAAGTAAGTGCGACTCAGAGCGTTCATAGATTCACCAGCACTTTTCAGAGATGGTAATTCATTGCGAAGGCACTGCAGGTCACGGTTCTCTCCTTCTTCACAACACGGCAGGAGAAAAACTAGCCAAAGTTTTAACAAAATTTTACAATGAGCGCAGACAGCAGAAAGAAAAACTCTCAATTGGCAAATTAGGTCTTGGAGAGGTGACCTCAATTAATCTAACGAAGATGGAGGGCGGATTGTCATCGAACATCATCCCCCAAAAGCTCTCCGCCACCATCGACTGTCGAGTCACTCCCAAAGATAATGTTGGGGAATTCGAAGACATGATAAATCGATGGTGTCGCGAGGCTGGCGATGGGGTTACCGTGGAATACTTGCACAAATCGGAGTCTGCACCTGCTACAGCACTGAACGATTCGAACCCCTACTGGGTGGCATTCGAGGAGACCGTCACCCAACTGCAAGTGGAATCCCTAGGCACGGGCTTGTGTAATTGATTTTTTCTAGGGGCATCCCTTTGGAGACTTGGATCTATCCGGCAAGCACCGACGCAATTCATTTGCGAGCGGTGGGCGTCTCGACGATTGGTTTTGTTCCGTTTCGATACACGCCCTTTTTGAAGCACGCCGATAACGAGTCCCTCAACGTAAATACGTTTTTGGAAGCGATCGACGTTTACACCAAAATTTTACCGCAGTTAGCTAACGTATAAGTGCAGTCAATGGTTACTAAATTAAACGACTAATTCAAATTTGTCTTTGTATCAGGAGCGCAAGAAGCGGTGGGCTGCTCAAGGTAAACGAAGGGGTATCAGGAGTGCATCTGCGTCAAATACCGATTCACGCCTTCCTGAAGGCATGACGCCGAATAAACAATAAAATTAAGTAACATGGGCTCCTGATAAAGAAACGGCCACATCTTTGTAGATAATTTGCGAAAAAAGCGCAAAGCAGATTGAACTAAACACCTGCCGCCTGGTTCCATAGTATCATCCAATACGCAGTTGTATCAGGACCGCAAAAAGTCGATGATGTGCTTACACTAAACGAAGGCGCGAGGTATCAGGAGCGCATGACTGTAAAACCTCACGTGCTTCTGATACACCCACTAAGATAGTTCCGTAAAACTAGTACGAAACGTGCAGGTATTTGTTTTAATCTGCTTCTTATTTATGTGTTCCTGATACAAATGTTTAATATGTGATCGTTTAGTAAATAGTAAATGCTGCAGGTTTCATGTAGGTAAGGACTTTTTTCATGACCGCGTTCTTAGTACGAATAATTTAATTCTTGGTTTTCTGCTACATTCACGGCTTGCGATAGCAAGAAGATGAGAATTAGTTACGATTTTTTTCTTACTAGCCTGCGTTCCTGATACATTTAATTTACGTTTTGAATAACCTTCAAATTTTATGATCATACTACGTGTGGCATAACAATTTGAATCAGATTACAGCGTCATGCGCTCCTGATAAACTAAGCGGACATGAGATGCGATTTGTTCCTTTTACAAATAATTCAAATGTTATTGTTTTTGTGTATCAGGAGCTCATGTCAGTCAACTCTTTTCAAAGTTATGGTGTCTGGAGGCAATTGGCTCAGTTTACGTTTCCTCTTGCAATGCTGCACTCCTGATAATTATTGTCTTTGGGGTGAGCATGTGGTTTAATTATGGTTCAACTTTCATGGTCCCTATACGCAAAACGCTTACCATGCACAGAATAACTGTTTCGACCACATTACGTCTTGCGCTCCTGATACATCCTGTTATTAAATAATTTTGTGCAAGCAGGCGCACATAAAATCTTAAACTTTTTACTTATGCGCTCTTGCTACAAATAATTTAATTGTGAGTGTTTCTGGATCAGGAGCGTATTCCTGTCACCTTTTGGTTTTTTTGTTCATTCCCAGTTGCGGTACGAGGAAGATGCGAACATGCGTGACAATGAATTTTAATTGGGCTGCAAGGCTCATGATCCTCATACGAAGAACTTTGGATCAGTTTACGACTTCCTGTACTCCTGATATAGTTGACTCTGGCTTAATTGCATGGAACTAGGCACACATAAAATGCAACAAAGGTTTAGCTCCATCTGCCACTGTTTTACTTGTGCGCTCTTGCCGCAAATGATATAATTGTAATTGTTTCAGTATCAGGAGCACATTTTGGGTAAGTTTTGGTTTTATTTATTCCTATGTGATATGGGGAACGAGCGAATATTTATTTGACCCAATTCCTGCGATACTGCTAGCTCCCGTTTTCGCTTAGGATAAGCAAACATTTTAATTAAACTCTTAAAGTTTCATTGTTTATTGTGATCAGGAGCGCATGCCAGTCAATTTTTGGTTTCTTTGTTCATTCACAGTTGAGGTGTCAGGAAGATGTGAACATGCACTGCACACCTAATACTTCTCGTCTTTACTTGCGGCGAACATTCGATTTTACTGCAACTTTCATTATCCACATACGAAAAGTTGTCCCTGGGTGCAGTGTAACGATTTTGATCCATTTACGGGTTCCTGCACTTCTGATACAAAAAAGTTGCAGTAAACACATGCTGTATTATTACATATTATCTAATATCCAGTGGTATCAGGAGCGCAATGATCTATAACGCCGAACTAAAACAAGAGATATCAGGAGCGCAGGATGGTGTGAAAAAGGGGAAATTAGATCAAATGCCACTTCAGTCACAGGTAGCACAACTAAGAATGAACAATAAGCAAACCAAAAATTATCTGACGCGCGCTCCTGATACAAAATAGGTTACAATCAAATGAACTTGCACATTAAACGAAACACCTTCCACATTTCATGGTTCCATAGAATTATCCAATAGCCAGAATTGACTGATATCTGTGCTCCTGATAATATAGAAACGATCATTTGCATTTCGTGTTCGTCAGGTTGCAGAAGGTCCTGTAATAGTCAGGGGTATCAGGAGCGCAAAAAGCCGTAAACTAAGCCAAACAGTTACACGGCACGTAGTACAAACTTTACGTACGGGTATCATAAACTTTCCGTAAAGCGCATGCTCACGCAAAATAGAGACGAAAGATATCAGGAGCGCATAATTGTAAAGGAAACGTAAATTGAATCCTTCTTGAAGCCACGCATAGGAATTCGTTTCAATCTGCTTCTTAGTTCTGTGCTCCTGATACATGTACTTGAGATGGGATCGTTTAGTTAGCATTGTATCAATTAAAAGGGAGTTATTATACGTTTTTTCTTGCAATCTGTGCTCCTGGTACCTCTCCTGTGTGTTTGGCACTAGCACGCCTTTCAGTTAACCTTCAACATTCATGGTCGTCATACCAAAAGGTCGTTCTGCCCGCGTCGTACGCATACAGGCTATTAGATGAGTTTGTAAAACAGGGCAAATACGACAGGACTTTGGTTCAACATTTTCACAACTGCGCTCCCGATTAATGCAATTGCAACCCTACGCTCCTGATACGTTCCACTTTCGTGTAGCGTAACTATCCGTTTTCTATTGACCTAATCCTCGCACAAAAGACTTGTTTTATACACATCTTACCTGTGCTCCTGATACAACTAGTTATTAAATCATTTTTTGTATTTAGGCAAACTTGAATGCTACAGGTTTAGTTCAGGTCTCCTGATTCAGATAATTTAATCGGGATCGTTTCTGTATCAGGAGCGCAGGTCAGCCAGTTTTTTGTTTTCTTTAATTTTGCAATCCTGGTAACCCTCGTATCCGTTTAGTGTGGGTATGGCGTTTAATTATGGCCTCCTGCGCTCCTGCGACTACTGACTACTAGCTGGTTTTATTAAACCAAAAGAGCGGCAGGTATTAAGTCCGACTTCTCTACTCCCGCTCTCTTGTTGCAAATAATTTTACTACGGGTGATTATGTATCAGGCGCGGATGGCGATTAGTTTCTTTGTTGATTCAGAGTCGTAGTTTGAGAAAGGAGTGAGGAGGTGTTTGATGATATCAGGAGCTCAGTATTGTCTTCGATTACAGCTAAATTAATGGTTTTGTAAAACCAGGTGGACAATGAATACGGCAGGTATTTAATTCAATGTGCGACCGGTGGACACGCCCAAGCCGTTTGTCATAGTCGTTTGCAACGCTACCGGGTTATAGTTCCCTTTTATTTAATTAGCTGATCGTTCAAACTAAATTCGCAGTGGGGGGAGCAATGAATTACGTTTACCAAGCCGTTCGACCGTTACGAGTAAGTGACCTTCGCGAATCTCATAATTCTGCACCTTGTGTTTCAGGAGTTTCTCCGAAATTTACTGTCGTGGACTGTCAAACTTGACAGGACGCGAACGTCGCCGTCCCAGTTCTTCCACGAGTTTTGCGATGTTTATAAAATTAGCCGACAGCCGGTCGTAGCCAAGGGAGGGATACAGTGGAAGCATCCCGGATCGTTGATCGGACCGCCGATGGAACGCAAGCGCCCGTTCTGCTTCAGGACGATTGTTGCCGAACAGAGTGACTCCCACGTGTACAAAGTTCAGGAGCACTTTATGTGTTTGGGCTCATCCCTGGGCGAAAAATCAAAAAAGCTGAAGGGCGACGGTCCCATTATATACAGGGAGCTGCCGAACTCTTCGGATCTATTGGCAGATCTGTACCAGCTGCGACAGGTTGTTTTGGCGCGCACGTCCATTGTACACGACAATGGAGATAAGGGTACTCAAGGGAACAGGAAGTGTAACGTGTACTTATTTGTCAATCAACAATAGAAGTAATCCGAGCAAGTCTAAGAGTTATTACACTGATTTTTTTGGTTTTTTCTTTCAAAAAATTCTCTTCAGGTTTCTGTTTCTTTTTGAATCGTGGTCTAAACCTACACAAGGTTGTGAACGGTTATGTATCAGGAGCGCATGTGGTGTCAGAAAAGAGTGAACAGTTATTTGGCCCAATTCACGTTTTTTTTCTCTTAAACTTTTGTGCTCCTGATACTAATACCTAATTCTGGACCATGCCAGAAATTCGCGAATCTCAAGGGATCCATGGGCACTACGTTTGAGGTCTAACAAATTCCAGTAGACCACCAAACTGAAATGGAGGTTTAAGACATTCAAACGGCTCCACGGAGTCCTCCAAGTCGTTTGTAACTGACGCCTCTTGTATTCGGACCTGAAACACCTCCACGTACGATACGATTTCCTGATACGAAACTTTGGAAACAGTTAAGCCAACATTTCCTTTGGTGATGGAAAAAGCTCGTTGATTCTGTTTTCCTGGCATCTGGAGAAACTTAAGAAAAATTTTCCAACTGATACACTGAGCTGAAACACTTCTACACCTGTTCTCCTCATACAGGACTTGTAAAGGTTTAACCAAAATAAACCGCGTCCCCAGGTAGCAGCTAAGGGGATGGCCCAGTGAATGATCATGTGAGAAAATGGGATGCCCACAGGTGAAGCTGTTAGAAGCATCCCATACTGTATCCAGTTGGCGTACCGTGGCCAAGGACTTGCACGAGGAAGAACGGCGCTGTCCTGGTTCTGATCTACTTCAGATCAGCCATGACGGAAAACCGTGCATGAGAAGGTCGTCTGTGGCCCTGCTTCACGGACCTGAGGGTATGGGGGGTCTAGACTCAAGTGCCAGGAGCAAGAGGAGTCAACTACATTTTAAAGAAGCCCAACAACCAACAAGGGATGGTCGCCCTTTAAGCGCGCCAATCATGGGACTTGAGGCAATTGGCCTCACACCGACCCACTTAGGGCTCCGCCAGAGTCAGAGGCACCGGTAAGCAAGTATGCTGGGTGAGACTATGGCCAAAAGCTAGCTGATAGCCACAATGAGCAGTGCTGTAAGGCAACGGTACCATTGGCTGGCGGTGTAGAAACGCATAAGCAGCTGAGCAAGCCGTCCGACCGCACGTACCGCCGACAGAACAAGGTAACTTGGACAAAGGGAAGAGAAGGTCCCGGTCCGACGATATAACACCCGAAGCTGCCCAGACAAGGAAGCAGCCGCGCAGGGAGACGACAGGTCTAAGTGGGGGTACGGTTTCACAGGACCCTCCACAACCTGTAAACAGGCTATATAGGGTAAAATGGTTAGGGATACTGCATGGGAGGTACTCGGAGGTGGACCTCACTACAGCTTAAGCACTTCCGTTCCAGAAAGCACCAACGAGAGCACGGAGCGTATCCTTGGTTTGTTGCCGAAGCAGAACCCCGCTTAAAACACTAAGGAATGGCGAGTGCTGGAGAGAGAGCAAGGGATAACAGTGGACCGACCCTCGCTAAGATGCCTGGAGCAAAAAGGCCTAAGAACTAAGTTTCATGTTTGGACAAATAGCAATCAAGTCTAAAGAATCTAGCAAGCGCTAGTAGTGCCACTTCCAAAGGACCGCCAGAGAGGACCACCAGAGGAGCACCAGGCACCCAAAGTCCAAAAGCCAGCACCAGTGACCAACGAAGAAGAGAGACAAAAAGGCACCATATTAGGTGAGAAATCTTGTATCAGGAGAATATGATGCGTGAGGAGGTGATTGGGGTTATGTTAAAGTATTAGTGAGGTTAGGTAAGAGTGCTAGTTAGGTTAGCTGAGAAATCTTGTATCAGGAAAATATGATGTGCGAGGAGGTGATTGAAGGTTATGTTAAAGTATGGGTGAGGTTAGAGTGCTACTTAGGTTAGGTGATAAATCTCGTATCAGGAAAATATAATGTACGAGGAGGTGATTAAAAATTAGGTTAAGGTATTAGTGAGGTTAGGTTAGAGTGTAGCTAGGTTAGGTCCTTCAATCATATTACTCGTTCATTATATTCTCCCGATACAGGATTTCTCATCTAACCTAACCAGCACTCTAACCTACCCTCACTTATACTTTATTCTAACCTTCAATCTCCTCGTTCATTATATTCTCCTGATACAAGATTTTTCACCTAACCTAACTAGCACTCTAACCTTACTCATACTTTAACATAACCTTCAATCACCTCCTCGCACATCAGATTCTCCCGATACATAATTTTTCACCTAACCTATCACTCTAACCTAACCTCACTAATATTTTATCCTAACCTTCAATCTCCTCGCACATTATATTCTCCTGATACAGGAGAAGTAAAGACTCCCGTGGAGTACTGCAAGCGGATGAACATCAAACTGGCCAGTGGTCATGGGCCGCGATGCCGACGCACGCCACGTAGCAGGGGATCAGCACAAACAAGAATCTGAAATGATCTGCAAAGTCTCCCACTTACTTAATGCGTATGAGAGGAGTTGCCCCACAAAAACTAAGTTACAAGCCAACAAGGAACGTGTCCATACTTCCATAGTAATTTCTGGGAAACGCGATGAGCAATTGCAAAAGGCTCTGGACATCGCCCAGAGGTGATGTACAGCCTAAGCATTAATCCCTTCAAAACTCTGGTGGTGCCTTTTACCGAAATGAGGAAGCCCAACATAACGACAGCCGCTATGGGAGGCGCCATCATCGATCTTAGTAAAAAGGTGAACTACCTGGGAGTGAACATCACACTAGGGTGGGTGCTAGGGAATTCATTTTCTGTTTCAGTTTAAGGTAATCAAAGTCACTTAAAACTATTTATATAAACGTAACTCTCGATGTTGTCCTTTACAGTTGCTTTACAATTAAGGTGATTATTTGGAAACTAGTCGACTTCAAGCTCTCTAAGTGCATTCTGGTCCTTTCCCCCGATCTGGCGATCGTCACTGTTTGGCACTATCTCATTGCTTCCCGAGAAGAGTGACCACCACGTGCCCTTCCTCGCGCGTTTCGATTCGTCGGCGACGAAATACTCCGTTTCGATCATCCACTCGTGGTATTTCTCCTTGAGCTTAACAACCTCGAGGCTGAGCTCCTCCGTGGTGGGGGCCTCGCCGCCCAGATCCTTCGGGAACATCTCCAACGCCATTCCCTCGGGTATACTCCCGCGATGAAACCGCAACAGTCCGATTAGCTCGGAACGTATCATAGGGGCGATGAGACGCATGAACTGCTTTATAAATGCGTTGGTATTGGTCACGTGGATCGCTTTGAGACGGACGGGGTGGGCTTCCTGTATGTAAGTCATGAAGGCCCTCAGCGCAGGAAGTGTGATTCGTACCAGGTGTCCCAGTTTCATGTTTTTTATGTCGAGTATTACTACGTACCTGGAAGGAGAGGCATTAATTTGGTAATTGGGGAGACTCCTTTCGCTTACCCCTCGACCAGGCCATCTTCCGATATGATGCTGTCGTTGTATATGCAGAATCCCTTGATCGCATCGCTGAAGACGTACTCGCAGTTCTCCCGCTCGCGTGGGATGTACATGACGACCGTGTACCCCTCCGGCGTCTTCGTTGGCAACTTAAACGAGCATCTACAAATCAAGAAGGCAACGATATGTCAAAAAAAAACTCAAAATTCGCAGTAGAACATGCACGTATTTCACAACATTCTCAAACTATCACCGACGGTAAGTGGGAGATCACGTTCGGGATGATTTTAAAGGGATGGTCCATTTCAGCCGAACACCAGCTTACAAATTTTGAGAAACTCGCACTCATGGACCTACCTGGAACCCATCGGATCGTGCTGTCGTCACCTGGAGATCGAAAAAAGTCGTGCGAGGTCGCTACCTCGTGGTGCACGAAAACCTTCCGCTGGCGGGGAAGAGAGATCAACGTCCGCCATCATTAGACTGAGCAACAAGAAGGTTGCTTTCAAGGTGTCCACGGGAAGTTGCCAGTATAGCACGTTGCAGCGATTCTTTAACAAGTTGAAATTTTGGAAGACGACCCACGCTCCCGACGCCGAGGAGCACCTCTGTGACACATGCCGCAAGGAGGAGGACGAACCGAAGAAGGTGCTGGTCCTCAAGCAAACGCCGAGGTCGGTGGGGGAAACTTCGTCCGCAGTCGCGACCGGTAAAAGCTACCAGACGTGCAGCACATGCGGCGGCCGGCACATGATACCGACGCACAATCGCAATTTTGAAAATTTACAGCGGAAGCTCAATTTGGCCAAGCTCGAGGCGAACAAGTACGGCAAGCTGGTGCCCGATAGACCACGAGCACAGACTACCATAGATTTATTAAATCCGAACAGCTTGGAGCAGCCGAACGCGTCCAAGCATGGCCAGAAACCTCGCGAACCGAGGAAGTTGACCGATAAACCACGCGTCGATCCGTTGATTCAGAAGCTGTACAAGTCGACGGAGACAATAAACGAAGAAGAGGTTGACAGTTTCGTCATATTGTCCAAGAGGCAGCTGGAGGACGAGGTGGATCCACAGCCTTCCACGGTTGCGCCGCTAGACCGCGAAGAAAAACGCATGATCCTAAAGCTGACCCCCAAACTCGACTCCGTGACCCTTGACGACCTGGTGACGCCCTCCCCGCAGCCGCCCGCTCCCAAGACGCGCGTCGCGCACTTGTCTAAGTTTCCGTTCCAGTGCGACAGCTCGTGCAGCCATCACGCCGACATGCAATGGCTCGGGAAGAACAACCGAAGAAAACTGCACACGAGACGCGCCCTCTGCTGGTGTTCGGACCTCTCGGACGACCGGAACGCAGAAGGGGCCAAGTAACGGAAACAACTTACGCTAGCTTCGTTACGAATTCCATGCTATCCGAGTACACGTTTCGATCGGCGAAGAGGCTCGGAGTATTCGCTCTGATCGTGAAGTAGTTCTCGATCGTCTGTCTCGTCTTCTCCTGGTCGTAGAAGCAGGAGTGCAGGAAAAGGTAGATGTACTCGTCTGATATGTGCGGGAGGTGGGGTTGAGTTTCCATCCTAAAATAAATAAAACAGTAACGTCATTTGATGCACGGTTTTGTCCTTTATTTATAATACTGAGAGATCGCCGCCATTGTGATGTTGCAACAAAATGGCTGCCAACTCAAAAAACAAGATGTCCGCTACTGCAGTATACCATAAGGTTTTTGGCACATTATGAGGCAAGAGGGGGGTGCTATGTCAAACTATCATATAAATTTCCTCATCAACAAGTTTATTAACAGACCAATAGATGTCAAGTTCCAATATAATCATAGATGTGATTCTGCGCATGCGCACGCTTGGATTTTGTTATGCACCTATTTTACTTTTATGAAAACTAAGCGTACTTGATTTTGTACTTTGTATTTTGTTTTTTAGGGACAAAGCACACTGTCAAAAATTATTCTGCGCAGGTCTACGCTTGAATTTGATCAGGTAGCTGGTATTTCCGTTAATAAGAAGCATGGCGCCTGGGTTTCTTCCATTTGCTCATGGTAAAATGTCAAAATTGCAATAAATTTGACTAACAAAAAGCACCTTCTGTGTATGCGTAATTTCGAGTTTTAACCTATTCACCTTTATGAGAAAAATGGACACCTGCTCTTTTGGTTTTTTAAAAATGGGATCATTGGAATGGATGGTACCTTGGGGTGAAAGGGATCGTTGTTCCCTGATCTTTGATTTTTTAATGGAACTCCCTTCATTTAATTTTTTAAATGGGATCATTGGGATGAGTGGGATCTTTGTCTCCCGCTTCTTTGGTTTTTTTTAAAAATAAGTTCATTGGGGAGATGGGTGGGATCTTTGCTCCGGCCTGCTCTCTTGTTTTTTTAATGGGATCAACAGTGATCCCTCTTTTGAGTTTTTAAAAAAATGGTATCATTGGGATGAGTGGAATCTTTGTTCCCTACTCTTTTTGTTTTTTAATGGGATCATTGTATCCTCTTGAATTTTTTTGTATGGGTGGGATGTTTGTCACCTGCATTTTTAAATAAGATCATTGTCCCCCGCCATTTTGTTTTTTTTTAATTGTGTCTTTGGTATGGGGGGGGGGGAGATCTTTGTCTCCTGCTCTTTTGTTTTTTAAAATGAAATTTGGGTTTTTTGAAATAGGATTATTGGAATGGACAAACATCGCACCCATCTCAATATCCCTTCTCTTTTGTTTTTTTTAAATGGGATGGATGGGAACTTTGTCCCGGCCTGCTCTTTTGTTTTTTAATGTTTTTTTTAATGGGATCATTGGGATGGGTTGAATGTTTGTTCCCTGCTCTTTTTGTTTTTTTAAATGGGATCATTGGGATGAGCGGGATCTGGTTTTTTAATGGGATCACTGTCGCCTCTTTTGCTTTTTTGAAATGGGACCATTGGGGTGAGTAGGATCGTTGTTCTCTGATCTTTGAGTTTTTAATGGAACCACTGCCCCCTTCATTTGATTTTTCCATTGACCCCTCTTTTGGGTTTTTTAAAAAAATGGATCTATCTATCAAAAGTTACAGCCCTTTGAATTTTCTTTCGAAATTGGTTTCTAATCTATAACTTTTGATTGAGAAGTCTGATCGAAAAAGTACGAATTGTTTTTTTCTTTCGAAATTGGTTTCTAATCTATAACTTTTGATTGAGAAGTCTGATCGAAAAAAGTACGAATTGTTTTGGATTCTACGCACCAAAATTAATAAGAAAAAGTATTTTCCCGAGAAATTTTGGTGCAGTCGATTTTTGGTAAAAAAAAGGAAGTTTAAGTATTCAAATACTATGCGAAGTATTCGAATACTTCTCAAAGTATTCAAATACTTTGCGAAGTATTCGAATACTAAATACTTGTGAAAGTATTTGAGTTACAAATCACCTGCTCTTCTGGTTTTTCAAATGGGATCAATGCCTCCTGCTTTTTTGTATTTTTGAATTGCCATCTGCCCTTTTTTAAAAATGGAACCTGCCCGTTTTTGTTATTTTTTAAGTGGAACCTGTCCCTCTCTTTAAATCGATCTTCCCTTTTTTATGGGACCTGCAATTCTTTGAATTTTTTTTATGGAACCTGCCCCTTTTTTATATGTGAAGTAGAAGAGGATAAATTTTACACTTCTGCGTTTCTGTGCTCCTGATGTAACTACTTATCCGTAAAAGACAAATTTGTATCAGGAGATACACAGTAGATGAGAAGGTGCATGATAAAATTTGACTCGTGATCCTGATGTAACTATTCTTAAGTGATCAGGAGATACGTAATCGATGAAAAGGTACATGTGAATAAATTTTCTTCATTCTTGCGTTTCTATGATCTTGATTCTGCGATTTTTAAAATAGAAGCTTGGACCAAGAGAACATAACAAATGATTAAGCGTCTGTCAATAATGGTACTCAGTCTTACTTTTTTGTGATCCTGGTTAACTCGTTGTACCATTTCCGTGATCCTAGTTCAGCTGTTTTTGAAACAGAAAATTGTAACAGGAGAGCAATACCTGCTTCACTTCCTTGTCTCTCTCTTGATACAACAAATTCTTAAATAAAAATGCGGTGATCCTAATACGACCATTTTCGTAGCAATTTGGGCCCAGTTAGCGTTAACACGTGGAAAGGCGTCTGGCAATAAATTTTACATCTCACTGCGTTTCTGTGACCCCTTTCAAAAAGAGGTTTGTAGGTATCAGGAGAACATATGAAAGGTACCTATCGATCAAACAGTGGCTTTTTACGTGTCTGTGACCCTAATAAAGCCATTACGAACCGATAAATTTGTGCCAGGAAATTATAACAAGTCTTCCATCCAGGAGAAATATACGTGCTCAGTTTTAGACGCTAATTTCACTTTTATGTGTAGGAGTGTAAGGTCAAGTAAGTTGATTCTAGCTTTAAGCTTTAATTTTGACGCTTCTTATTTTTAGGATGTATTTCCCCTTTTTGGAGAAATACGCGCTCCCGGATTTTGGCATGTATTCATCTTTATTGTATTAGTGTGTCCGTATCTTTAATTTTAAAAAATGGCTGCCTAACGTCAAAATTTTAAAGGTTAGGTTTTTGCTGCGCATGCGCACACTTTGATTTTGACGTCGACGTATATTTGTTCTGCGCATGTTTGCGCTTCAGTCATGCGCATTGGTTCATTTGTTTCTACAGGCAGTGCCACCATTTCAAAGAAATCGCCCTACAAGTACCTAATAAGGTTTATAATGCGCATTTGGTTTTTAAATGTTACGCGGAAATTGCGACAATTTTTCCGCTTATCTTGCCTGGTACGAACTCAAGGACGATTTTTTTACAAAAGTGACGTAGTCAATGATAATGGCTACCATAATATGAGACCACCCCCTAATTTAAAATAATCATTACTTTTGATTTTTTGAGGCGAAAAACCGCCCGGAAGCATTGGCATCGATCTCTAGGACAAAAAACAGCCCTTGGCACAGGGTCAACTTTGAAGTAGAGGGTATCTCAATTTCGCCAAAAGGCGCAGCCAAGAAAAGATTTTTTGTTTTCGATTTGCTGTTTTAATTCTATTCACTTTTACTTCCCTCGGACCTTTGCCTCGGGTCAAATACGCGAGAGAAAACATATGCAAGGTTTCCTCATTCTAGGTCAACTATGCAAGTCTTATCAGTTATAAATAACTTTCGCCCCAAATGATATTATCTAAACAGAAACAAAATTCTAGCCAAGGTCGCCTTTTCGTAAAAAGAAAATGGGCCGCAATTAAATCGCTTTCTTTTCGCGTAAAATCTGAATAAGTAAGTGAGTACGTACATACCACGACCTGATCTCCTTCAAATCCTTCGTCCTCCCTTCGGGAAGTTCCTTCAGCCCGTTCAGGAAGGGATGCCTCAGTTTCGGTACGATTTTTCGCTCCATTTCCGCCACGAAACGAGATCACTGCCTACTGCGAAAAACTGCCGACTTCAAGTCTCGAAGTGTACCACGCGATTTCCTTGGAATTGGGCAACGGAGCGAAGAAGAAGAAAGTGGCTTGGTGGGGCTGCTGGATGGTGAGGTACTAATGGGCCCTTTCTAATTTGCAATTTCGTAACATCTCATTAACGTTTTGCAATGCGGACGGGTAGAAAGTTGAAGATATAATCCGCAAAAGTGGAGCGAACTGGCGAGATGGTGACCTGGTTTTTCGTATCGGATGTGTTGGGGGAATCTTCCGATGGACTACGGATTTTTGATGATAATTCAATTCGGCTGTTACGCAACGACGTCTCGTAGGTGAAACCTTAACGATTTCTTTTCCGGAAAAGCAATCGACAATGGACTTTCAATATCGCTTCCATCTCTTTTTAGGTGAACGGGCATTTAAACTTAATTGGTACTTTGCACAAATGCATTTCTTGTCATAACGGTACTTTAACAAAGGTTGACGTTTTATGCACCAAAGAACCAATGGCATTTGTCCTTTTTTGCTGATGGTGCGATTATAGTTGTCACCTATACGTTGCATGCAAGAAGTTCGCTCTCTTTCTAGACTCAGGGAAAATTTCAAAAGCTCGTGAAAGTGTATGAGCAATCCTTGGAAGGGAGGTACTTTAATCTTTGCACCCCTTTCAGAGTCTTCTAGTACCCTTTGAGCATTTTACACTCTGTCGGAAACAGTCATAATTCTGGAAAAACATTTTGCAATTTTTCAAAGCGCTGTAGGGGTTTTCCTTGCCCGCCCGCCTTATAGGTTCTTTGCCGAACGTTCTATACCTTTTTTTAGAACCGCCAAAACTTTCAAGCTCATTACAAACCCCTATATCTCCAACTAGCTGGGGCGCCGACACATGGCAGCTTGACAGAGGGCGCTGGAAGGCTAGAGACGCCTTTCGAAAGACCTTACATAGCATTATATGCACAGCTTTCTCTCCTCCTTTAGCTCAGAAGATGGTACAGATGCTTTTTGAAAACTCGGACTCCTCAGGCACCTCTGAAAATCACTTGGAGACTGTGCCAAGTGCAAGAAAGCTTTGTACACGTTTTTTAGACTAATCTAAAGCTTCTCACAGCCGTGCTAGCCGAAGTGGTCGTTGTTTTTCAAATTGTTGTAGCTGACACGCGAGCGACTAGGGTTCGATTCCCGGTCGATGCAGTTTTTTTTTCAATTTTATATATTTAACATTGCGCCAGTATAATGCTGAAGATTGACGTGCGATATCACACAGGCCGGTAGGGGCTGGTATTATCGTATTGTATAATAAATAACTATTTCCAAGTCTTTAGAACCCCCAATGTGCACAATTTGTATCGATTGTCTCCCATTAGATCAGGTAATGTAATAACTTTCATATTTATTTATTTAAAAACAAAATTAACAACAATAAAAAAGCGTTTGGTGCATAAATCTCATCCATTGATCAAACCTAATTAGTCACATTAGCAAAAATAGATAGATTTAAAACAATTTTACAAATTAAATTATTACAGAGCAATTACAACACAATATTTTCGAACTCCTCATCTGCAAGTCCGAGACTAACAAACTTATCAACAAGTTCTTTGACATCGACACTCTTCGCGGCGTACAACAAATTACGGTCCGCCTTATCTCTCACGGCGAAATCGGCCCCCTGCTCTAGGAGCAGATTTACCATGGCGACGTTGGGGGCCAACACCGCGAGAGTTAACGGAGTACGGCCGTCGGCGTTGAGCGCGTTTAGCTCGCATCCATTAATTATCAGGTCGAGAACCAGAGAGTCGTCACCCAGCTTGACCGCTTGGTGAAGGTAGGAGTCGCGAAAGTTGCCCTCCTCGACCGAAGCGCCGCGTGACAGCAGCAACTTTGCCATAGCGCAATTGCCGTCGACTAAAGCGACGCGTAGCGGAGTTTCGCGCTGGTTATTTTCCCGGTCGATGTCGAGACCTTCATCCAGGAGATCGCCCACGATGTCCTCGTAACCTGCACGTACCGCGTGGTGCAAACAGGATTCTCCCGTGACGTAGCTGACCAAGCGAACACTTGCCCCTGCCGCGATTAAAAAATCGACCATAGCCCTGCACTTCTCTTTCAGGGCCGTAATCAGTAGGGGTTCGTTTCGTGATAATCGGACGTTTACGTCGATCCCTTGCGCGAGTATCGTTCGCACTATTTCAACGTCTTCAAGCGCGATGACTTGGTCCACCCAGGTTTCGTAATAAGAAGTGCAGGAGTGGATGTCGGCCCCATTTGCTAGCAACAATTTGACTGCGCCTGCGTGTTTTCCCTTGAAGGCCATCTGAAGCGGGCTGCCTTCGGAGTATGCTAGGTTAACGTCGTGCCCTTTCGAAATGAAATCGGCGAGCAGTTCTTCGAAGCCAAACTGGGCACAGTACACCAGACAGGAGCCGTTCTCATTGTCGACGACGCTACAATCGGCACCTTCACCGAGTAGTATTTTAGCGTGATCTAATTTCTCACCTTTTAATGCTTTAAGAAGGGGAGTCTCGCCGAGTACGTTGCTGCAGTTTACGTCGATGCCTTTCCCGAGGAACATTTGCAGAAGCTCTACATCAGAGTGATCGGTCGCGTAATGCAGGCAGGTGTTGTACTCGTTGTTTTTGACGCGCACATCTGCGCCTTTCTCCAGAAGGAGCTTGGCAGTCTCGAGCGCGCCGGTTTTAACGGCGAGAAGCAGCGGAGTGTTGCCCTGCTCATCCTCCTCGTCCACGCCAAGATCAAGTAACGCGTCGACGATGTCGACACCTTGCGTGATGGCGTAGTGCAAGTTCGAGCCTTGACGGTTTCGCACGCTAACGTCGGCGTTTTTCGCCAGCAACAATTTCGCGTGGTCTGTATTGCACCTCTCGAGGGCCTGGGTGAATGGGGTGTGACCGTCGTTTCCCTGGCAATTAACGTCGACTTCTCTCGCAAGAAAGTCGGCGACGAGTTCGCTGTCCGCCTCGATGGCTTTTAACAGGCAAGTCTCGCCGTAGCGGTTCGCCTGGTTAGGGTCCGCCCCGTGGGCGATCAGCAGCTTCGCGACACTTAGCGAACCGTTGTTGATGGCCATGTCTAAGCAATCGTCACCTTCGGCATTCCTCCGGAGCATATCGAGCCCGCTTTCCAAAAGAAGCCCGACCATTTCGTGGTCTCCAGCCCTGGCGGCATTGTGCAGACAAGTGTTGCCCATGAAGTCTTCGGTGTGTATATCGGCACCCCATGAAATCAACAACCGAGCCGAATGCGTGAATGACAATTTCAGTGCCAGCATTAGAGGCGTCAGTCCCGACAGGTTCTTCGCCTCCAGGTTGCCACCGTCCAGAAACAAGGTGAGCATTTCCTCGGTGTCGCAGGCGGCGAGATGTAGATACGTCTCCCCTTCATAATTAGCCAGGGTGACATCGGCGCCTCGCTCCAGGAGCAACTTTACCATGTCGACGTCGCCAGATTTCGCGGCGATCATTAAAAGACTTTCACCCGACGAGTTCAGGTCGTCAATGTTTCCGTTTCTGTCCAGCAGATGCCGTAATATATTGTGGTACCCGTTCTTTATGGCGTTCGAGAGCGTGCTCTCTCCGTAAGAGTTTTCGTGATTGTCAACACCGAAATCGATAAAGGCATCCAGCAGGTCTGAGTGGTTACTATCAACTGCTAAGAACGCGGCATAATTCACGCACTTTTGGCTTTTACTCGCGTCGATTTTCTCCAGGAAAGCTTTGAGGGTTCGCTTGCAGTGATTGCGGACGCACTGCTCCAGTGGCGTTTCGTCGTTGGCGCTCGGTACGGTCGGATCAGCCCCATGTGCTAGCAAAACCGCGATGGTAGAGAAGTTTTCGTTTTGGGTGGCAACGTGCAACGGGGTGCAGCCCTGGTGTGATTTGGCGTTGACGTCGACACCCTCCTCCAACATACTCCGAACCATATCGTCCCAGCCGAAACGGGCGAAGGCGTGGAAACAGGGTAGGGCTTCTCCGTAACTGACGACGTTACGATCCGCTCCCTTCGCGAGCAAAAGCTTGGCGGTGCTCAATTTTTCGTGATGAAACGCAAGCAGTAGGGGAGTTTCACCGTAGTCGTTCCGCTTATTGATCTCGAAACCCTTCTTCAGGAGATCGGACACGATTTGGTTGTCGCCGAATTCCGCCGCCCGGTGAAGGTAGTTAAGTTCACCGTCCTTGAGGTCGTGCGCGAGTATCGCCTTGAACAGCAATTTCACGACGTTAACCCTCGATTCGCATAGTGCAAGAAGTAGGGGGGTCTCGTTATCGTTGTTTCGGTGATGAATGTCCGCTCCGTTTTTTATGAGATCTTCGACCATTTCTTCCCATCCGTTTTTGGCCGCCAGGCAGAGGATTGACGAGAAGTTATTACTGTAGATATCTAAGGAGGCCCCGTTTGAGATCAGGGCCATTGTGGTAGCGTATTTGCCCCTATCGGCTGCAATGAAGAGTGCGCTTCTTTCGGAGATGGTTTTCTTGTCGACATCGAAGCCGTTATCTATGATAGTCGAGACGAAATCGTGCAAGTCGCCAGCTGCCGCGGCGTGCAAGGGGTATCCTTCCGATGCGTTCCCCAGGTGAACGTTACATCCACGGGAGAGTAGCAGTTTAACGGCCTCCCGTTTTTCGTTGGCGATCGCGGTTTTTAATGGGGAACCCATGTTTTCGTCGCAGTAATCCATCAGCACCCCTTTCTCTATTAATAGGGTGATGATATCACAGTACTGGTGACTGACGGCCCATGAAAGAGCGGAGTCTCCGTAATCGGTCATAACGTTGAGGTCGACGCCACGCTCGATCAGAGTTAGAGCGATCCGTCGATGACGGCTCGCCAACGAATGAATCAACGGCGTCATTCCTACATCTCCGAACTTGTCGGCGTCGAGACCCACGTTGAGTAGTCGCGCAGCAAGGTCTTCGGAGCCATACGCGCAAGCCACGTGAAGACACGATCCTTTCCCATTGTGCGGAGGTAGCTCGACTTTCGCGTTGCGTTCGAGAAGTAGTTGTGCGATGTTTGGATAAGGTCTGGCCATAGCCCGTAACAAAGCAGAATCACTAGCAGTGTTAACCGCATCAATATCACAGCCCCCTCGGAGAACTTCCCGAACAATTTGCATATCTCCAAGGTCGGCTGCGTAATGTAAAGCTGTGTAACCGTCACTGTTTCGCGCGGTGACATCCGCCCCTTTCGACAAAAGAAAATCAGAAATCGCCACATTGCGGTCGATGAGCGCGAGCAGAAGCGGTGTATTGCCACTCTCGTCTCGCATGTTGATATCACCACCTCCCTCGATAAGTTTCCTAACCGTGTACACTTCTCCTTTGGTAACGGCGGACACCAGCCCCACGTTAGTCTTTTCGGCTGTTTTCAATAACAGGTTCACAATGGCGGAATATCCCAGCGTCTGCGCTTTGCTCACGGGAGTTTCGCCACCACCATCGGTCGCGTCCGTCTTGGCCCCGTATTGGAGCAAAGCCATAACCATCTCGCTGCTCTCAGTAGCTACAGCGCTATGCAGGCAAGTATCATTGCCGTTATTGCGGCTATTAGCATCTGCTCCCTTCGCAAGCAAAAGCTTCGTAATCTCCAAGTGCTCGCGTTCAATAGCGAGGTGCAGCGCGGTCTCCCCGTCGTTATTTCGCGCACTGAGATCATCAGAGGCCTTCAACAGAGCGCGTACCACTCCAGGCGGGCCCTTATCTGTGGCGGAATGTAGCAGAGAGTTACCGGTTTCCAAGTCGATCGCGTCTATCTCGGCGCCTCGATTGAGAAGCAACTTCGTCGTGTTCGCCTCCAGGTACCAGTCGCGGATGTGCAGTGACAATGGAGTCTCGCCCGCTAGCGATTTTTTGTTGATGTCAGCTCCTCGGTTGAGCAGATCGACAATCTGGTCAGTTAATCCGTAATGAGCAGCGTGGTGAAGCGCAGTAAACCCCTCCCTACTTTCGGCGAGGATGTCGGCCCCATTCGCGATCAGTAGGTTCATTACTGCAGTACGACGCTCTTGCGACGCGATGATCAGTGGCGTATTACCATTACCATCCACCGCATTCACATCCAACCCCATCTTGAGGAAGTCTTCCATCAGTGTAGCATATGATGTGGCAACGTGTAGACACGTGGCACCGCTCCCATTGGTCACACTTGCATCGGCACCTCTCGCCAGCAAGAGCTTGACGATACCGACCGCATCAAGACGTAAGGCTGTAAACAATGGAGCATCGCCATCATTATCTCGATGGTCCATCTCGCACCCGTGCTCAACCAACGCGTTCACCGTACTCATCAGCTTCCACTCGATGGCGCGATGCAATCCGTTGCAGCCGTTACCATCGGGAATGTTCGGATCAGCGCCTCTCTTCAACAGCAGCAGTACGATATCGACACTCTTTCGCGTGAGAGCGAGACTCAGGGGAGTCTCGCCCTCGTTACTCCGCCGATTAACTTCGACTCCCCTATCCAAAATGGCGTCGACCAGACCAATGAGTCCTGTTTGGGCGGCGTAATGTAGACAGGTCATGCCCAGGCGATCGCAACCGTCAACGTGGGCGCCTTTCGAAAGCAGAAGCCTGGCGATGCGCACGTGGAGGGATTTAAGTGCGATCAGCAGAGGAGTTTGGCCTTCGCTGTTAACGCCGTTGAGGTTGACGCGATAGTAGATCAGTTCTAAGGCGGTCTTGTAATCGTCGACCTCTGCGGCGTAATGCAGACATGAATTGCCTGACTGGTTGATCGCGTGGACGTCGGCGTGGTACTCCAAGAGCTCGCGCACGATTCCGCCGCAGTCGTGCTTCAAGGCGAGCAGCAGAGGCGTGTCACCAGTCTTGTTCTGTAAGTCGACGTCCAGACAGTGATCGCGCGATATACTGGTCTGGGGCGAGAAGAAGAGCGAGTAGTATTTGTCGGGAAGGAACAGTTCGGCGCTCGGCTCACAGCTGTGCTTCAGCGCGTGGTGAAACGGAGTGTCGCCTGCGTCGTTTTGTATGCTGATGTCGGTGCCTCGTCGCATGAGTTTCGTGACCATTTGGGGATTACGCCTCGCGCACGCCAGGTGTAAAGCTGTGTTTCCGAAGGGGTCGATCACGTTGATCTTAGCCCTCGCCGCGAGAAGAACGTCGACGTTGTCCGCTCGGTAGTGATTTACTGCGGCATGAAGCGGCGTGTACGATCGACTGCCTAGGTTATAGATTTTAGCGCCCTCTTTCAACAGGTCGAGTATGTTTCGTTTGGATCCGAAGGCGGCGGCCAGGTGCAGATTGGTGAAATACCGCGAGTTCTCTCTCTTCAACTCCAGCTTCTCCATGAGATGGCTCAAGGATGTAACTTCTAAACCCTGGATGTAGGTCTCAACAGTCTGCTGGGTCAGCTCGTCCAGTTGCAGTTGAGCTGAGAACGCATAAGCTTCCATGTTATTTCTCAGTTGACTAGTAGCGACTTTGTGCCAAATCAGGTATTTAAGCAAGGATTTGTACAGATGCGCGTAGTGATCAATTTGAACGCAGTACGCGATGTAACTTTCCACCTGCGTAGGGACCATGTGAATCCGTCCGACCAATTGCGGGGACTTTTCGCATATGGCGTTGGCAACGGCCAGGCACCCACTGCTTAGGGCGTAATCCAAAGCGGAATATCCCAACAGCGTATCATCCGCCTCGATTACACTCCGATCGGCTAACGTAACGATAGTGACCAGATGGTCGTTGAGATCGATGCCGCGCACGATGTTCGTTCTGGGATGACATACACCGTACAGTGCGGCCATGTGCACCGCATTTCGTCCCCCTAAATCAGTTGCGGCAGAATCGTAGGTTTCGGCCGGATTGTATTTCAGTTTGCTTCGGATGAGCATAGTGTGCAGAGGAAGATCTCTAGCTAACATAAGATCGAAAATTGTAAAGGTGCCCCGATAGCGATCCAAATCGGAAAATCGCCTCTTATTTAAAGCCCTGACCAAAATGCGCCTGCTCGATAAGTTCTGGTACATCCACTTCGCAGACAAAAACTGGGCCATAATCGCATGAGGCAATTCGCACTCGACAATCCCTTCCTTCGCAAATTCGGCCAGTGCATCCTCCTTCAAGTAGTACAATAAATCGCTTGGGTCGAAGACAGCGCGTAGGGCCAATATCGGAAGACGATGCGAGAAAAATTTGTTGTCACAAAGATCGTATTTGTCTGTTAAGTAATTGACGTACGCTGTGGTGAAGGTTTCCAAAAAGTTGATCAACTGAAAGTTATCTTCGAGCCTCAACCCACCAGTCAAAACAAAGTGCTTGAAGTCGTCCATGTAAATGTTGGCGATGAGGGTTAGATACAAGGGAGAATCGAGAAAGGCATCGATCTCCCTCCGAAGCATACGCAACAGCGTCTCAACGAACGTGTTCACTTCAGCCTTCTGCGACCCTGCAAACATGCCGAAGTATCTTACGAAAAAATCGCGTGAATTTCTTATGTTAAATGAATTCAGCGGTATCGCAATCGTAGCGAGCTGCTTCTCCAATTTCCCAGCATTTTTACCACTTGCTATTATCCAAAGGCCCACGTTCTTCTGCTGCAAAGACGTAAGCAACTCGAGCGCTTTGTCTGAATGATTCAAAATCGCCTGATCGTAATTATCAAAGAGCACCTCTACGTTCTTCGCGTCGGCGAATTTCCCAAACAAAAGCTGCGCCAATTCGGAGCTGTCCTGTGTGCAAAACCGGTACAAATCCACCAGGTCAATTTTGCGATAGTCTTCGGACAGGTACCTGTTTAAATCCACGCCAAGAACCCATCGATCTGTCATGGAAAGTGCCAAATGATCCAAAACCGTCGACTTACCCATCGACGCCTCCATGGCAAGCAGTCGCACCGTGCACTCGCGGTCCCTAGCCAACTGCGCAACATTACCCTCCAATCTCAACTCTTGCGAAATATCAAATTTTTTAATACCGTCAGTACACCCCCAAGAACTTCTCCACTCGAGCCAGTTCTCACCACACGACACCAGAAGGTGAACGGGGCGACCAGTCTCTCTCGCTCCTGTTAACGCATCCACCGGGCTCTCTTTTACAATGACCAAATTCGACAAACCCTCCACAGTGCCCAGTGAGACATTGACACCGTCCACCTCGTCTTTCACGACGAAGGTCTCCTCCACCAAACTGGCGACGGCATCGAGCCGAATAATAACTTTGGTACAAGATCTCTCGATGAAATACTCCGGAGGTTTCTTGTAGCAATAATCGACGATTAAATTGTTGGTAATCACCCGAATGGCATCGCTGGCCTTCAATGAAGTCAGCTCTTCCATGAACTCCCCGAGCCGAAACGTCGACTTCCCTTGCAAGTTGGCCTCGCATTTCAGTAACCCACTGGACTGCTCCTCGTTCAAGCACAACACGCTCTCGTGGCCGGAAACGGTCAGCACCGTCACTTTCACACCGGCCGAAAACGCCTTGAGAATGTTGACAACATTCAGGTGGTCCTTCGAGCTGGGCGTCGACAATAAGAGCGCCACCTCCCCCGACACCCACAGGTTGCGATAGGCGATCTCGGACGAATCTCCAAACTTAGCGATGACTCCCGCGGTGTGCGACTTCAAAAACGTCTCACTAGCAAACTCGGACTCGACCGCAATCAAAGGCGAATCGCGAGTGATATCCGCCCAAAGCTCGCTGTAACTGATCCGCGTGTCGTAGGACAAATCCACCTTATACCTAGCGATGAATAATTCTAGTAAAGCTAACTTAATATCACTCCGCGTAAAGCCTCGGGTGAGTTTTAAGTACGAATGAAATCGATTTAGTATCAACTGGGAGAAGAAACGGCTTATGCCGCGCTGACTAGTGAACTCTTGCAGAGCTTCGGTAATACTTGGGTTGAGGTCGGAAGGAATCCGATCGACATAAAAATGTTCGGTCGCGAGCTCGCGTATGTTCGTCAGGTTGAGAAACCCGAATTTGTCGACCGCGCGATCCTTAACATTAAGCTGATCTACCGGGCAGTTAGTAAATATAAAATACTTAGCACTCGCACCGACGGCTCGTGCCAAGTCCAAGTCGTCGTGCTGCAAAGGCTTGGGTTCCGAAACAAGATGGAAGTGAATTACGACAGTTTCCTCAGAGGTCTCCAGTATGAGGTCGTCGCCGTTCGTGCTAAAGTCGTAGGCGCCATGCGTAAGGCATCGAAGGAGTACAAGTTGAAGGGCCTTGGTCTTGTCCATGGCCTATAAAAAACAATTATAAGTTTACCATGAGTCTTTATCGCTTTCCAGAGAGTTGAGTTTAATTGTAGCCTATAACGTTTGCATCATAAAGCAGACGTTGTATTATTAGGTACCTGTATTTGACAGTAACTATAGTATTGATTTAAAGGTATAATTCAGGTAACGTATCGATTTTGATACTGTTGGGAGTATTTCATAAATTTGCGTTTTATGTGGGCACAACGTTCCAAATTTTTCTTGTCATAAATCAACCCCCATTAAGTGTTTGGATAGGTATATCACTACTACCTACATCACAGAGCTATCCAAAGTAGACCAGCCTATAAATCTCTGAAAAGGACCTCGAAAGGGGTGATGAAAAAGACCCACGCAACCAGATACAAACTCTGGAAAGATCATCTAAGGCTCCAAACACATTTCATTGCTCTGAAAAACATTTGAATGCTGAGGGAAGTACCCACAGGACTCTCGAGAGCATTTTGTTTTCCACGCCCGTCTGACAGCAGTTTTTACAAACCCATTACATTACTTCTTACACCCCCTCCCCAATATGCAAATCTAAAATGCTCCTTCTAGAATGCTCTCGAAAACGTCGCCTAAAACGTTTTGGAATCTTTCGGATACGACTAAAAAGCACCTACAAAACATTTTGAAAGCTCACCACCGTTCTTTTAGTGTTCTAGAAATAATAATGAAGATAATAATAAGTGACATTTATTAAATTAATGTGCGAGATACAAAAAAAAACTATCCTAGAAAATAAACATTGAAGTAAGTAGATAATAAGCTAAATAATTGCCCATAAAATAACAAAAAATTAATGTTACGTAATCTAAAACTAAAAAGTAGAATTAGTGAAATGAAATAAATCATACATATTGAGGGAAGAGCAAGAGAAATAAAACACATGGTCCAAATAAAATTTTGCTCAAAAGGTAATTATGCAAAAATGCCATTAAAAATACGTTTAAATCTTCCCCAGACCTTGTAAATCCTTTTGAGAGTGTAAAGGTTTTTGTGTAATGCCCAGAAAAGATTGTTGTGAAATCTCATTCAATTAAAATAGCGTGACAAGGATGGCTTTCCATTAGACTTCTATCGTGCCAGTTTCTCAAGCGCTTTCCAAACACTTCGGAACTCTCTTCTAACTCCTTTTACAAGCATCCTTTTCATAGTTATTTCCAAAAAGACATAGAAGCTTTGGTAGCGGACATAAAGCTCTAGGCAACACTTTAGAAGAAGAACCAATGATACAAGGTCAAATTTGACAAGGGATGCTACGCCCCTTTTGCCACTCCTGTGATGTGCAGTGGAATAAACAAATTAGGGTAAAAGGTAAATTTACCTGTGATGGCTCTTGCTGAACTGTTTCCATCGCTTCCATTTATGATACCAACAAACTATGTGTTTACCTATCGAAATAAGTCTATCATAAGTTCGACATAGCAAATCGTACTTACCGAAATGTTCATTGTGTACCCACAACACATTAAAAGCTAAAAGGGGGCTCCTACTGCCTTTCTGTTTGAATTTATACCCGAAATACTTTCCTCTATGCACTTTTTTTTTAATGATTTTGAAGTATTGACACTATTCTAACCTCAAATTTGTCTAGATGTCACAATTATAGATGTCAGCTGGTGACAGTTATGGACGCATTCCGGTGACTTTTCTGAGATTTTGCACTTTCTTCATACCCTGTAGATTCTTAAATTTGCTCCAAAATGTAACAATTCTTCATTTAGAGTAATTGGGTTCGTACTATATATTTCCTATGCCTCAGATCGTTCCCGTCATTTGAAATCAGGTCATTCAGTCAAGATTTTGGAAATATGAAGCTCATATAAACGTTTCCTAGGATTTTGTACGTGTTTTTCAGGGCATTTAAATGCATTTATAAGGTGCTTTTTAGATACTCCTTGTGCACTTTCTGGAGATTCCGAGAACCTTCTTCAGGGCCATTCCAGAGCTAGTTGGGACGGTATATAGCGATACTAGAAACGTTTTTTAATCGTCTGGAGATGGATTTTGTTTTAGGAAGTATTTGATTACTTTAAAAGGTTTTTTCTAGAGCCTTTTCTCTCTTTTGGAAGCATTTGAGTGCTCTCACCTAATGCTCTAAGAAACGTTTAATAAGCTTCACATGAATTTTTCTAGCTATTCCCAGGACCCTTTAAGCTTCTTCTCTCCCTCGACGATTGTAAGCTCTGGTAGGGCCAAAAAAAAGCTTGACAAGTGGCTTAAAATTAACAATTAGTGAAAAAGGAGAAATGAATGTTTTTGTGTAAAGGGCATTAAGAAACTACCAAATCTAACAAGCCCTAATAATTAAAATAATATTGCAAGAGAACATAGAGATACGTCAGGGAAATCTAAAGAAATTGGAAAATCAAAATTATGTTGTCGTTGAGTAAGCACACACCCTGTATGGGTGAACGGAATGCGTCCATTGTTACTATAGAATAGAAAGGGACAGCTGATATGTACACCAATTTGAGGTTTGAAAACTGTCAATTGTTCAGTTCAACAGTGCCAAATGATTAAAAGAAATCGGGATGGATGAAAGTATTTGGGTATAAATTCAGAAAAAAAACAGAACCACAATAGGGGCCCCCTTTTAGAGTTTAATTTGTAGTGAGTCAGTACACATTGAGCATTTCGGTAAGTACAATTTGCTATATCGAACTTTTGATAGGCTTTATTTCGATAGGAAAACGCATAATTAAATGGAAGCGATGGAAACAGTTCAGCAAGGGCGACCACAGGTAAAGTTACCTTTTTTCCTAATTTGTTTGTTTACTCAGCGGCACATCCAAGGCACGGCATAGGGGGATTTAGCATCCCCTGTGACTAAAGGAGCGTTTGGAAAGTGCTTGAGAAACTGTCAAATGATAGAAGGCTATTGGAAAGCCATTCTTGTCATACTCCTTTAAACGAACGAGGTTTCACAGCTATCTTTTCTGGGTATTTTGCGGAAACTTTCTACGCACTTTTAGCTCTCGAAAGGACCTACAAAGCTCCGGAAAAGTCCCAGTCTTTCTCTCTCATCAATATACCGTTTATTTCACTCTACTAATTCTTTTATTTTTTAGTTTTGGGTGGGGTTAAATGGTAGAGCAGTTCTGGGATGTCCCAACCACAGAACTAAACTTCGCCCCATTAGATTATGTAGCATTAATTTTTTGTTATTTTATTTGCAATTATTTAGCTTATCTACTTCAATGTTTATTTTTCAGGATAGTCGTTTTGTATTTCATGTATTCTAATAAATGTCACTTATTATTATTTTCATTATTATTATTATTATTTCTAGAAGACACTAAAAGGACTGTGGGGAGCTTTCAAAGTGTTCTGTAGATGCTTTTCAGTCCTATCACAAAGATTTCAGGCGGCTTTCTCTAAGAGTATTCCAGAAGGAGCATTTTAGACTTGCATGTTCTGGAAGGGGCACAGAAGTGATTCAAAGGGGTAAACGTTTTTGAAAAACGTTAGAAAGGCGTGAAAAGCACAGTGTGACACGGCCATAGCCAGCGTTTACCTTGAGGGGTACATACTATTTTTTAGTTTTACAACAGGAAGTGCTAATGGCAGCCAGAAGGGCAACTGGAACTTCAACAATCGCCTATTATTTTGTCCACAACTGAATTTAATCATGCAATCAATTACTGGGTAATAACTTCTTAACGCGAGCTGCCAAATGATCTCAAATTTTCACGCCCTTCTCTTAATAAAAATTTTGTTGCTCATACTTTATTAAATAAATACCAGTTCTAAAAGAACAATCCAATCGTTTCCAAAATTTCAGCTTTCAGGACCATTAGAGGGAACATTGGTACAAAATTTCAGCCAAATCGCCCTACTCCTTCATTCAATAAATAACGATTTTATTGCCATTTTCGAATCGCTTCCACAAGCGTTTCAGGTCTCGCGACCATTAAAGGGAACGTCTGTTTCAAATTTCAACTACGTCGGTAGGGCGGTTTTGGCTAAACCTTTTTTTGTAATTGTAACTGGGTTTGTTACAAGCGAATTTGCATCTGTGATGATGGCTAAATAGCTTCAGGTGTCTATCGATACCAGATATGGGTTCTTTGGCAGACGTAATGATGTCTAGGGCATCCTTTAGCTTACCACACTTAATATTTTCTTCACAGCAACCAATGATGCTTTACCACCAACGTTTTCATATCGCTAAAAAAAGTATTTCCCTTCCTTGGTCATTCAGAGTAGGTATAAGGCAAAATGATGAGAATGCACAACATGAAATTGAGATACGGACGAAAAACGCGACCATTTCTTCAACGGCTGTTGCCATTACTCAATGCGAAGGCAGTCACCAACCCGGGCCATAGCCCTTGGTTCTCTTTTCATTTGTCGCAATAATTTCTAAGATTGCATGGATATTCTCCATAAAATCGCCAGGAAGGGCAGAAAATCTTCCAGGCTACGGTCCTGCTGGGAACGCTGCTGGTTCCTTTAACTTAGGAGCTAGCTTAGATCTTGTCTTTTTCCATCGCCCTTAACTAAAAAGCTTTTCGAGATCCGTTCCAGAGATTTATTGGTCAGTGTATTTCGGATAAGCCTTTAGAAAGCGATAGACAAATTAAACGTCTATTTCTTTTTTATAGGTCATGGACAAGACCAAGGCCCTTCAACTTGTACTCCTTCGATGTCTTACAAATGACGCCGTCGATTTTCACACGGACGGCGACGACCTCATACTGGAAATCTCTGAGGAGACTGTCGTAATTCACTTTCATCTCGTTCCGGAACCCAAACCTCTGCAGCACGACTACTTGAGCTTTGCGCGACCCGTCGGCGCGAGTGCTAAGTATTTTATCTTTACTAACTGCCCGGTAGATCAGCTTAATTTTAAGGAGCGCGCGAACGACAAATTCGGTTTTCTCAACCTGACGAATTTACGCGAGCTCGCGACCGAGCAGTTATACGTCGATCGGATTCCTTTCGACTTCAACCCGAGTATTACCGAAGCTCTGCAAGAGTTCACTAGTCAACGCGGTATAAGTCGTTTCTTCTCCCAGTTGATACTAAATCGATTTCATTCGTACTTAAAACTGGCCCGAAGCTTTACGCGGAGTGATATTAAATTAGCTTTACTAGAATTATTCGTCGCTGGGTATAAGGTGGATTTGTTCTACGACACGCGGATCAGTTACAGCGAGCTTTGGGCGGATATCACTCGCGATTCGCCTTTGATTGCGGTCGAGTCCGAGTATGCTAGCGAGACGTTTTTGAAGTCGCACACCGCGGGAGTCATCGCTAGGTTTGGAGATTCGTCCGAGATCGCCTATCGCAACCTGTGGGTGTCGGGGGAGGTGGCGCTCTTATTATCGGCGCCCAGCTCGAAGGACTATCTGAATGTTGTCAACATTCTGAAGGCGTTTTCGGCCGGTGTGAAAGTGACGGTGTTGACCGTTTCCGGCCACGAGACCTTGTTGTGCTTGAACGAGGAGCAGTCGAGCCGGTTACTGCAATGCGAGGCCAATTTGCAAGGGAAGTCGACGTTTCGGCTCGGGGAGTTCGTGAACGAGCTGGCATCGTTGAAGGCCAGCGATGCCATTCGGGTGATCACCAACAATTTAATCGTCGATTATTGCTACAAGAAGCCGCCGGAGTATTTCATCGAGAGATCCTATGCCAAGGTGATTATCAGGCTCGATGCCGTCGCCAGTTTGGTGGAGGAGACCTTCATCGTGGAAGACCAGGTGAACGGTGTCAATGTCTCACTGGGCACTGTGGACGGTTTGTCGAATTTGGTAATTGTAAAAGAGAGACCGGTGGATGCGTTAATAGGAGCGAGAGAGACTGGTCGCCCCGTTCACCTTCTGGTGTCGTGTGGTGAGAACTGGCTCGAGTGGAGGAGTTCTTGGGGGTCTACTGATGGTATTAAAAAATTTGATATATCGCAAGAGTTGAGGTTGGAAGGAGATGTTGCGGAGTTGATACGGGACCGCGAATGCAAGGTACGACTGTTGACCATGAAGGCCTCGATGGGTAAGACGGCGATTTTGGATCATTTGGCACTTTCCATTACAAATCGATGGGTTCTTGTGGTAGATTTAAACAGGTACCTCTCCGAAGACTGTCGCAAAGTTGACCTGGTGGATTTGTACCGGTTTTGCACGCAGGACAGCTCCGAATTGGCGCAGCTTTTGTTTGAGAAATTCGCCGACGCGAAGAACGTAGAGGTGCTCTTAGACAATTACGATCAGGCGGCTTTGAATCATTCAGACAAAGCGCTCGAGTTGCTTACGTCTTTGCAACAGAAGAACGTGGGCTTTTGGATAATAGCGAGTGGTAAAAATGCTGGGAGATTGGAGAAGCAGCTCGCTACGATTGCGATACCGCTGAATGCATTTAACGTACGAAATTCACGCGATTTTCTCGTAAGATACTTCGACCAGCTTGCGGGGTCGCAGAAGGCCGATGTGAACACGTTCGTTGAGACGCTGTTGCGTATGCTTCAGAGGGAGATCGACGCCTTTCTCGATTCTCCCTTGTACCTAACCCTCATCGCCAACATTTACATGGACGACTTCAAGCACTTTGTTTTGACTGGTGGGTTGAGGCTCGAAGATAACTTTCAGTTGATCAACTTTTTGGAAACCTTCGTCGCAGCGTACGTCAACTACTTGACAGACAAATACGATCTTTGTGACAACAAATTTTTCTCGCATCGTCTTCCGTTATTGGCCCTACGCTCTGTCTTCGACCCAAGCGATTTATTGTACTACTTGAAGGAGGATGCACTGGCTGAATTTGCTAAGGAAGGGATTGTCGAGTGCGAATTGCCTCATGCGATTATGGCCCAGTTTTTGTCTGCGAAGTGGATGTACGAGAATTTATCGAGCAGGCGCATTTTGGTCAGGGCTTTAAATAGAAGGCGCTTTTCCGATTTGGATCGCTATCGAGCAACCTTCACCATGTTCGATCTTCTGTTAGCTAAAGATCTTCCGTTGCACACTACGCTCATCCGAAGCAAACTGAAATACGTCCCGGCCGAAAACAGCGATTTTAGTGCAACTGATTTAGGGGGACGAAATGCGGTGCACATGGCCGCACTGTACGGTGTGTGCCATCCCAGAACGAACATCGTGCGCGGCGTCGATCTCAACGACCAACTGGTCACTATCGTTACGATATCCGATCCGAGTGTAATCGAGGCGGATGATACGCTGTTGGGGTATTCCGCTTTGGATTACGCCCTAAGCAGTGGGTGCCTGGCCGTTGCCAACGCCATATGCGAAAAGTCCCCGCAATTGGTCGGACGGATTCACATGGTCCCTACGCAGGTCGAAAGTTACATCGCGTACTGCGTTCAAATTGAACACTACGCGCACCTGTACAAATCCTTGCTTAAGTACTTGATTTGGCACAAAGTTGCGACCAGTCAACTGAGAGAAAACATGGAAGCTTATTCGTTCTCATCTGAACTGCAACTGGACGAGCTGACCCAGCAGACTGTCGAGACCTACATCCAGGGTTTAGAAGTTAGGTTAATGAACCATCTCATGGAGAAGCTGAAGTTGAAAAAAGAGAACTCGCAGTATTTCACCAACCTGCACCTGGCCGCCGCCTACGGATCCAAACAAAACATACTCGACCTGTTGAAAGAGGGCGCTAAGATCAACAACCTTGGCAGTCGATCGAACACGCCGCTTCATGCCGCAGTAAATCACAACCGAGCGGACAACGTCGGCGCTCTTCTTGGGGCCAGGGCAAAGATTAATGTGATCGACCCCTTCGGAAACACAGCTTTACACCTGGCGTGCACGAGGCGTAATCCCCAAATGGTCACGAAACTCGTGCGACGAGGCACCGACATCAGCATACAAAACGACGCAGGCGACACTCCGTTTCACCACGCGCTGAAGCACAGCTGCGAGCCGAGCGCCGAACTGTTTCTTCCCGACAAATACTACTCACTCTTCTTCTCGTCCCAGACCAGCATATCGCGCGATCACTGTCTGGACGTTGACTTACAAAACAAGAATGGCGACACGCCTCTGCTGCTCGCCTTGAAGCACGACTGCGGCGGAATCGTGCGCGAGCTCTTGGAGTACCACGCCGACGTCAACGCGATCAACCAGTCCGGCAATTCGTGTCTGCATTACGCCGCAGAGGTCGATGACTACAAGACCGCCTTAGAACTGATCTACTATCGCGTCAACCTCAACGGCGTTAACAGCGAAGGCCAAACTCCTCTGCTGATCGCGCTCAAGTCTCTCCACGTGCGCATCGCCAGGCTTCTGCTTTCGAAAGGCGCCCACGTTGACGGTTGCGACAGCTTGGGAATGACTTGTCTGCATTACGCTGCCAAAACCGGCCTCATGGATCTGGTCGAGGTCATTTTGGATAGGGGAGTCGAAATTAATCGACGAAGTAACGAGGGTGAGACTCCGTTGAGTCTCGCGCTGTCGCGAAAGAGTGTCGATATCGTGCTGCTATTGTTGAGGAGGGGCGCTGATCCGAACATTCCCGATGGTAACGGCTGCAACGGATTGCATCGCGCCATCGAGTCGAAGCTAACGAGCGTGGTTACGGCGTTGCTGGAGCACGGGTGCGACATGGACCACCGAGATTATGAGGGCGAAGCCCCGTTGTTTACGGCGTTGCGTCTTGATGCAGTCAGTATCGTCAAGCTGTTGCTGGCGAGAGGTGCCGATGCAAGTGCGACCAATGCGAGCGGTTCCACGTGTTTACACGTTGCCACGTCATATTTTACACTGATGGAAGAGTTCCTCAAAATGGGATTGGATGTGAATGCGGCGGATATTAATGGCAATACGCCGCTGATCATCGCGTCTGAAGAGCGTCGCGCTACATTAATGAACCTATTGATCGCGAATGGGGCGGACCCCCTCGCCGAAAACAACGAGGGGTATACAGCGCTTCACCACGCCGCGCAATTCGGTTTAACTGACTCGATTGTCGATTTGCTGAACCGGGGGGCTGACATCAACAAAATAACCCGCGCGGGTGAGACTCCATTGTTATTGCACATTCGCGACTGGCAACTGGAGACTATCACGACGAGATTGCTACTGTCGCGGGGCGCCGACGTGAACGTAGCCGACTTGGAAACCGGTGACTCTCTGCTACATTCCGCTACGGATAAGTGCCAGACTGGAGTGGTACACGTACTGTTGAATTATTCGGTGGACCTCCAAGCGCGAAATAACGACGGGGACACCGCGCTGCATCTCGCCATTAGACGCGAGCATTTCGAGGTTACAAAGCTTTTGCTTGTGAAAGGAGCGGATGCTAATGGCCGGAATAACGGCGGGGATACTTGCCTGCATAGCGCTGTATCTACTGAGAGCTGCGAGATGGTTATGGCTTTGCTCCAACATGGAGCCACGACTGAGGCGATCGATGGTGGTGGGGAAACTCCCGTTAGCAAAGCGCAAAGGCTGGGATATTCCGCTATTGTGAACCTGTTACTGAAAAAAGGTGAAAAGAGGAACGTAAGCCTTCTGTCGGCTGTTACCAATGATGAAATGTACACGGTTAGGAAACTTATCGAGGAAGGTGTTGATATCAACATGCGAGACGAGAAAGGCAATTCACCGCTTCTGGTCGCGCTCAACTCCCGCTATCTGACCATTGCTGATTTTCTTCTGTCGAAAGGGGCTGATGTTTCCGCGTGTAACAACGACGGGTATACTGCTTTACATTACGCAGCCGAACTTGGAGATATACAAATTGTCCGGGAAGTTCTCAGAAGAGGCTGTGATATCGATGCCGTTAACAGTAATGGTGATTCGGCTCTGTTGCGGGCTATGTTCGGGTGTTATTATTTTCATATCGCGCATCTACTTCTCGAACGCAACGCGAAGGTCGAGTTACCTCCTCACCATTGGAAAGGATCGTATCTTCACATAGCTTGCGAGAATGGCTCCGAAGACCTTGTTGCGCGGCTACTCAACGCAGGTGCCGACGTTGACAAGTTCGGTCATATCGGAATGACGCCATTGATGCAAGCGATCACGAGTCGTCACCGGCGTATCGCTCTAAATCTGATCGAACGCGGCGTCGATCTGAACGTGATTAGCGAGTTCTCAGACACCGCTCTTTCGTTGGCCGTCATTCGCCAACATTGTGACGTCATCGACCTACTAATAGAGAAAGGAGTGCCGATAGATTACTGGGACGACAGCAACGGTTCCTTATTGAGAACCGCGATCGCCAACGAAAAACGGGGGGCCGTTAAACTGCTACTCTCCCGCGGGTGTAACGTTCACCTGGGAAACGCATCGGCAGGGTATCCATTGCACGCCGCGGCAGCTGTCGACTACACCGATTTTGTCTCGACTATCTTAGATAACGGCTTCGATGTCGACAAGAAAACCGCCGAAGGAAACGCACTCTTCATTGCAGCCGATAAAGACAACTACTCTACCGCAATCACTTTGATTTCAAACGGCGCTTCCTTAGATACCTACAGTAACAACTTCTCATCAATGCTCTGCCTCGCAGCCAAAAACGGATGGGAAGAAATGGTCGAAGATCTCATAAAAAACGGCGCAGACATTCATCACAAAAACCAAGATAACGAGACGCCTCTTCATTTCGCGCTACGCGAACCAAGGGTTAACGTCGTGAAATTGCTGTTCAAGGCGATACTCGCGCACGACCCCAAGGACGGCGAACTGAACTACCTTCACCTGGCGGCGGAATTCGGCGACAACCAAATCGTGTCCGAACTCCTGAAGAAGGGTTTCGAGATCAATAAGCGGAACGACTACGGTGAAACTCCCCTACTGCTTGCGTTTCATTACGGCAAATGGAGCACCGCCAAGCTTTTGCTCGCGAATGGAGCGGATCGTAACGTCGTCAGTTACGGAGTATCCCTACCCTGTTTTCACGCCTTCGTCTGTTTCGGCTGGGACGATATGGTACTGAGTATGTTGGAGGAGGGCTTCGACGTCAACGCCAAATCACACCAGGGTTTAACCCCCTTGCACGTTGCCACCCAAAACAAAAACCTTTCCACCATCGCGCTGTTACTATCACATGGAGCTGATCCGACCGCCTGCGACGAAACTCCACTGGGCCACTGCATCGGAAATCACTGCAAGCGAACCCTCAAAGCCTTCCTGGAGAAAATCGACGCGAGTAAAAGCCAAAAGTGCGTGAATTACGCCGCGTTTGTAGCTGTCGATTATAACTACTCGGACCTGCTGGAGGTCCTCATCGACTTTGGTGTTGACAACTACGAAACCCCTTACGCAGACAGCACGCTTTCGAACGCCGTAAAGGAGGGCTATCACAGTCTCGTGCGGCATTTGCTGGACAGAAATGGAAACGTTAACGATCTGAACTCGTCAGGCGAAAGTCTCGTAATGGTCGCCGCGAAATCTGACGACGTTGCCATGGTGAAGTTGCTCCTGGAGCGAGGCGCCGATGTCACTGTGTCCAATTATGAAGGGAACACGTGTCTTCATTTCGCCGCCTGCGGAAACGAAGAAATGTTGACGCTATTCCTGGACGGTGGCGACCTGGAGGCGAAGAACCTATCAGGATTGACGCCTTTAATGTTCGCACTGAAGTTGTCGTGCACGGATTTGGCTCGGCTGTTGATTTCATCGGGTGCCGATATACACACCGAAGACTTCATGGGCAACACTTGCTTGCACAATGCCGCCTGGGCTGGAGACGATGAAATGGTCGAGTTTCTTTTGGAAAACGGACTCGATATGCACCGAAGGAATGCGGAAGGTGACGATTGCTTAGACATGGCCATCAACAACGGCTCTCTAAGCGCTGCGAAAGTGTTGATCGCCCACGGGGCGGACCCTAACCAGGCGAACCGCTACGGCGAGACTTGCCTGCTAAAAGCCATCGAGACGGACAGCGAAATCGTCGCCGAATTTCTCGCGAGAGATGTCGACGTTAACTGCCAGGGAAACGACGGTCACACCCCTTTCACCCAGGCGCTAGCATTTGGCAATACAGACCACGCGAAACTGTTACTGGCGAAAAACGCCGACGTTAGCATACGAAACCGTCATGGCTCTAACTTGCACTACGCCATTTCGCTAGGTGTCGATGTCGTCGACGCGTTACTTGATCTCGGCGTGAACGAGCAGGATGACCAGGGATACACCCCGCTGCTTCTCGCCGTTCAAAACGGCGCGCTCGAGACTGCCAAACTCCTCCTGGAGAAAGGCGCAGATGTACGCATCAAAGACAACCGGGACAATACCTGCCTGCATTTCGCGACCGATCACTCCGATGTAGAGCTTCTGCAAATGTTCCTCGGGAAAGGCATCGACATAAACTGCAGCAACGGACTCTGCGAGACCCCTCTGCTCAGGGCGCTGAAAGGAGATCAATTAGAACACGCCAAAATACTACTCGCTGAAGGTGCCGATTGTAGCGTCGTCGACGGTGAGAACGGCTCCTGTCTGGTGTACTGCGCCCAGTTCGGCTTCGACGAACTGCTCGCCGATTTCATCTCGAAAGGGCAAGATGTTAACCAAGCACACTCCGACGGCACTCCGCTTCAGATGGCCTTCAAGGGAAACCACGCAGGTGCCGTAAAATTGCTGCTGGCAAATGGCGCGGACATCCATTCCTGCATTTCCCCTGACGAAACCTGGATAGACCATGTCATCGCACTTGAAGACGTTGAAATAGCGCGAATGATACTCGCACAAGGAATCGACATAAACACCCGATTATCACGAGCCGATCCCTTACTCGTTACAGCCCTGAAAAAGAAGTGTAGGGCGATGGTCGATTTTCTAATCGCAACAGGGGCAAGTGCTCGCTCGGTCAGCTACGCCACGGGAGATTCCTGTTTGCACTACGCGGCACGTGCAGGTTACGAGGACATCGTGGGCGATCTCCTGGATCAAGGTCTCGACATCGACCGCGAAAATAACCAGCGCGAGACGCCGCTACGCGTCGCTTTAGTCGATGGCAATTGCGCTGTGGCAAAGTTGCTGCTGTCACACGGCGCCTCGGTCGACCATGGCAACTTTCGAGACTCCTACCTCCACCACGCGGCCAAGCTGGATGACGACTCTCTGGTTCTCGACCTGATAACTAAGGGATGCGAGTTAAACGCGCGCAACGCCGACGGCCATGCGCCGCTATCTGTCGCGGTGTTGGCCAACAACGTCGCCATGGTAAATCTACTTCTTGGGCAGGGAGCCGATTTCGCCGTGAGAGATAAGGCGGATCGTAATTTATTGTACGCCGCGAAGAGTGTCGATGCCAAAGAACTTGTAGATAAGTTTGTTAGTCTCGGACTTGCAGATGAGGAGTTGTAATGATATTGTATTGTAATTGCTCTGTGATAATTATTTTAAAGCTGTCTATTTTTAGTCAGGAATCTGGGTATCAAAAAGACGCTTCTAAAATAGTGCCACCTGCACTCGAAGATATACATTTTGAAAAATGCGGATCTTGTGCAGAATTAGATTCTGAATCACGAGGGCGCGATGGTCACAAGGATTGCAAATAGCCAGAAAAAAATAATTTGTACAAAATTTCGCACTTTAGAAATTTTATGATTACTTCGCATTTCTGAAGTTATTTATGAATATTTTTGAAGAATTTGTGTACCATTCGAAAGTTCATTATATTTGCCGTCTCACAGAACAAAAAGAAAGTTAATGTTGCCTTTAACAACCACTCTGGAAACTGTTAAAGCTGTATATGCGCGAGAAGTGTAATAAAAACTTCAGTCGGGAGGTATTTTTGTTATTATTGGAGATACATATACGAGACAAAATATGTACAATGAAACAAGGTAGTTTTTTTACTAAAACATTTTTTCAATCAGACAAACCGTTTAAGAAATATAATAGGTTAAACATTTATTGCTTTAATAAAGTGCCTAATTGGTTTTAATCGCATACCAAAGGACATTCCAGCCGTTTGAGATATGATTCACTATAAATGCTTTGTTATTGTTGTGCAAAGTTCTCTAATTGTGCTTCCAAATAAATAAATATGACACAAATGGTGGCGACATACCCCTACGTTTGAAAGAATGGCAGTATGATAAACATACGAGAGGCTCTGTATATACAGAAATCGTTCTGCGCAGATGGCGGGAACACGGATTTCGCAAAGACGCTTGGCAAGAAACGAGTTAGCGTGGATTACGGGATTCCGATAGCATCCGTAGGTGCCCGATTTCACAATGTTTGTTAAACAGTGCTCAATTGATTCTTTTTCGTACTAACCGTTAATAGAAAAGTACATTATCTGTATGTTTGAGTATCTAAAAGAGTTCCGATTCTTCGCTGTGTATGTTACTCCCTCATCTCGTGCCAGCTGCCTAGCGGTGCGTAACCAATACGAGAAAGGGAGCCTCAAATTATCGTTTCTTGTCTTTTGTATAACTATAGTGTCTGCTCTGGGATGTGAGATGATCGTCTTTCACATGAATACTTTCCGCTGGAATTTCCATCATATGTATGTTTCTTGTTAACTGATGAATGGTGGCGCGGATGCTGGTCTAGTCTAGAGCCATGCTGTTGTGAACATGTTTTGTAATGTACATACATGCAATTTATCATATTACGGGTTGTTGCGAGTAGATCTTACAACACCAGGTCTAAGGCTTTTTGGAAAACAAACTCTAGTGCCTACCTGTGTTCTCATATGGACATGAAAAGGAATTGCTTTATCAAGATTATAAAATTCATACCCTGGACCCCCAATTTTCAAATACAGAGATGATCAAATGCGACTACGCAAATTTTCAAAGGCTGAAAGGGAATAGAGCTTTCCGAAAAATTCACTCACAACCTTATTCCAGAATTTTCAAGAGCCGTGTGAATCAAAGGAAGAGTTACATAGAAAACTAATGATCTCTGAATACCCCTCGAGATCTTTTTTGAGGTTTCAAGAGTTTCGTGAACCCTTCTATAGTTATGAGAGCCTATGTTGGGCACAGAAAATTCTAACGATTGGATAACTTTCACCTGCAAGACTCTGGAAAGGGTTTGCAGTGCCTTCTACCACTTTCCTGACTTTCTGAAGTGCTTTGCGTGGGCTTTCGATAAAATCCTCTGTATAGGTAGACGAGTCTAGGAAGTTTTGGGTGGAGAGCTTTCAATTGCCTTGGAAAAACATTTGAATGCTTTAAAAACCATATATTAAACTCGGAGCTTTTAACATAAGTCTTTTCCAAAGTTTTATTTTGTAATGATCTTAGCCTCCTACTATCTTGGCGGGCTAACGCCAACTTCAAGAATATTTGACCTAACCAGGCGAACCGCTACGGCAAGACTTGCCTGCTAAGCCATCGAGGCGGACAGCGAACTCGTCGCCGACATTCTCGCGACAGAAGTCGATGTTAATTGCCAGGGAAACGACGGTCACACCCCATTCACCCAGGCCCTCGAGAGGTGCAATACAGACAACGCGAAACCGTCAAGGCTCGAACTTCCACTACGCCATAACGCAAGGTGTCGAGATCGTCGACGCGTTACTTTATCTCGGCGTGAACCAGCAGGATGAGCAGGGCAACACTCCGCTGCTTTTCGCCGTTAAATCCGGCGCGCTCGAGACTGCCAAGCTCCTCTTGGAGAAAGGCGCAGATGTACGCGTCAAAAACAACCTGCCTGCATTACCCGCCTGGAATACTCTCCAGAGTGTGTTCATACACGCAATTCTGGGTTGTTGTAGGATCCCTTAAATATTCCCCGTAGACTTTCTACAATTTTTTCAGAGCTCTCGAAGACCTTTTTGTTCGTTCCAAAGTTGTGCGAACATAGAAAGCGCCTTGTAAATGGGAGAGGTGTAGGTAGTTGAAGCCATATATGATTGGAAATGCCTATGATGAAAGGGTTTAGGAGCACTGAAAGGCATTCGCAGTAGTCACAAAATCTGAAAAGTGCCTATGGACTTTTTGATTGCCTTTGATAGAATTTAGAAGAACTTCTAGGGCAAGGTTTCTAAGGTGTTTTGTGGATACTCGCTTTGTGCAATTTCTGGAGAGCTTTCTTGAACCCTTCCAGGGCTATGTCACCCAAGAAAATGGCGTAGATAAATACTAGAAAATGATGAAACGTTCAGGAAACGGCTGACGATGGAGATGGTTTTAGGAAACTCACTTTCAAAACTTTCTATATATCTCTGAAGCTTTTGATTGGTCTAAAATACACGTAGAAAACTATTAGTTGGCTACAGACTTGACCCCTCGAGGCTTGTAAAGTTCTGGAGCAGGAGAATCTATCTAGAAAGTTCAAAGGACGGGAACGATCTGAGGCATCGGAATATATTCCAAGCGACAAACAAAATAGTACGAACCCAATGACTGAATAAAGCGAATTGATAGATTTTGGTCCAAATTGAAGAATCCTTAGTTTCTGAAACCGAAGAAATAAAAAAAGTCCTGAGAATTCAAATAATCTTGCAGAATGACAAATTGGAGACGCTCGGCTAAAGAATCGGAAAAATGGAAGAACCAAAAAATCAATACTACGTCATGACGGGTGTTTAGACACCACTCCCTGAACGGGTTAACGGAATGCGTCCATTAATGGGGCCAGTTGATTGGGGCATCTTTAAAATTATTAAAAGAAATTGCAATAGATGAGTATTTCGGGTATAAATTGAAATAAAAAACAGAGGCCTTTTTTAGTGTGTCGCGAGTAAACAATGAACATTTCGGTAAGTACGATTTGCTATGTCAAACTTGTGATAGGCTTTATTTCGATAGGTGAACACATAATTACTTGGTATCGTAAATGGAAGCGATGGAAGCAGTTCAGCAAGGGCGAGCACAGGTAAACTTACTGTTTTTCATGATTCGTTTGTTTATTCAGTGGCATGCACCAAGGAGGTGCAAAGGCAAGGGGTTGAGCACCTCTTGTGAAACTTGAGCTTACGTAATTTACAAATTTCAGCCGTATAGGACTCCGCTCTAGCGGGTTTTGATAGGTCGCTCTAAAATGCTAGAAGGTGCATAAGGTGTCTTTGGGAAGCACTTGAAAACGACTAAAGGTTCTGATAAGGCTAAATCGTTTTCAGGGTTTGATTTTACTCCTTTTCCGATACCTTAAAGGCCCTGCAAACATCCTCGAAAGCTCCAGTGTCGTAGGAAAGATCAGCATGCGTTTCAGAGAGAACTTTGCACTTTGGAAAAGTCATATTAATTCTCTAATAAAAGACTAGAAAGCGATAAAAACGCATTTTCCAGACTTCTACATGTAAGTCTTTTCCAGGATCGAAACAAATATTTCCAGGGAGCTTTAGTCGCTTTTTTCCAGAGCAGTCAATCGCCTTCCTGGAGCTGCGCATGCAGATTCCAGGCTTTTACAAGCTTTCTGCTTTAATCTACACCCCTCTTCATGTTTAATAATAGTAAAAAAACCTAATGTAACAGAAAAAAGTGGTAGTTTTTTTTTTACTATTCAAGTTCCAAAGAAATCTAACATTTCAACACCCTTGAAGGAAATGGTACTAATCTGAACATAAAATAAAAGGTTCGATACCAATTGGTTGACGAATAAATCGATGAAAAATTGCTTTAATTTTGAAATTCTCACGTGATGACTAAAGATTACACAATCCGTCGGTAAGCACAGTTACCATTAAAAGGTGTTATCTGCAATCAAATGGACTCTTGCAGAGAATTACTGTCGTGTTCAGTTTGCTTTATATTTAGAACTTTACTAGCTTTGTGCTGGACGATCTCTAAACCGAATTATCTGGCGACGCACGCAATTTCTGGGTAAGTAATGTTCACTAGTGCCTCATTGATATGCATGAAAGTGATTAATACAAAAACATTCACCCTGAGGTAAATTACAGGTGAGATTTTTCGCAACTTCCCACCACATTATTTTTAGTCTTTCTGTCGCCGCCAACTTTCACACGCAGTCAGCTGGACAGGATCGTACTGGCAAATCATTAGCCCAAATAAAAACTCGAAATAATTTAAGAAATTGAAATTAAATAAAACCTACATTTGGGAAGCCCTATAAAGGCGTATAATGAACACTTGTAGACTTCTGGAAAGCGATTTCCATGTGCGTATTTCAGAACATTAAGGTTTTGTAGACCAGTCGAAAGCTATCTGGGATACTTTTGAGTGATTTATTTGTAGTGCAGTCGAAACCTTACCAATGCTGTTTGTCACTTGTTCATAACTGTTTAATGTATTTTGAGAAAGTGTTTTTTAGAAAATTCCCTTGATAATTATATTGAGGTCTCAGGAATGTATGGGAAGCACTTCGAAGCTATGGAAAGCGATAGAAGCATTTGGAAAATCTTACAAATGTGTCTTGTGTTTCTCAGAGCATTCATCCCGGTTTTATGTATTTTTCTACAGTTGCTAGGTCCGATCAAGAGCGCCATGTCCGTTTTCCAAGGGCTTTTCAAAGCATTCGAAGGTTTGCTATAATAGAATAACATTGGTTTTCTAGATCGTAGGTGCTTTTCATAGCTTTATAAACCGATTCATTTTTGAGAACTCTCTGGACTCTTTTCTTTCTTCTTTATAGGCCATTGACAAGACCAAAGCCCTTCAACTAGTGCTCCTTCGATGTCTTCTGCACGACGCTTACGAGTTTCGCACGAACGGCGACTACCTCGTACTAGACACCTCCGATGAGACCGTCGCAATTTACTTCCATCTTGTTCCAGAACCCAAACCTCTTCAGCACGGCGACTTTAGCGAGGAAGGCGAATTGAACTTCGCTCGAGCGGTCAGTGCGAGCACTAAGTATTTTATCTTTACTAACTGCCCGGTAGATCAGCTTAATTTTAAGGGTCGCGCGGACGACAAATTCGGTTTTCTCAACCTGACGAATTTACGCGAGCTCGCAACCGAACACTTGTATCTCGATCGGATTCCTTCCGATCTCGGCCCGAGTATTACCGAAGCTCTACGAGAGTTTACTAGTCAGCGCGGCATAAGCCGTTTCTTCTCCCAGTTGATACTAAATCGATTTCGTTCGTATTTAAAACTCGCACGAAGCTTTACACGGAATGATATTAAATTAGCTTTACTAGAATTATTCGTCGCTAGGTATAAGGTGGATTTGTTCTACGACACGCGGGTCAGTTACAGCGAGCTTTGGGCGGATATCACTCGCGATTCGCCTTTGATTGCGGTCGAGTCCGAGTTTGCTAGTGAGACGTTTTTGAAGTCGCACACCGCGGGAGTCATCGCTAAGTTTGGAGATTCGTCCGAGATCGCCTATCGCAACCTGTGGGTGTCGGGGGAGGTGGCGCTCTTATTGTCGGCGCCCAGCTCGAAGGACCACCTGAATGTTGTCAACATTCTCAAGGCGTTTTCGGCCGGCGTGAAAGTGACGGTGTTGACAGTTTCTGGCCACGACACCGTGTTGCGCTTGAACGAGGAGCAGTCGAGTCGGTTACTGAAATGCGACGCCAGCTTGCAAGGGAAGTCGACGTTTCGGCTCGGGGAGTTCGTGGACGAGTTGGTATCGTTGAAGGCCAGCGATGCCATTCGGGTGATTACCAACAATTTAATCGTCGATTATTGCTGCAAGAAACCGCCGGAGAATTTCATCGAGAGATCCTATGTCAAGGTGATTATTAGGCTCGATGCCGTCGCCAGTTTGGTGGAGGAGACCTTCGTCGTGAAAGACGAGGTGGACGGTGTCAATGTCTCACTGGGCGCTGTGGAGGGTTTGTCGAATTTGGTCATTGTAAAAGAGAGCCCGGTGGATGCGTTAATAGAAGCGAGAGAGACTGGTCGCCCCGTTCACCTCTTGGTGTCGAACGGTGAGAACTGGCTCGAGTGGAAGAGTTCGTGGGGGTGTTCCGACGGTATTAAAAAATTTGATATTTCGCAAGAGTTGAGGCTGGAGGGTGATGTTGCGCAGTTGGCTAGGGACCGCGAGTGCACGGTGCGACTGCTTGCCATGGAGGCGTCGATGGGTAAGTCGACGGTTTTGGATCATTTAGCACTTTCCATGACAGATCGTTGGGTTCTTCGCGTGGATTTAAACAGATACCTATCTGAAGATTCTCGCAAAATTGACCTGGTGGATTTGTACAGGTTTTGCACGCAGAACAGCTCCGAATTGGCGCAGCTTTTGTTTGGGAAATTCGCCGACGCGAAGAACGCAGAGGTGCTCTTTGACAATTACGATCAGGCGGCTTTGAATCATTCGGACAAAGCGTTCGAGTTGCTTACGTCTTTGCAACAGAAGAACGTGGGCTTTTGGATAATAGCGAGTGGTAAAAATGCTGGGAGATTGGAGAAGCAGCTCGCTACGATTGCGATACCGCTGAATTCATTTAACGTACGAAATTCGCGCGATTTTCTCGCCAGGTACTTCGGTCAGTTTGCGGGGTCGCAGAAGGCCGATGTGAACACGTTCGTTGAGACGCTGTTGCGTATGCTTTGGAGGGAGATCCATGGCTTTCTCGATTCCCCCTTGTACCTAACTCTCATCGCCAACATTTACATGGAGGACTTCAAGCACTTTGTTTTGACTGGTGGGTTGAGGCTCGAAGATAACTTTCAGTTGATCAACTTTTTGGAAACCTTCACCACAGCGTACGTCAACTACTTGACAGACAAATACGATTTTTGTGATAACAAATTTTTCTCGCATCGTCTTCCGATGTTAGCTCTACACACTATCTTCGAGCCGAGCGATTTGGAAGCCTTGAAGGAGGACGTGCTGGCTGAATTTGCGGAGGAAGGAATTGTCGAGTGCAAATTACCTCATGCGATTATGGCCCAGTTTTTATCTGCGAGGTGGATGTACGAGAATTTATCGAGCAGGCGCATTTTGGTCAGGGCTTTAAATAAGAGGCGCTTTTCCGATTTGAATATCTATCAAGGCACCTTTACCATGTTTGATCATCTGTTAGCTAAAGATCTTCCGTTGCACACTACGCTCATCCGAAGCAAACTGAAATACGTCTCGACCGAAAACAGCGATTTTAGTGCAACTGATTTAGGGGGACGAAATGCTGTGCACATGGCCGCACTGTACGGTGTGTGCCATCCCAGAACGAACATCTTGCGCGGCATCGATCTCAACGACCATCTGGTCACTATCGTTACGTTAGCCGATCGGAGTGTAATCGAGGCGGATGATACGCTGTTGGGATATTCCGCTTTGGATTACGCCCTAAGCAGTGGGTGCCTGGCCGTTGCCAACGCCATATGCGAAAAGTCCCCGCAATTGGTCGGACGGATTCACATGGTCCCTACGCAGGTCGAAAGTTACATCGCGTACTGCGTTCAAATTGAACACTACGCGCACCTGTACAAATCCTTGCTTAAGTACTTGATTTGGCACAAAGTCGCGACCAGTCAATTGAGAGAAAACATGGAAGCTTACACGTTCTCCACCCAACTGGAACTCGATGAGCTGACCCAGCAGACTGTGGAGACCTACATCAGGAATTTAGAAGTTACATCCTTGAGCCAACTCATAGAGAAGCTGGAGTTGAAGCAAGAGAACTCGCGATATTTCACTAACTTGCACCTTGCCGCCGCCTTCGGATCGAAACAAAACATACTCGACCTGTTGAAAGAGGGCGCTAAAATCAATAACCTTGGCAGTCGATCGTTCACGCCGCTTCATGCTGCAGTAAATAACAATCGAGCGGACAACGTCGACGCTCTTCTCGCGGCCAGGGCTAAGATTAACGTGATCGACCCCTTCGGAAACACAGCTTTACACCTGGCGTGCGCGAGGCGTAATCCCGGGATGGTCACGAAACTCATGCGACGAGGCACCGACATCAGCATACAAAACGACGCAGGCGACACTCCGTTTCACCACGCGCTGAAGCACAGCTGTGAGCCGAGCGCGGAATTGTTCCTTCCCGACAAATACTACTCGCTCTTCTTCTCGCCCCAGACCAGCATATCACGCGATGGCTGTCTCGACGTTAACCTACAAAACAACAATGGCGACACGCCTCTGCTGCTCGCCCTGAAGCACGACTGCGGCGGAATCGTGCGCGACCTCTTGGAGTACCACGCCGACGTCCACGCGATCAACCAGTCAGGCAATTCATGTCTGCATTACGCCGCAGAGGTCGACGATTACAAGACCGCCTTAGAACTGATCTACTATCGCGTCAACCTCAACGGCGTTAACAGCGAAGGCCAAACTCCTCTGCTGATCGCGCTCAAGTCTCTCCACGTGCGCATCGCCAGGCTTCTACTTTCGAAAGGCGCCCACGTTGACGGTTGCGACAGCCTGGGCATGACCTGTCTGCATTACGCCGCCAAAACCGGCCTCATGGATCTGGTCGAGGTCATTTTGGATAAGGGAGCCGAAATTAATCGGCGGAGTAACGAGGGTGAGACTCCGTTGAGTCTCGCGCTGACGCGAAAGAGTGTCGATATCGTACTACTGCTGTTGAGGAGGGGCGCTGATCCGAACATTTCCGATGGTAACGGCTGCAACGGATTGCATCGCGCCATCGAATGGAAGCTGACGAGCGCGGTCAAGGCGTTGGTGGAGCATGGGTGCGACATGAACCACAAGGATAATGATGGCGATGCTCCATTGTTTACGGCCTTACGTCTTGATGCGGTCGGTATCGTCAAGCTCTTGCTGGCGAGAGGTGCCGATGCAAGTGCCACCAATGCGAGCGGTTCCACGTGTCTACACGTTGCCACATCATTTGTTACACTAATGGAAGACTTCCTCAAAATGGGGTTGGATGTGAATGCGGTGGATAGTAATGGCAATACGCCACTGATCATCGCGTCACAAGAGCGTCGTACTGCAGTAATGAACCTACTGATCGCGAATGGGGCCGACATCCTCGCCGAAAGCAGGGAGGGGTACACCGTGCTTCACCACGCTGCGCGTTTCGGTTTGACTGACTTGATTGTCGATTTGCTGAACCGGGGAGCTGAGATCAATAAAAAAACCGTCACGGGTGAGACGCCATTGTCGTTTCACATCCGCGACTGGCAGCTGGAAGCGATCACGACGAGGTTGCTACTCAATCGAGGCGCTGATATAAACGTGATCGACTTGGGAACCGGTAACTCTCTCCTACATTCCGCCACAGAAAAGAGCAATACTGGAGTGGTAGCCGCCCTGTTTAAGGCTGCGGTTGATCTCGAGGCGCGAAACAACGAAGGAGAGACCGCGCTGCATCTCGCCATTAAACGCGAGCGCTTCGAGATTACAAAGCTTTTGCTTGCGAAGGGAGCGAATGTTAATGGGCGTGATAACGGCGGTGATACTTGCCTGCATAGCGCTGTAGCTGCTGAGAGCAGCGAGATGGTGATGGCGTTGCTCCAAGCCGGGGCTAAGACAGACGCGATCGATGGCAGTGGGGAAACTCCTGTTAGCAAAGCGCATAGGTTGGGATATTCCGGCATTGTAAACCTGTTACTGAAAAAAGCCGAAATGACGAACGTGGAGCTGCTGTCGGCTGTTACGAAAGGAGAACCGTACACGGTTAGGAAACTCATCGAGGAAGGTGTTGATATCAACATGCGAGACGAGAGTGGCAATACACCGCTTCTGCTCGCGCTTCACAACTGCAATCTAGCGATTTCTGACTTTCTTCTGTCGAAAGGGGCTGATGTTACCGTGTCTAACAATGACGGTGACACTCCTTTACATTACGCAACCGACATTGGAGATATACAAATTGTCCGGAAAGTCCTCGGAGGGGGATGTGATATTGATGCCGTTAACAGTGATAATGATTCGGCTCTTATGCGCGCTATAGACGGGTATCATTTCCACATCGCACGTCTACTGCTCGAGCGCAACGCGAAAGTAGAGCTACCTGCGCACAATCGGAAAGGATCGTGTCTTCACGTGGCTTGCGAGTATAGCTCTGAAGACCTTACTGCGCAGCTAATCAACGCAGGTCTTGACCCCGACCAGTTCGGTAATTGTGGAATGACGCCGCTAATTCAAGCGCTCACGAGGCGGCACAGGCGGATCGCTCTAAGTCTTATTGAACGCGGCGTCGACCTCAACGTTATGAGCGATTACGGAGACTCTGCTCTTTCATTAGCCGTCATTTATCAGTACTGTGACGTCATCGCCCTACTAATAGAGAAAGGGGCGCTGCTGGATTACTGGGACGATAACGCCGGTTCCCCATTAAAAACCGCGATCTCCAACGAAAAACGGGAGGCCGCTAAACTGCTACTCTCCCGTGGATGTAACGTTCACCTGGGGAACGCATCGGAAGGATACCCCTTGCACGCCGCGGCAGCTGGCGACTTGCACGATTTCATCTCGATTATCTTAGATAACGGTTTCGATGTCGACAAGAAAGGAAGCGAAGAAACCGCACTCTTGATAGCAACCGATAGAGGCAACTACGCTTCCACAACGACCTTGATATCAAACGGCGCCTCCGTAGATGTCTACAGTTACAACTTCACCTCAATTCTCTGCTTCGCAGCCAAGAACGGATGGGAAGAAATGGTCGAAGATCTCATAAAAAACGGCGCAGACATTCATCACAAAAACCAAGATAACGAGACGCCTCTTCATTTCGCGCTACGCGAACCAAGGGTTAACGTCGTGAAATTGCTGTTCAAGGCGATACTCGCGCACGACCCCAAGGACGGCAACCTGAACTACCTTCATCTGGCGGCGGAATTTGGCGACAACCAAATCGTGTCCGAACTCCTGAAGAAGGGTTTCGAGATCAATAAGCAGAACGACTACGGCGAAACTCCGCTACTGCTCGCGTTGCATTACGAAAAACTGAGTACCGCCAAGCTTTTGCTCGCGAATGGAGCGGATCGTAACGTCGTCGGTTACGGAGACGCCCTCCCCTGTTTCCAATCCTTCGTCCGTTTCGGCTGGGACGATATGGTGCTGAGTATGCTGGAGGAGGGCTTCGACGTCAACACCAAATCGTACCAGGGTTTCACCCCCTTGCACGTTGCCATCCAAAACGGAAACGTCTCCACCATCACGCTTTTGCTGGCACATGGTGCTGACCCGACCGTGCCGAGCGCATGCAACGCCACGCCACTGGAGCAGTGCATCCGCTACCGCTGCAGCAAGCGAACCCTCAAAGCCTTCCTGGAGAAAATCGACCCGAGTAAAAGCCAAAAGTGCGTGAATTATGCCGCGTTTTTAGCAGTCGATTATAACTACTCGGACCTGCTGGAGGTTCTCATCGATTTCGGCGTTGGCAACTACGAAAACAATTACGGACACAGCACCCTTTCTAACGCCGTAAAAAATCGTTACTACAGTGTGGTGCGGCATGTGCTGGACAGAAATGGAGACGTTGACGACCAGAACTCGTCAGGCGTAAGTCTCTTAATGATCGCCGTGAAATCTGGCGACGTTGACATGGCAAAGTTGCTACTGGAGCGGGGCGCCGATGTCACCGTAGCCAATTATGAAGGGGATACGTGTTTACATCTCGCCGCCTGCGACACCGAAGAAATGCTCACGTTGTTCCTGGACCGGGGCAACTTGGAAGCGAGAAACCTGTCAGGTTTGACGCCTCTAATGTTCGCACTGAAGTCGTTCAGGCATTCGGCTCGGCTGTTGATTTCATCAGGTGCCGATATACTCACCGAAGACTTCATGGGCAACACTTGCCTGCACAATGCCGCCTGGGCTGGGGACGAGGAAATGGTGACGTTTTTTTTGGAGAGCGGACTCGATATGCACCAAAGGAATGCCGAAGGTGACGATTGCTTAGACATGGCTATCAACAACGGGTCTCTAAGCGTCGCGAAACTGCTGATCACTTACGGAGCGGATCCCAACCAGGCGAACCGCTACGGCGAGACTTGTCTGTTAAAAGCCATCGAGGCGGAGAGCGAACTGGTCGCCGACTTTCTCGCGAGAGATGTCGATGTTAACTGTCAGAGAAACGACGGTCACACTCCATTTACCCAGGCGCTCGAAAGGTACAATACAGACCACGCGAAACTGTTGCTGGCGAAAAACGCCGACGTTAGCGTGCGAAACCGTCAAGGTACGAACTTGCACTACGCCATCACGCAAGGTATCGACATCGTCGACGCGTTACTTGATCTCGGCGTGGACGAGCAAGACGACAAGGGCAACACTCCGCTGCTTCTCGCCGTTAAATCCGGCGAGCTCGAGACTGCCAAGCTCCTCCTGGAGAAAGGCGCAGATGTGCGCGTCAAAAACAACGAGTACAACACCTGCCTGCATTACGCGACCTATCACTCTGATGTAGAGCTTCTGCAAATGTTCCTTGGGAAAGGCATCGACATAAACTGCAGCAACCTACTCGGCGAGACCCCCCTACTCAAAGCACTGAAGGATGGCAAATTAGACCACGCCAAAATACTGCTCGGTGAAGGTGCCGATTGTAACGTCGTCGACAATGAGAACGGCTCCTGTTTGGTGTACTGTGCCCAGTACGGCTTCGACGAACTGCTCGCCGACTTAATCTCGAAAGGGCATGACGTTAACCGAGCATACTCCGAAGGCACTCCGCTTCAGATGGCCTTCTATGGAAGACAGGCAGGCGCAGTCAAATTGCTGCTCGCAAATGGTGCGGACATCCACTCCTGCACTTCCTATTACGCATCCTGGGTAGACCATGTCATCGCACTTGAAGACCTTGAAATACTACATACTATACTCGCACAAGGAATCGATGTAAACACCCGAATATCACGAAGCGAACCCCTACTCAATACAGCTCTGAAAGAGGAGTGCAGGGCTATGGTCGATTTTTTAATAGCAACAGGGGCAAGTACTCGTTTTGTCAACTATGCCACGGGAGACTCCTGTTTGCACCACGCAGTACTTGCAGGATACGAGGATATCGTGGGCAATCTCTTGGATGAAGGTCTCGACATCGACCGCGAAAATAACCAGCGCGAAACGCCGCTACGCGTCGCTTTAGTCGATAATAAATGCGCTATGGCAAAGTTGCTGCTTTCACGCGGCGCTTCGGTTGACGAGGGTAACTTTCGCGACTCCTACCTCCACCATGCGGTCAAGCTGGGTGACGACTCTCTGGTTCTCGACCTGATAACTAAGGGATGCGAGCTAAACGCGCGCAACTGTGACGGCCATACGCCGCTATCTCTCGCGGTGTTGGCAAACAACGTCGCCATGGTGAATCTACTTCTTGAGCAGGGGGCCGATTTCGCCGTGAGAGATAAGGGGGGTCGTAATTTGTTGTATACAGCGAAAAGTGTCGATGCCAATGAACTTGCCGATCGGTTTGTTAATCTTGGACTTGCATATGAGAAGTTCTAAGATATTGTAATTGCTCTGTGATAATTTGTACCTACATTTATTTTAAAGCTGTCTATTATTGTTAAAGTGCCTAATCACTGTTAATCGTATAGCAATGGATATTCCAACCATTCGCGTTTTAAGAGATTTATTTACTAAATCCTTTTTTATTGTTGTGCCAAGTTTTGCAATTGTTTTTAATTGTGTTTCTAAATAAATATATAACAAATATCGATTAGAATGAAATAAATCAGAAAGGATCCCACAATAGACTCAGAATTCAAGTAGTTGTACAATCTAGGAGAATTCTAAAAATGTCAAGTAAAGAATTGAAGAATACAGTAGGATTTCATGGATCTGAGAAGCCGAAAAATATGCAAAAGAGGGAAAAATTGAAGATAGAAAGGAAGTATCTAACACATTCGATGAAATTGGAGCATTGGAAAAAAGCTAAAGGATCTGTTTCGAAGAAACGCAAGCATAGAACAATCCAAAAATGAGCATCCGAAGAACCAAAAGAATAGCAAAATGTCAAAAGTCTGACGAACAAGAAACAGGCAAAAAGTAACTAATGTCTACGCCCATGGACTGTTATAGTTCAAGTGCACTATAGTAGTTCATTCGTGTCATCTAGAACTTAACCTAAATTTGCACAAACAAAGATGTCTATATCATGACGTTTAATTGGAAGAATTTTATATAAAAGCATACCTAAAATGGCCCTAGTCCCGCTAACAGTCAAGGAAGATGATATCAAGCCGCTGATCACCACGGAATACACCTCGGAAGATGTGAAAATAGAACCGCTTAAAACGGAGGAAGTGGACTTGATGGAGGTCGAAATACGAGTCGAACTAGTATGCCAAGGATGCTGGTATCGTACCTTCGACAAGAAGGAGTTTATGGCGCACATACCGCTGTGTGATCGGAAACGTTTCGTGTGCAATGTTTGCGGTTTTAGGACGGCTTATAGATACCTTCTGACCAGACACATGGCGCAACATTTGGGCGAAAGGAACTTTAAATGTGACCAGTGTGATTATACCGGGTTCACAGCCGCGATCGTAAGAAGACACGCGGCGAAGCACTCGAAGGACGAATTCTTCTGTGACAATTGCCCGTATGCGACGAAATTGAAAGGCTCTTTGCGTATACACATGTTGAAGCACATAGGTGGAAAAACTCGCAAGTGCACGGTGTGCAATTATAGTACGAATATCAAGCGAAACATGCAAATGCACATGCTTCAACACACAAGACCAAAGGTCCACTGTAACCAGTGCGATTATAAGGGATACTCCGATTCTTTGAAGTTACACGTTCTTCGTGTGCACGATCGTATCAAACCGTTCGCGTGTGACAAGTGCCCGTTTAGGGCTTTCGAGCGGAAAAGTCTACGGCTTCATCAGTCGACCCACTCGAACAATTATCTCTACTGCTTGAAGTGCAAGTATAAATCCACGAATAAGAGAAATTTGAAACGTCACTTACAATTGCACACTCGAAACTTTAAGTGCCCCAGTTGTAATTTTAGCACAGCCAGCGGGGTCACTTTTAGATATCACAAGTTGAGGCACCTAGCTCAAAGTTTTAAATGTGAACAATGTGATTTCTCCACGTATTTGCAATCGGCACTAGTGGCTCACAAACGAAAGCATGCCACTAAGAAAGTGCCCCATATGGCGAAGCAGAAGCCCCAACGTTTCAACTGTACGCTGTGCGGTTACACAACGCCTCTCAAGTACCATTTAAGAGTCCATTCGTTGCTGCATCTTAAAAAAGTCTTAAAATGTGAAGTGTGTGATTATAAGACTTACTATCCGAAGTTACTTGAGAGTCACTCCAAGACAAGCAGCCATGCTTTCATAAATCTGGGAAAGTCGAAATGCGAACGGAGTAACGTTCCAACGCCACGTCGACGAGCACGGCGTGCCAACGTCGACTTAAATTGTGATCTTTGCGATTATGTGGCTACATCGCGAGACGAACGCCTATCGCACAACGAATCTCACTTGGACGACGCGAAGCTGTACACGTGCAACATCTGCGGTTACAAGGTCGAGTCTAAGCCGCCGCTGAAACAGCACATGTTGGTTCATCAGCTCGAGAGGAGGTACGCGTGCGACCGGTGCGAGTACGCCGGTAAGACGGAGAAGTACCTCAGGATGCACATGCTGGTCCACACCTGTCAAAATTTGAAATGTATCGAGTGCGATTTCGTCACGTCACAACCGAAGTATCTCAACAGGCACATGCAGAAGCATTATAATAGCGAGGTGAGTATGGGTGAATATTGCAAAATTTGTAATGAAAGCAATGGAAGGTTCTGGAAGGGATCTAGATAGCTATGAGACGTGCTTGGAAGGTAGGGGTATTGCCAAAAGAGGTTTTAGGTGATGGTTGAGCCCCCCATTTGCCTAAAAAAATGGTTGTGCTTTAGGGGGGTCCAAAAAAGTCAGTCAGTCAGTGTAAAATCACCACAATTTACAAGAACTTAGGCGAGGGCGTGGCCTGCAAACATTCCATAGTTTTTGAAATTTTTTTTGCATGTCACTTTTCAGTGGCCTGTTCTGCCTACCTATCAAACAACATTGTGGTCCTTTTAAGCCAAGTTTTAAGCTCCGTTTTAAGGGACCCAATGAGGTTCTTAGGAGTCAAAACTCAAAAAAGCAAGGGGTGAAACATTTCCAAATGTAGGTAGAAAATCACCAAAATTTTTGCACTGGTGGTAAGTTCTGCTGCACCCCTCATTTACCTATCAAAAAACTTTGTGCTAGTTTTAGGGTACCCAAAAAAGTTCTTGGACACTTCCAAAAGTGGGTTAAAACCACTCACATTTATAAGAGTTTACTCGAAGGGGTGTCCCTCGGGGTGCTTCGCAAAAATTCAATTTTTGCACCCCTCATTTTCCTATGAAAAAACGTTATGCTGGTTTTAAATGTACCCAAAAAAGATTTTAGGGGTCAAAAAAAGCGACAGGCAAGGGGTGAGACACTTCCAACTGTAGGTAAAAATCACCAAAACTGTTCAAATTTTTGCACTTCAATTTTCGGTGGTGAGTTCTGCTGCACCCCTCATTTACCTATCAAAAAACTTTCTGCTAGTTTTAGGGTACCCAAAAAAGTTCTTGGACACTTCCAAAAGTGGGTTAAAACCACCCAAATTTATAAGAGTTTACTCGAAGGGGTGTCCCTCGGGGTGCCTCGCAAAAATTCAATTTTTTTCGGTGGCGAGGTCTGCTGCACCCCTCATTTTCCTATCAAAAAACGTTATGTTGGTTTTAAAGGTACCCAAAAAAGATTTTAGGGGTCAAAAAAGCGACAGGCAAGGGATGAGACACTTCCAACTGTAGGTAAAAATCACCAAAATTGTTCAACGTTTTGCACTTCAATTTTCGGTGGTGAGTTCTGCTGCACCCCTCATTTACCTATCAAAAAACTTTGTGCTAGTTTTAGGGTACCCAAAAAAGTTCTTGGACACTTCCAAAACTGGGTTAAAATCATCCAAATTTATAAGAGTTTACTCGAAGGGGTGTCCCTCGGGATGCCCCGCAAAAATTCAATTCTTTTAAAATTTTGCACGTTAATTTTATGAGGCCAGGTCTGCTGCACCCCTCATTTTCATATCAAAAAACTTTGTGCTAGTTTTAAGGGACCCAAAAAAGTTCTTAGGGGTCAAAAAAGCGACAGGCAAGGGGTGAGACACTTCCAAAGGTAGGTATAAATCATCAAAATTTACAAGAGTTTACTGGAGGGGGGGCGCCCTACAAAATTTTTGTAATGTTTGCACGTCATTTTTGGTGGCCATTTCTGCTGCACTCCTCATTTAGCTATCAAAAAACTTTGCGCTAGTTTTAAAGGACCCAAAAAAGTTTTTGGGGGTAAAAAAAGCCAGAGGCAAGGTGTGAGACACTTCCAAAAGTGGGTTAAAATCACCAATATTTATAAAACTTTTTTCAAAGGGTGTCCCTCGGGGTGCCCCGCAAAAATTCAATTCTTTTAAAATTTTGCACGTTAATTTTATGAGGTCAGGTCTGCTGCACCCCTCATTTTCATATCAAAAAAACTTTGTGCTAGTTTTAAGGGACCCAAAAAAGTTCTTAGGGGTCAAAAAAGCGAGAGACGAGGATAGTGAGACACTTAACCCAAAAAACTCTTGAGGGTAAAAAAAAGCGAATATAGTTGGTGTAAAATCACCAGAATTTACAAGGGCTTAGTGAAGGGTGTGCCCTCCAAAAGTCATTTTTCCATAGGTAATGGGTGATACACTTCCAAAAGTAGGTATAAATAAAATTGGCAAAATTCACAAGAGTTTAGGCGAGGGAGTGCTCTGCAAAAATTCCAGAGGCAAATTTTTGCACGTCATTTTTCAGTGGGCCTTACAAAATCCTAAACCTCATGTACTCCTGATACCCACTTTTGTTTACAAAGTAATTAAAATAATTATCAAATAGCTGCTCTCATTTCATTTACTCCTGGTACCAAGGCTTCCTCCAAACCTAATTTGTATTAGGAGCGCAGAACATAATTTTCAAATACCAATACTGTTGATACCAATAAATTCCAATAAATAATTATCGTATTTAGGAGAGCAGGAGATTATTCCTCATTCCATACGCTCCTGGTCCCAACCGTTTCTGTACAAATAATTATATTAGGAGCGCAGAAAATGATTTTTATATACTTGTTACCATGTCATATGCTCCTGATACACATAATCATGTGTATTAAGAGCGCAGACCTGATACCAAAGCACTTTGTAGAAATAATTACTTATACCAGGAGCGCAGAAAATGGTTTGCAGATACCTGTTTTCATTTCATATATGTACACTTTGGTACCAAAGCGTTTTCTAAAGGCGGACGGAGATGCGATTACCTTTTCCCAAAGACTACCACCATGTGCGATAGGAGTAATAGATAATAGAATTATCAAGTTCTGCTACGCACTCGTTTTTGGCTGGGGGGTATTCCAGAGTCCCCCCAAAACGTTCTGCTCTTAAGCATAAGCATGTGATCAATGCTCTATACATTTCGTGGAGAATTTAATAACGGGGTCTGGGGGGTATTATACACCCCGTGAGATGGAGTGCGCGGCAATGGCCTCATAACTTTCACCGTGTGGTTTTGTGCATTACTTAGAGTGACCAAGAGCTAGCACTGGAAAGCTGCTAGAACGCTCTGGAATTTTTTAGAGCAGTCTTGGAACGCTTTCCAAGGGCGGTAATTTCCAGAGTTTTGGAAAAAGCTACCGTTTGAGATCGTGAGACAGTAGTCTGCACAAAATCCCACTTCTGAGGATGTTTACAATTTTCAAACTGTCAACAGGTACACAAATGCGATCGGTGCGACTACTCGTCCAAGTTCAGGGCAAATTTGGGAGTGCACATGAAGACTCATTTGAATGAGAAAAGGTTCGAATGCGCTACGTGCGGCCACAAGTCGAAGACGAAAAATCTGTTAGTCTTGCACGTACAGACTCACTTAATTCAGGTAACGTACAACTGCAAACAGTGCCATTATCGAACGACCAATGAAGAGAAATTTAAAAAACATCAGTTGAGAAAGCACGCCAGCGACGAACAACTTTCGTGCGAAAAGTGCGATTATAAGACCTTCCGCAAGGATTACCTCAGAAAGCATTACGAAAAGCACTCCGACGTACAGCAGGCATGCGACCAGTGCAATTATAAAACAAACCAGCTGACATTGCTTAAAGCGCACAAGCGTAATGCGCACAAGTCTACCAAAAAATACTTTTACTGCGCGGATTGCGATCATAAAACTCCCCACAAGCAGGAGTTAAAAGGTCATATGGTCCAACACTTCAAGGGCAAGATTCTGGAGTGTTCCCACTGCGACTTTTCCACCAAGCACCAGCACAGTCTCAAAACGCATCTACTAAAACACGACAACACGACCCGAATGTTCAACTGTCCAGAATGCGACTACACCACCATCTACCGGGGCAATCTGAAGAAGCACGCGGTTAAACATTCAGGTCAGAAGGACTACCAATGCGATCTGTGCCCGTACAAGGCGACTCAGAGCAGCTCGTTGGCGACTCACAAACGACTAAAGCACACCGAGGTAACTTACTTGGAATGCACCGAGTGTACGTACAAGACCCCGTTGAAGGGGAATCTAAAAAAGCACATGTTCGTGCATACGAGGGAGAGAAACTTCCCGTGCCCGCATTGCGGGTATAAAGCGACTCAGAGTAGTGCCTTAAAGACTCATATTAAAATTATGCATCGTAGTTCGTAAGATTTTTTTGTTATCACTTTGATCTTGGGCACGCGCCAATTTGAAGGTCATTTGGTTCCGTTTGTCGACGGAAAGGTGTCTTTGTCAAAAACAGGTCTGGCAAACGGAACCGAATGACCTTCAAATTGGGGCACGCGCAGAACCGAATCAAACGACCTTGTAATATTTTATGTACATATGTAATTGTAAGTATATCAATAGATCTTTGTATGATTTGACTACATTACTTAGGGAAATAGATCCATCTAAAATGTCTGTACGAGCCTGGTTCGTTAGGCACCACCTAGAACCTCTTGGCCTCTCTTTAGGTCAACGGATATCGGAATCAGGTCATGTTTCGCTCTTGTCTTGGGCGCCAGTTCCTGTCATTTTGGTGCCGTTAGGCGTTCGGCTTTCTGTGAGGATTTGTTGTTGGATTAATGACACTTCAGCTATCGGAATCTCCACCCATCGGATGAGTTCTGACGGTCACGAGCTCAGGCACGTAGGAACAGTCGGTCGGTTGAAGAACCCTCTGATGACGTTTCTTCTTAGGGATCACTGGGTCTCGACGTGCTAGAGAACTAGGTAAGAATAAAGACTTCTCCTTGCGTGTCACCTTTTTAAGCCGAACAATGGCCGAACCGTTTTTCAGAAACCCAATTTTAACGTGTAGATAATTGAGCCACATCCATCGCCGGTGTTCGTTACCTACAGCTGGACAATAACCACTACCAAAAACATAACCTTACAAAATATGGAAAATGTAAAGGATACATTTCAAAATTTCGCGGAAATAAACGTCGAACCAGTAGTAAAACGTAGCATTTGCACCACATGCAAGTAATTCCTTCGAGACCTGCAGGCATAAATAATGACGGTTTCTTTTCAGGCGCCCCTCGAAGGTGTGCTGGTGTTCGGCCCTTCCAAAGGATCGATTGCGTCCTCGAGGTCAAGTGATCATTCTTCAACATCCCGCCGAGGAGAAAAGATCCCTGCGAACGGCACCGATGCTATCCCTCGGACTGGTCGAGGGTAAATGTACCGTCTACAAAGGCAAACATTTTCGAACGAAAATCGACCAGCTCGACGAAATCTGTAACTCGCCCAACTCCCTGTTGCTTTACCCGAGCGCGAACTCGGAGAAAATCGAAGTCGTGGCCGAACGGCTCAAAGGAAGCTGCTACAATTTAATCGTGATCGACGGCACTTGGCCCCAGGCCAAGGCGATTTATGGCGGCAACCCGTTTTTAAGACAAATCCAGCAGGTGAAGCTAATGGCAAGCTCGACCAGCTACTACACGATACGCACGCAGCCGACCGACGGATGTCTGAGCACCTTAGAGGCTGCGGCCGAGGCGCTAGCAGTATTAGAGGACGACGACCGATATCGGACCGAGCTAATCAAACCGCTGACGTTGCTCTGCAACTACCAACTGCAGAACGGCGCCGTCTGCCATCAGAGCAAGGAGTTTCGAATTAAAAACAACACGTATCCGAAACTGATCGGGAAACGGCTGAATCGAGTTTTAGGGAAGGGGGAGAGGCTACGAGACGAGCAGTGATTAATTTATTGTTTTATTTAATTGTTAAGCGTTTGCAATCGCAGGCATGAGATTGTAGTAAATTTGGATGCCTTTTAGAAATATATTGATGTTAAGAAACTCGTTGTCTTTGTGCTCCAAGTTTGGCGTGTTGTAGAGCGCCGAGAAACCGATGGCGGGTATTCCCAAGGCGCGTACGTGACGAATGTCGGTGACTCCTATGAGGGTCTTCACTTTCAGCTTTAAGTTCCTGCAAAAGGAAAAGTGCAGTTTGCAGTTCGAGAAAAATATTATTACAGGTGGTTAGGCAACACATCATACTCTTCGGCTGGTTTCTTTGCCTATGCTAAGGGCCCTTTTTTAAAATTTTGTTAAAAATGGTTAGGTACCTCGTAGAAAATGGCGTCAAAAAGTACAGCTTGTGGGAATACCCCCCCTCCCTCTCTCCCTGCTGCGTTTTCCACCTCAAAACGTAGAAACCAGGCTCGTCTACTTTTAGTAAACCTGTTTAGCTACCAAAGTATTGCAGAGAACATACTACCGGGGGTCTGAAGACAGTGGAACCATCGTTTAATGCTGGGGGATATTTCAGCCCCCCCCCCCCCCCCATCTCACCGGGTGCTACGTCTTCCCCCGCAAAACGTTGAAACTGGGCTCGTTTGTTTTGAGCAAACCTATGGTGTGCTACCGAAGCATTGCATAGAACGTAGCACCTGGGGGTTTGGGGGTAGCAAAACAAAATTAAATGAGCATTTCAGGAAAATCGCAAACCATCCAGCAAAGGAGTACTCCATAGCTATTTTTCCTATAACCGACCATAGGGGAAAGCAGCTCATGGGCAGTAACTTACATTTTTTCAGCCGCCTTCTTAAAGGCAACCCAGTATTGATTCGTTTCGTCCAGCTTGGTCACCGCCGATAACGGATTCTTCTGCATGTACTCGATCCACACACCTTCGCCCGCCTCCTTGCACCACTTCATCAGCGTCACCTCCCACTCCTCGACGTCGGTGTGAACTGGAAGGCGACAGTCGAACGTCAACACGAGTTCGTCGGGAATTACGTTCGCTTGGACTCCCCCCTGGAAAATAACGCGTGCTAAACTCCACCATCAGAGGTTGACACCGCACCCTTACCTGTATCTGCGTCAGATTAATCGAAATGACGTCGCTTTCCTCGGCGCGCTGATCTTGTATTTTTTCGACCATCGCCTTTCGATAGCCGTAGAATTTGTCGAGTACAAACTCCACCTTTTCACCGGCGGTGTCGTCGTAGAGTTGGGAGCCGTGACCCGGTTGTCCGGAACAGTGGACGCGAAATTCTGCGGTCGCGGTTAATAGTGATCGTGTTAGAAAACGGGCGGTACTTACGCCAGGTGGTCTTCTCCGCGTTTGCGATGTTAAACACGTCATCCTCGTTCGGGAACGCTTCGTCGACGGCGAACCCCACGTTCAAACTTTTGAAGTCGGCCGACGCCGCGAACGCCACCATTCCGTGGAATCCACCGATCTCCTCGTCTACAAAGGGTCACAGTCACAACTGGGGGTATGAGCTTTGGAGAGTAGGTACCTGGCATGAAGACAACGTGGACGGTTCTACGTGGCTTAACACCGTCCTTTTTCAACCGGCGAATCGCCTCCAAGTACTGAATGCTGGTGGATCTCATATCCTGAGCGCCGCGTCCGTGGATGTCGCCGTTCTCGTCGATCACGGCATCAAATGGCTTGTGCAACCACTCCTTCTGTAATCAACCGTCAATCCTTTGTGCTGTTTTCCACGTTACAATTACCTCGTCAACGGGCACTACGTCCATGTGATTATTGAACAGCACCGACTGCAGCTGGGGCTCTTGACCGATCCAAGTTAACACCAAAACGGGCTTCCCCGCGAAGTACTCGTAGGTGCGATGTTGAAGACCGATCTCTTCCGCCTGCTCGACGAGAAATTTGACGGTGTCGGCTGTTAAAGGGCAATGGCAAAGATAGCGGAATCTTAGAGGGTGCTATTTACCGTAGTTGGGATTTGGATGGACCGCCGGCGTACGGAGGTACCGCCGAAAATTTGCGACCGCCTGGTCATCGCGAAACTTTTGCTCATCAGTGTCGGACGACATTTTTGGAATTGATCCCGGTTGAAGAAACTGAATTCCGACGTGGATGAGGATGTGGTACTTGACCACACGATTATGTTATTCAAACAGGTCATCAACAACCGCTATTATATTGTTATTGAAAGACTAATACGCGGTTGTCTCCACGTATCAATAAAATCGGGACCCTGGGCAAACCACCTAGGCCTACTTAGAACCATCCTGCTGGTGGTGTTTATTTTCCTAATACTGCACCTGTTACTTGTCGACAATCTTATGCAAAAGGTGTCGTGCTACTGGGAGAACATAATATACGAAGAGGTCTTTTTCTAGCTCTTTCAGAATTATTTCAATGCTTTTATTCGCTTTAAAAATTTTCCAATTCTGTATCAGGATGATATGAGTGCGAGGAGGTGTTGCTTTTCCTAATACTACATCTGTTACTTGTTCAAAGAGTTTTGGTAAAAAAGGGTTATATACTGCCTTTTTTTGAGCCCCGAAAAAAAAATTCTCACATCGACCCGGAAAAAAAATTTTCTGTGGCACTGTGGCAACAAACTTATGCAAAAGGTGTCATGCTACTAGGAGAACATAATATACGTAGAGGTCTTTTTCTATGTCTGTCAGAATTATTTCAAAGCTTTCATTCGATTTAAAAATATGCCAATTCCGTATCAGGATCATATGAGTGCGAGGAGGTGATTCTTTTCCTAACACTACACCTGTTACTTGTCGACAAACTTATGCAAAAGGTGTCGTGCTACCAGGAGAACATAATATACGAAGAGGTCTTTTTCTAGCTCTTCCAGAATTATTTCAATGCTTTCATTCGTTTTAAAAACTTGCCAATTCTGTATCAGGATCATATTAGTGCTAGGAGGTGTTTCATTTCCTACTACTCCTGTTACTTGTCGACAAACTTATGCAAAAGGTGTCGTGCTACTAGGAGAACATAATATACGAAGAGGTACTTTTCTAGCTCTGTAAGAATTATTTCAAAGCTTTCATTCGATTTAAAAATTTGCCAATTCTGTATCAGGATCATATGAGTGCGAGGAGGTGTTTCTTTTCCTAATACTACACCTGTTACTTGTCGACAAACTTATGCAAAAGGTGTCGTGCTACTAGGAGAACATAATATACGAAGAGGTCTTTTTCTAGCTCTGTCAGAATTATTTGAAATCTTTCATTCGATTTAAAAATTTGCCAATTCTGTATCAGGATCATATGAGTGCGAGAGGAGATGTTTTTTTCTAATGCTACATCTGTTATTTGTCGACAATTGTATGCAAAGGTGTCGTGCTACTAGGAGAACATAATATACGAAGAGGTTTTTTTTTAGCTCTGTCAGAATTATTTCAAAGCTTTCATTCGATTTAAAAATATGCCAATTCCGTATCAGGATCATATGAGTGCGAGGAGGTGATTCTTTTCCTAACACTACACCTGTTACTTGTCGACAAACTTATGCAAAAGGTGTCGTGCTACTAGGAGAACATAATATACGAAGAGGTACTTTTCTAGCTCTGTAAGAATTGTTTCAAAGCTTTCATTCGATTTAAAAATTTGCCATTTCTGTATCAGGATCATATGAGTGCGAGGAGGTGTTTCTTTGCCTAATACTACACCTGTTACTTGTCGACAAACTTATGCAAAAGGTGTCGTGCTACTAGGAGAACATAATATACGAAGAGGTCTTTTTCTAGCTCTGTCAGAATTATTCAAATCTTTCATTCGATTTAAAAATTTGCCAATTCTGTATCAGGATCATATGAGTGCGAGGAGGTGTTTCTTTTCCTAATACTACACCTGTTACTTGTCGACAAACTTTTGCAAAAGGTGTCGTGCTACTAGGAGAACATAATGTACGAAGAGGTCTTCTTCTAGCTCTGTCAGAATTATTTCAAAGCTTTCATTCGATTTAAAAATTGCCAATTCTGTATCAGGATCATATGAGTGCGAGGAGGTGTTTCTTTTCCTAATACTACACCTGTTACTTGTCGACAAACTTATGCAAAAGTTGTCGTGCTACTAGGAGAACGTAATATACGAAGAGGTTCTAGCTCTGTCAGAATTATTTCTAAGCTTTCATTCGATTTAAAAATTTTCCAATTCTGTATCAGGATCATATGAGTGCGAGGAGGTGTTTCTTTTCCTAATGCTACACCTGTTACTTGTCGACAAACTTATGTAAAAGGTGTCGTGCTACTAGGAGAACATAATATACGAAGAGGTCTTTTTCCAGCTCTGTCAGAATTATTTCAAAGCTTTCATTCGATTTAACAATTTTCCAATTCTGTATCAGGATCATATGAGTGCGAGGAGGTGTTTCTTTTCCTAATACTACACCTGTTACTTGTCGACAAACTTATGCAAAAGGTGTCGTGCTACTAGGAGAACATAATATACGAAGAGGTCTTTTTCTAGCTCTGTCAGAATTATTTCAAAGCTTTCATTCGATTTAAAATTTGCCAATTCTGTATCAGGATCATATGAGTGCGAGGAGGTGTTTCTTTTCCTAATACTACACCTGTTACTTGTCGACAAACTTATGTAAAAGGTGTCGTGCTACTAGGAGAACATAATGTACGAAGAGGCCTTTTTCTAGCTCTGTCAAAATTATTTCAAAGCTTTCATTCGATTTAAAAGTTTGCCAATTCTGTATCAGGATCATATGATGTGCGAGGAGATGTTTCTTTTCCTAATACTACACCTGTTACTTGTTGACAAACTTATGTAAAAGGTGTCGTGCTACTAGGAGAACATAATATGTGAAGAGGTCTTTTTCTAGCTCTGTCAGAATTATTTCAAAGCTTTCATTCGATTTAAAAATTTGCCAATTCCGTATCAGGATCACATGATGTGCGAGGAGGTGTTTCTTTTCCTAATACTACACCTGTTACTTGTCGACAACGTTATGTAAAAGGTGTCGTCTGTCGTGCTACTAGGAGAACAAAATATGCGAAGAGGTCTTTTTCTAGCTCTGTCAGAATTATTTCAAAGCTTTCATTCGATTTAAAAATTTGCCAATTCTGTAGCAGGATCACATGATGTGCGAGGAGGTGTTTCTTTTCCTAATACTACACCTGTTACTTGTCGACAAACTTATGTAAAAGGTGTCGTCTGTCGTGCTACTAGGAGAACTAAATATGCGAAGAGGTATTTTTCTAGCTCTGTCAGAATTATTTCAAGGCTTTCATTCGATTTAAAAATTTGCCAATTCTGTATCAGGATCACATGATGTGCGAGGAGGTGTTTCTTTTCCTAATACTACACCTGTTACTTGTCGACAAACTTATGCAAAAGGTGTCGTCTGTCGTGCTACTAGGAGAACAAAATATGCGAAGAGGTCTCTTTCTAGCTCTGTCAGAATTATTTCAAGGCTTTCATTCGATTTAAAAATTTGCCAATTCTGTATCAGGATCACATGATGTGCGAGGAGGTGTTTCTTTTCCTAATACTACACCTGTTACTTGTCGACAAACTTATGCAAAAGGTGTCGTCTGTCGTGCTACTACGAGAACATAATGTACGAAGAGGTCTCTTTCTAGCTCTGTCAGAATTATTTCAAGGCTTTCATTCGATTTAAAATTTTGCCAATTCTGTATCAGGATCATATGATGTGCGAGGAGGTGTTTCTTTTCCTAATACTACAGCTGTTACTTGTCGAGAAACTTATGTAAAAGGTGTCGTGCTACTAGGAGAACATAATGTACGAAGAGGCCTTTTTCTAGCTCTGTCAAAATTATTTCAAAGCTTTCATTCGATTTAAAAGTTTGCCAATTCTGTATCAGGATCATATGATGTGCGAGGAGATGTTTCTTTTCCTAATACTACACCTGTTACTTGTTGACAAACTTATGTAAAAGGTGTCGTGCTACTAGGAGAACATAATATGTGAAGAGGTCTTTTTCTAGCTCTGTCAGAATTATTTCAAAGCTTTCATTCGATTTAAAAATTTGCCAATTCCGTATCAGGATCACATGATGTGCGAGGAGGTGTTTCTTTTCCTAATACTACACCTGTTACTTGTCGACAACGTTATGTAAAAGGTGTCGTCTGTCGTGCTACTAGGAGAACAAAATATGCGAAGAGGTCTTTTTCTAGCTCTGTCAGAATTATTTCAAAGCTTTCATTCGATTTAAAAATTTGCCAATTCTGTATCAGGATCATATGAGTGCGAGGAGGTGTTTCTTCTCCTAATACCCACCTGTTACTTGTCGACAAACAAATGCAAAAGGTGTCGTGCTACTAGGAGAACATAATATACGAAGAGGTATTTTTCTAGCTCTGTCAGAATTATTTCAAAGCTTTCATTCGATTTAAAAATTTGCCAATTCTGTATCAGGATCATATGAGTGCGAGGAGGTGTTTCTTTTCCTCATACTACACCTGTTACTTGTCGACAAACTTATGCAAAAGGTGTCGTGCTACTAGGAGAACATAATATACGAAGAGGTCTTTTTCTATCTCTGTCAGAATTATTTCAAGCTTTCATTCGATTTAAAAATTTGCCAATTCTGTATCAGGATCACATGATGTGCGAGGAGGTGTTTCTTTTCCTAATACTACACCTGTTACTTGTCGACAAACTTATGCAAAAGGTGTCGTCTGTCGTGCTACTAGGAGAACAAAATATGCGAAGAGGTCTCTTTCTAGCTCTGTCAGAATTATTTCAAGGCTTTCATTCGATTTAAAAATTTGCCAATTCTGTATCAGGATCATATGATGTGCGAGGAGGTGTTTCTTTTCCTAATACTACACCTGTTACTTGTCGACAAACTTATGCAAAAGGTGTCGTGCTACTACGAGAACATAATGTACGAAGAGGTCTCTTTCTAGCTCTGTCAGAATTATTTCAAGGCTTTCATTCGATTTAAAATTTTGCCAATTCTGTATCAGGATCATATGATGTGCGAGGAGGTGTTTCTTTTCCTAATACTACAGCTGTTACTTGTCGAGAAACTTATGTAAAAGGTGTCGTGCTACTAGGAGAACATAATGTACGAAGAGGCCTTTTTCTA